GCTAATGTACTTATATGGGTCACAAGGGTTCATTCTTAACTATGACAGCTTGTTTTCGTCCATCACACAGCCATCTCACGCCTGATTATTCACCCTTAATGATTTTATCTTGATAAAGCCCGAATAACTGGACTTCCTTTGTATCTCCAATTGGTCAGTCTTTTTCGACTGCTCAGTTTCTACAGCAACTAATTGTTCTTGTTCTGCCTTGCTCAGATGACTGCCACCCTTTTCTGAGGCATACAGATCTTTTTTATAGTTATTGGAATATATATATTTTTGGGTTAAAAAAGAAAAGTCCCAAAAAAGGGAAGAGCGGAACCACTGATTAAAAAAAAACAACCTGTTTTTGTCAGGGAAAATCTTCAAGATTCTGATCAATCTTTGCTTAAATTTGCTCTCCTTTTTGGTTTTAGTTCAGTGTGATTTAGCTTTCCTTCTGAGAGAGAGTGAAGTTATTTGAACCATTTAAAGAATGCTCCCTGTGTGACATCTGAATTACTTCTAGAAAAGCATGAGACCAGCTTGAGCCCAAACATCTGTCCAGTGTTTTGGTCCTCACACATTTTTGGGCTGTTTGCCTTTGAACAAAACTCTGACTTTTCTTTTGTAATTGCATTAATATGTTCCCTGAACAGATAAGCAGTGTGGGGGCTAACGAGAATTAGTAGATTCTTACTGTCTCGTGAATTCTACTGGACTGAAACTGGCTTTGTGTATGCACACTTATCTGTGCCCTCATGGGAAATAAACAGTAACTAAATCAGTTGTTGGCTTTGTGTGTTATCTTTAAAGATGAAAGGTACTGAAAACAATGAAACTGCTGCCCTGGGGTTTTTGTAGGAAGAGAAAAAAACAACTGGAGAAAAGAATGAGACCTTTGATCTATCCAGTCAGTCCCATTGAGTGAGTCTCAGACAGTACCCAGAAATAGAGAAGACAGGGGTCAAAAAGAATGAAGTCACAGGCCCAATTCACACAAATGGCCCTCACAAGGAGAGGGCTTTCTGGGGAATAACCATACCAGACAAATTTTTCAGATATTGTTAATGCTATGTACAGTAAAACAGCCACCCCATAGAACATCTGTAATTAGTTAATAACATAATTTACTTTCATGCTCAGAGTGATTATGAGTGACACAAGGTTGCAGAAAAAAAACAACTTACAATATTCTAAGCTACTAAGATGACACACTTAATAGAAAATGTCTGTGTCGTGTCCTAGTGGGGAGAGTTTCACATGGCTGACAGTAGATACTTTGTCTCAGACCTTTTGCTGTGCATCATTCCTTAATTTGCACAAACCCTAAGACATACGTCTGTGACTATAATAGCGCGTTCGGAGTGCTTTATATAGCTGGAAAAGCCAGATTTGGGAATAGCTGGTAAGTTGTGCTGAGTTTTGGGCAGTTGAGACTGGTGCACGCTCACTGCAGCCTGGCCTGTCTGCTCTGGTTTCATAAGCACAGAGTGAATGACCTATATACTTCTCTGAGGGAGGGGAAGTCACCTTGCTGGTTGACCAGCAGGCAGTCACGCTGGCATGCAGGGATGAGGTTTTAATGTGCGGCACTATTAAACGGTCAACCGGCGACTTGATATTGGAGGCATACTTTCGCGGGACCTCTCATTCGCTGCTCGTGTTGCTCTTGGCCGTTAGACTGTCCGGGGCTGTTTCTCTTGGCTCGCGGTATCTTCTTCTTAACTGCTTTGTGATAGGGTGAAAAGACCGATATATGGGCGGGTGTCCAGTGCATTAACATGCTGAAAAACACATCTTGACAGGGACTGGATTTGCACACATACACATACTTACTTACTTTCGCTGAAACCATGGGGCCCAGTGCCAGAAAGATCAAGTCAGACAAACACCTCACCAGAGACTACTCTAAGCATCCTAACAAATTGAATGTGTGTGTAGATGGACAAGAGGGAATTAGATCAGTGGTCCTGATTGTATCTGAGTGTGCTGTTGCTGTACCCCTTTCCAGCTCGTCCCCTGGAGGAAATGTGTGTGCAGGGGAGAGAGACAGAGAGAGGAGGAGGAGGAGAGGGAGCCTGGCAGCTGGTTTGATGAAGGATGTACAGAGAATGTTAACCAGACAATCACCTTGCATGTTATTGATTGAGATAGAAGAGAGGTAATTAGCACAGAAAAGAAGGGGAAGCTGAGGCCAGTTTTAATGTTTTGATACAATGTGTTCTTTCTTTGTACCCATCTACATGCTGGGCTCTTGGAGTGTGTGTGTGGACAATTTTTTTTAAAGATTACAATGTAGAACCTAACATATCAATTGATTTACAGCTTGTAATACCTGCTTGAAAGTTCTGACTGCAGCAAGAATAATTATTAGAATAATTAGTTTTGATCATTATTGCTAGAAGGCTAATCGATTGCATTAAATGAACAAGTTATATAAATTAGATTCTGACCATAGTATGAGGGCCCTGCTCCAGTTATGTGACCTCATCCACATCAGTTTGCAGGTAAAAGCACAGGTCTGTTTGGAATTCTTTCTCCCAATAGACCTGTTGATATTTATTTTAAAAAATCTGATCATTAATGCTATAATAGCAACATTTTAGAGTTTTGAAATGAGGTGTCCAGCATCATGCAATGCTTATCTTGACATAAATGTAATTGTTGATCGTTTTTCTAACACCTAAAAAAAAAACAGATTGAAGCAGTGTGTAAAATGTTGATTGAAAAAAGATTTATAGGTAATTGGTATTACCGAAACATTTTTAAGGTTGTTTAAAACAGAAATATGAGAAAAGAGGAAACCTAGTTGAATTTCTCTCAGAGATGACATTTAGATGAGCTGGCAGAAGATCGGCAGCATGAATGGCTCTAAAAAGAGCGACACTAGGAGGCTGAGTCTTTCAGAAATAAGGATGGGAATAGATGGCTTCATTTGGAGTGGGATCCTGCAGGTCCCACGAGACCTGACACAAATCTCGCGGGCGGTTTTAACATCTCTGTAGGCGGGAGTGGGCTGTGAAAAAATAAACTGTTGGTTTTGGTGAGACACTGGCTCGGGTTCTTAGCTAGCCTTAAAAATAGTGATTCAGTCAACAAATGAAGCTCAGACGAGGATTAAAGCAAGACTTTCCTGTACTAACGGGACGTTAGGTGAGTTTTACAGCTTGACAGTTTTCTCTGTCACAGAAATGTGCAGTGCATTAAATTGATGACAAGAGGGGGGATTTAAATCAATGGAACTATTGTCAGAATGTGTGGGAACAGGAAGTAATGGTCAGAATTCTGGCAGGACTCAAAACATCGAAGGGGTCACCATTCTTTCAAAGACCCTGTCAGCAAAGTAACTGTTGTCATTGTGTCAGTTATTTATTTTTGTTATGTAGTGAAAATTTGTTTGTCTAAATCCAATACTTTGCAGGAATTAGACAAAAAGATAATTGTTGGAAACAATTCAACATGGCAGTATTAGAGTTGACTAATTTAAATGAAACGATCACTGTTTACTTTCGCTAGGTTCTAATCAGAACTCCATTTATGGTGGATGTGACATAGAGATAAAGGTGCTTAGTAATCAATTTAAAGTTCAAATAATTTGTTGGTTTTGTTTGAAACTTATTATTGCTATTCACTGACAAAGGTTTGAAAAACCTTCTTGCAGAAAGAAAATAAAGTGAATAGAAATACAAATAACGGTGACAAATCGCTAGGCATTTGGGGGATTTGAACATTTGCGGCACATCGTGTCATTAAATATTTAGGTAGTTCAGTAAAATCTCTGTACACAAAGGATTGGATGGGAAATCGGCACTGAACAGTTTTGATCTTCATTGTCGAATTCAGCACTGCATTAAAAACAGATGCTATTCTCTCGCTGAAATCACTGCATAAATTTGTATAACCAGTATCAGTAAATGTTCATGTACGAGTATAAATTAAGACTCTACTTTGTGAAGAAAAAGGTATGACGATGACATCCAAAACAGATCTCTGTAGACAAGAAATGGGAAGTTCTTTTTGTAAACTGTGGATGTTACATCCCCTGAGCTTAAGTAGAGGAAATCTTTTAACATTATAAACTGATATATCACAATATCTTGTCATTTATGATCTCGGCCGTTTAAGTAGGATATTCTGATCTTTTTTTTAAAAGTCTTTTTATGCTATGTTTGCTGCTGGAGCCTGCTTTTGGATTCTTAGTCTACAATATGGAAAACACAGGGAAAAGCTGTTATTCAAGTTGTGAACCGGAGCTGACCAGTTCTGTGATGATGGAAATGGACTAAATTACTCTGATTCTGTCCACTTTCACAACAGATTAACTAAAGGTAGACCTTTGAGACTCATCACTGTGATCCACTGGTCTCATTTGTAGGAACTCTTGACTAATTCTCCCATTTCGCACTGCATGGCTAAGAACATTTTGTTCATCCTGAGCTTTAGTGGCCATGTAATTGTAGGAGTCAGTCAGTGGTGAAAGAGGTAAATTTGCCAAAGTAAACAAAGCCTACGATAAGACAGAAATGCAGCAAACTGTCATCAGTTATGTTGCCTCCACTGTTAGTTGTGTTTGAGCTGACAGTACAACACTTTTTTTGCAGTATTTACACTTTGCTCTTTGTAGACATTTGCTCTTTTGTGTTTTTTGTTATTTTAGTCAGACTCTCATCTCCTTTTCCAGCACCTCTCTGCATTTCAGGATGAAAAGGGAACAAGTGGCTTGGATTCTACTTAGATTTGACATCCTGAACTGTATCTATCTGCTTATTGAATTTAAATAATCTCCTCCATAATTCTGTCAGTGTCATCTCTGTGAGCCACAGGAGATATAAATCAGGGGATTACAAAGCCCTTGTCGCTTAGGCAGGCATCTTTATGGCTTGCCACATCAGGCTGATGCCATTGGTGAATTGTAAAAAGCTGTTTCTCAATGTGCACGCATTAGAAAGTCAGCCTGGGTTTCGCTGTTGACATTTGAAAATGATTTGTTAATTTATGTCTTGCCTGAACACGGTCGCATGTCTTCTTTCAGCTCGCCACTGAGACAACCTTCATCAACGGCCAAAGTGTGCCTGGTGTGTGGAGATGAGGCTTCAGGATGTCACTACGGTGTGGTGACATGTGGAAGCTGCAAAGTCTTCTTTAAGAGAGCCGTAGAAGGTAAAGCATCTCTCCATACTCACACAAGATATGAATATTTATTTATATCCAGAAGCATTCAGATTCAACGTTTTACAAACCTCTTCAGTATGTCTTTGAGTCACATTATCATTAACTCTATGTGCTTGTCTAAAAATATTGATGCTGAGAAGTGGCCATATGTTTTTCATTACTATTTGAATAAGGGAAGATTTCAGTAGAGGGAGCTAAGCTGAGAAATAATAACAATGGGTTCAGAGACAAGGGAATTCTCGCTATTGAAAACACATCAGAAAAGTCTGACAATTTCATAGCTAAAATTGGAAATTCTTCATTTTTTTATTATAAACATTTGCATCAGACAATTGCTTCACAAAACTCTTTTCCAGAAAACCGTACCAGAAGAAAAAAAGAATCCCTTTGAATTTAAATTGCAGCGGCTAATATGACAATTACAAATACATTATTTTTCATTACACCAAAAACAGTCAACAGAATGTGTTATATTCTGAGATTAAAGCGGTGATTCACAATTAGATTTTTTACAGAAGTAGAGTGTCTTTAAAAGAGACCATACGTTTTCCTTTTGCAAGGTTGGATCAGTCACACAACAGCTATTCCTCTCCTCTAAATGTTACTGGATTGGGTGCCTTAATCAAATTACACTTCACTGCTGTATTTAGCAGTAAGGAAGCATTTCTAATTTTATCAAAGGAATCCTACTTTTGAAGAGGCATTTCTCTGAATTGCACCTATTCAGGAAAAGTGTTCTGATTCGATTTGAGTGAGGTAATAGCTGCGGCACATCTGGAACTACAAAGTGGACACATTTTGAGGAAATTGCTGGTTACATGTATGGGTATTTCAAATTGGATTTGTGATACAGCAAGACACAATATAGCAGTTTGTTCTGCTACACCTCCACACCAACGTTTGTATCTGGCTGGCATTCCCTCTTTACTAGTAGTGTCTGTAGTGTGATGAGGTGATCCAACTGTGACCAAAACAATTCAGTTGTTTCTCTATATATATATATTTTTAAAATATCCTATTTCCCGGACTGAAAAAAAAATCATTACCATGAATGTTCCTCATTTGAGTTTCTAGAGCTCACTCAAACAAGCACATTTCAGCAGGCAGTAACAGTTTATGCCCAATTTAAAGCAGTTAAACATATAATTTATGTCTTCTTGTTCTCATTTATACCACTGTGTTGCACAGGTGAAACACACTACTTTCTAATCATAGGTCAAGTACATCTAGATTTAATTTATTTTTTTGGCTATAAGATCAAGACAATCAATGAATTTGTAGTGTGTGACCGAGCTGAGGAAAAACATCAGAAACAGGAGGAAAGAAAATAAATAAATTAGTCGGTAATGTCCTCAAGCAGCATGTCATGTTATATTTAGCTTGGGGATAATCAGCCACAGTCATAATGTGCTTTTCATGTTGTGCCTGTTGCCTGAAGCCTTGGGCTCACTCAATTAGACGACGTGTTTGAATGCAAAACGAGCCAGTTCGGATGAGGAGGAAACAGTCACTGGTAGCCTGCCTTCAAGCCCTCAAGGTGTTCCATTGGAGGAATCGTGTTCATTCTCAGTCAAATCGTGGCCTAATTTGATGATATTTACACGTTGTCATTACAGAGACGTGAAACCAGATTATGTGTCTGGGGTTATCATATCAGACATGCCGTCGTTCTTACTTGAAGCCCGCCTGGCAGATAGGGTGTAGGAGATGTGCAAGATCTAAGGATCTTGCACAAGAGGCAACGGACAGTATCGCATTTGTGTAGTTGTAGTTCTAAAACCACAACTTTCTTTAATTCTTCCATTGAGACTACTCATTTTTTGTGTAACAATGTGCTCTTTCTTTATTCCCTCTAAATGCTTTTTTATTTTTAGGTTATGAAGATGAGTTTTTTTGTGTGTGAGTGTGTGTGTGTGTCTTCAAAGCGACGCAACTGCAACAGTGCAGGCTGTGAAAGCAGAGTTGTGATATCAACAATGTTGCATGTGATCCATTACCTCACATGACCTCTCCACAGCTGCTGCTGAGGTGGAAAGGGAGAGGAAAGCGAAGCGAAGCAAAGGATGAAAATAGTGCGAGAAGGTTTTTGCAAAGTGAAGGGAGGCAGAGGACAGTGAAACGGATACAGCCGGGGAGGAGGGGAGAAAGGACAAAGAAAAAGTCAGACACAGACAGACAGATAAAGAGAGGAGGAGCCAAGAGAGGGAGTAAGTAACAAGGAGAGGGATGGAAAGCGATGTGTCAGCAATGAGCACCAGAGAGGTGTATGTTAGGACGTGAGGAGACGTTCTACTCCTCCCTTCTGCCTGAGTTTCCTCCTTCTCCACCTCTTTTTTTTTTTCAAAGTTATAAAACTTTGACTTGGCATGGGAGCCATAAAAGAAGACTGCAAAGAGTGGGCATCTGTACAAGGGGAATAATTCACTCCTTAAATTTAGTTTGGCATGGTCTGCCTCAGGGGACACGGGTTTTTAGTTGTCTTCAGCTCACTACGTCTATCTTTACTGTATACCAGGTTAGCATTCTGCTATTATCAACGATAGAGACAGAATTCTGAGTGTACACACTACTGATACTCTTTTATCCAGATCAGACGAGTCATTCTTTCGTAGCTCTTGTTCATTTCTAAATCACCGGACCTTGGCACAGTTCTTGAAAGCCCTTGTTTTTTTATTATATCTAGACCATCTGTTTGGAATATCTATTGGCCACCTGGGTATTTTACTGTCCAAATTTCTTCTCTTACCGTTACCCCCACAGCACACATATATTATGTATGTCTTTTTGGCACATCCATAGACACACACACACACACATTTTGTATATATATATATATAGTGAGACATTTGAATATTTATGTCATATTAGGACACTTTTCAATTTGATAACACCAATTGTCTTAAGATGGTATAGGGCCATGGTAACCACTGTGTAAGATCCCGTCTTCTCTGACCAACAACTGTTGGCTTTGATAAATTGAGGTTGTCTGGATTGTAGACATTTAGTTCCTCAGCCTACTCTTCTGCTAAGAAGACATGTTGTTTTTATAGATGCAGAATGCTGTGTGGAGTTAAAAATAAGACTGCTGACCCTAAAAACGTCATTTAGAGCATTTATTACTCTAACATCCCCATGTATATAGTTTATCGAATGTAGAGCGTTTCCACAGGCTTCTTGTTTGCATCACTGGGCTTTAACCTGCATTTGTTGAAGGGATAGTGAGTTGCGTTCACAGACAGTGATTTCTAGAAGTGTACTGAGCTCATGTAGGGATTTCCATGACAGCGACATGTCTTGTTTTCACTCCAGTGCTATCTTAGGGCTTTTATATTATGGACATAGATTTTTAAACAGTGCCCCAATTCCCAGTTTCCCTGGACCACATGTTGAGCTGTCCTTGAGCAAGACTTTGAATCCCATGTAGCCTCCAATGTGTCAGTTTGTGTGATTGTGTTACTTTATTCTTCACTGACTTTCCGTTTAGAGCTATTTACTTATCAAACATGTTGTTGACCATGTATCATTTGTCTTAGATGTAATGCTGCCATCAGCATTACATTTCACCATTTCTTCCTCTTCATTTGTAAAAAGTTTAGATTGGGCTTACTCATGCTGTGGACATTTGGAATGTTGCATTGCACCACACAACCTTAAAAATGTCAGATTATCCCTCCACAGTTTTTATTTCTATTTAAAGACATTTGCAGGGAAGATATTCATTGTAAAGGATCCCCACTACTTTATTTTAAAACCGTTCTGCAAAGAAAGAACGCTGCTGTGTTTTTGAAGGGCTGATTAAGTCCATGTTGTTTTTCTCTTTTCCCCTCGTGTCTTTATCTGTTTGCTTCAGCCATTTCTCTGGAGATTATCAAAGGCCTGCCTCTCAATTTGTCTACTGGTCTTTATTTACCAAAATATGGCTATGAGTTCGATAAAAGTGATTCACTGCCCTAAAATTCTTCTGTTAGACTTCACTGCACTATTAATCCCTGCAAAGAAACATTCCTCCACCTACTATGATATTCATTACAAGATACATTATCTAGTTTATAATTTACATTATTATAGTACTTGTAGTCCACACAGCTCTGTGTAAGGATATAGAATGGACAGTGCACCATTGAAAGGGGTTGGTGATTCACCCCATGGCTCTACTTGGGTGTATGCCTAAATATCTTTTCCTATCTCTCTGATAAACAGAGAGGTAACAAGTATGAATTAAAAATTCAGAAATTACAAAAATGTGTCAAAAGCTTTGATTGGTAAATCAGTCTAGAAGATGCCCACTTTAACCAATTCCATTTATGAAAGCATGTATCTTCTATCCATTCAAATATGCCTCTCTCCTGAAACTACTCCACTAAAGAGAAGTTTGTTGATATGAGACAGCTGCACTCAATAAACGACTCCATGTGGAGCACATTTGAGAAGCACGTTGCCATCTTATTATTCACATGTCATCAGTGGCTTAGTATTTCTGCTCTTCATAATGCCATGGTGCCCTGCTTTATATACCTTTGCTGGTCTCTATAAATATAAAGATTGTCTTTGGCTATAATCATATCGGTGTTTGTTTGAATCTTCAGTATCATCTCTGATCTGACTGTGTCTCAGTTTCCATGATGCTACAATTCTGCTCCTTATTCTTAGCTCTGAGGGAAAGGTTCTCTGAGGACACTTCTTGTACAGTTCCTGTATGGACTGGCAGCTCTGCCGTCCAATCACATGTTTTTCAACTCAGGCGGAGGAAGTAAAAAGGCCTCCCACCAGTTCCTAAGTGCTTCAGGTTGTGTGTAAATGAAGCTCATGTAACAGCAGCTGGAGACAAGCCATTTAACAGAGTTTTCTGGAACACCAGACATACCGTGATCAGAAACTGTTCACTAAGTGACCAGTCAAAGGCTCAAAATAAAAATAACTATAATAAAATAAAGATAGTTGTCCATAGCTTACTTTAAGGAAGTATGTCACATAGTATATTTTTGTATATATATATAAATACACATGGTATTTTTAGAATTATTTTATATTTATTGTCAAAACAAATAATCTATCGTACAGTATACATACACGAAACATTTCTCTCTAAGCCTCTGATTACAGTAACATGTACCCCATTTGTTTGATGCACTGCAGATGATATAACTGCCTCTACTTCCTCCATGCCTTTGGTTCCTGTGGCCTGAACTGACCTCATGCCTCTCCAGAGGATACAATCTGACCTCTATCTCTTCCTGCTCCCTGGTGATACCTTTGTTCTTTGACATCAATGCGGGTTACACCTTTTGTGTTCAACCAAATAAGGAGCGCCAATCTGATGCACTTTATCAGTGTCTCTACCAGTGATTTTTTATTTTTTTTAAAGACACAATGCCGTGACATAACAGCTCGTCTACAGCATGTTATAATGTTATACTACGACTTGTCCCTATTGTTATTTCCCGTAACACAATTTTTAGAAATGACCTTCCGAAAAGAGAAGAATGAATCAGATTATATTGTTCAAAATAGAAATGTCTTTCAGAGAGACATTGATTTTCTTTACAAGTATATTTGAAGTATATTTGGCTGAAAGCCTTACATACTTTGCAAAAAACACCTATGTTGATAGATCAAGGATTTTTCATATATCACAGTAAGTTCTAAATGGTGACTGGAAGCAATAAGCCCAGTGCGAATGCTGGAGAAAGAGGAACATACGATCTCATACGCAGAGGACATTAGTAAACAAAATAACTGCTTCTATTTATATCATAAATAAACCCTTGCAACTTCTTTTTACAATGATCCCGACAAGGAAACATAATTGTGTAGAACTCCATCCAACACAGCTGTGTGTGTGACATCCAAAGAACCGAAGTAGTGGTGCCTCTGCAAGGCAGTGATTTGCATACTGTTGGACTAGTGGTAACATTTCAGAGAGGCCTGTAATTTTCAGCTGAATAAACTAAGATGAATAATGATGACAGAATTGACCAAATGCTATGGGAGTGGATAATAAAATGACACTAATTCATGAGCAAACTCTTTATTTTTTCTTTTTCCTGTGAACTCTGCCGGCTTGCAACTATTAAAAGAAAATTTGTACCCACTGCCAAATGCCACTCACAGTCACAGTAGAATCATTGTGGGTTCTTTTTTAGTGTTTTAACAAATGGGGGGCTGGTGACTTCTGTGTTGTGGGTGTTTACAGATAACAGTGGCCTTCCCTTTCGGAGGCAGATGTATGGTTTCTGCCCCTGTGACTGAAGGCCCCGGGCCAGATTACTGTAGTTATAGCGGGGTCTCCACGGGAAATGGTATTTCCTCTTCAGATGAAATGTTCTCATAACTGATGTATGCTGGAGCTGACAGACAACAGAGATTACTCAGCGGGTTGTTGCCAGATTGTGAGATCATTTGCTAAAAGTAGATATGCGGGGACTCCATTTAATTTTTGTTTGTATTTACTGTACACATCTCAGTAAAGTGATGCATTGTAGCTGCAAAGTTCCTAATTATATCTAAACTTTAATGTAGTGTCAGTAGGAATATTCTTGGGAAATATTGAATGTTCTATTGTAATTTTTTCAGGAGTGGTATTTTTTTTTTTAACATGCCAATAAAAATATCAGGAAGAAAATCTGTGAATAAATGGCTAATAAGCCATTTTATTGGATGTTGAGTAGTATTTTTTTGCTCACTTTTCCAAGGCAAAACTGAAAAGTAACATTCATCTCCACTGCCTGCCACTTGCTTGGACGATAAGCAAATGCATATATTCAGAGGTAAACATGCTGTGTGAGTGCATGCAAACACAGTGCATAAATAAACAAATTCTGTCCCCCCTTAGACGCACCCACTGTCACACGAATATCCACCATCGCACTACAGAACCACTTTGGCTGTTTCACGAAGTATATTTCACACTGACAATTATTAACAAGATTCACAGCGTTGAGAAAAAACAGTTGACAGGAAAGCTCCAGAGTTTTCAGAATCGCCATTTTGTCTGGCCTATCCAAACGCAAGAGTGTGTGTGTGTGTGTGTGTGTGTGTGTGTGTGCAGAGGGGGGTGGGGAAGGGGATGGCTGCGTTGTGTTTCCTGTGTCGCAGTTTACTGTTTTTTAGAGCAAGAAAAATGGGCTTATGTAACGGTCATGTGATTTAGCCAGAAATAGTGGTGGGGCTACAGCTGCTGCCTCTCCTCCTGCAGCTCGGTTCCTTGGCTTTTGGCAGCAGTCAGACAGACTCACTGCGCACTACTCCTGCTAGCTCTGAAAACAACTTCTGCTCAGTCATACACACTAAACACATATTCTGCACTGCTCTTGCAGGAAGAGATCATTCATTGAAATTGCATGTAAGAGAGAAAATATACATGTACGGAAAATATTGACGTGCAGACAGTGCCAGGAAAACCTCTGAGTTAAGATCAACGCATGCGGAAAGATACGGATTCATATGCTCAGACGTGCAATCATTTGCATGTTCTCAAGCATATACACATGTGTAAAACACTGTATTAACACATTTTGAACCTTGGTCTCTTTTGGGAAGTATGTCTTGCTTCGGGGTCACCGGGGTCACACTCTGCCAGTCCATCTGGGCTAAACTGGGATTTCCATATGTCTGTATATGAGTTTGTTAAGTAGGGTAGTGTGTGTGTGTGTGCATTAATTCATGTGTGCACATGAGAATGATGGAGTGAATGACTGTGTGCATGAGCCTATCTGTGTGTGGGCGTGTGGCGCTCAGAGGCTGGTGGACGTGTGGAAAAGGAGGGATGGAGATGCAGTCGTGGAGAAGGAGAGGAGGAGGAGGAGGAGGAAGGGGAGGTGGGAAGCTGTACAGTGAAGAGCTAGTGGAGCGGAAGGAACCTCTCTGAAATGGGAGATCATTGGCTTTAGCTAGGGGCTAGGCAGGAGGCAGGAGGGATTCTCACCATGTTAGCATCACTGTCAGGAATAGTCAGGCTGCAGCCAGTGTCCTGGTTCCACCAATTCCTTCACGTTATCTTTTTGTATCATACACAAGTAGTCATTGTCAAGACTTAGGGCAAAAATAATCACTATTTATGTCATTTACAGGGAATTTTGGCTGTTATTTTCCAGGTGTCTTCTCTGAACGCCTTCAAAATGACCCTATTTGTTCTGTGTCTTACAGCATTTGTGGTCACCACTGAACTAACATGGCTCTTTGTCACCCTTTAGGTCAGCACAACTACCTTTGTGCCGGGAGAAATGACTGTATCATTGACAAGATCCGAAGAAAAAATTGTCCGGCATGCCGTGTACGGAAGTGTCTTCATGCTGGAATGAACCTCGGAGGTGAGGAGTCAACACCTCCTTCCAATTGTGCCCCATTATATCATTCCAAAGTTGCTTTTTAGATCAGTGTATAAGAATTGATAGATACGAAAAATGGCTAGTTGTAGCCGCTTTAGTCCCAGGGAAGCTGATTTGTAGGATCTTACGGTGTGTATATAAGCCCCCTATCTGAGGATAATACAGTATGCATTATGCATTGACAGGAGGTGTGGATCCACAGTATGCCTGATGTCTTCCTATAAAACATGAAGACAAGTTAGAGTGTTGGGCCATTTATTGCTAATGTCATATTCCACTTTAGGGTCACTGTGGCATAAACAAATATGCAAGTACACACATCACTTAAACTTACAAAGTATTTGACATTTTATGAAAACCCTGTGGTCAGATTTTGTGGACTCATCTAAACTGTACAAAACATACTGGTGTATCAAATCTCCAATTTGGAAATGCTTTTAAACTGCTGTCATGGCAAATATGTTGATTTGTGTAGTGCCTCATATATAAATACCAAAACAAGCTGCATAACCCATTCGAACCCATTTGAAATTAACTGCTTAAAATAAGTTAACACTGAAAATATGAGTGGTAAAGTTTGGTTTGGTTTCTTTTGACAGTACATTCAACGCATGAATGGAGCCTGATAAAAGATAATTCAGCCCATGAATGAATTTAAATAGAAAATAATTTGATTTTCATACCTTGAGGTTTTAATTATAAAGCTGAAATAAATGCAGTGACTGGCGACTGATAAACAGCCATAATGCACAGTATTAAGTCATAACTGCATCTATTAAGAATCTTTTAAGCTCAGGGCCATACAGTAGACAGTCTTTGAATTGTTTATCTTCTTCTTTAACAATTTTTTTTTTAAGGGTTACATTTTTCATACACAATTTGACTTGCATTTATTTTAGAAAACACACCAACACAAAATTATGCATTATTGGTTCTTTAATAGAAAAGGTGTTAATACTGGCCATTTGTGAGAGCAACGAAGCGTCATCACTCAAATGGCCTTCACTCAAAAACGCCTTCTGAAATGCTGTGTATAATCGCATAAAAAAGTTTGAAAAGCTCCAAAAAATGAACTATTTTATTGTAGCTCCAATTTTTCCCCCTACCCTATTCAACCTTAAACGGGAAGGAAAAGAAGAGATATACTTTCAGTGGTTCAAACTTTCATTGAATAGGATAGGAGTGAATAGATGCTGTGTTTTTTTAGATAGTTATTTTAACTTGAGCTCAGTAACTAACATGTACATGTTAGAGAGCCTGAGCAGCTGATTAGACTAGACATTCTTTAAGTCAGAGCTCAAGAGAAAAATAGCTATACCCACATAACGGCTGCTTTCTGGGGAAGAAGACTCTCTTACTTAATAATGTGGGTGTAAATAGTTGAAAGCTAGGTGGGTAATGTATTTTTCATTGCTGATTTAGTGGAAAAAACAGATCTAGTTCTCATCGTTAAGTATTATAATTGCAGCTTTGACAAACATGATGTGGAAATGAAGCAGGTAAAATAAACCTCAGTTCAATTACATCTACCGTTAAATCAGAACAGATTTATGCCCTTCGAGTTGAAAGGTAAATTATTTGACTGACACACACGCGCATTTCTATTTTATGTTCCTGTTTTGAAAGTTCTTGTGTCAGTGCCAGGATTGTGTTGTTTTTCCTCAGGGCTCTCATTGGTCAGCACTGATTTATCAGCACAGATTTAAGTAATATCGTGAGAGATTACCAGAAGAAAAGTAGTGTGCAAAAATTAAGACTATGTGGCTTACTCCGTATTGATATTTTCAGTGCCATTTAGTTTAAAGGCCCTCTCATTGTTTCTCATTTTTAATTTAAAGCGGCTCGTACAGTAAAGGATAAAGTCTGTGTTATAAACACTGGCAGGTAGGACGACTCTGACATTTTGATTTAACCCCCAAAAATGGGCCTGCAGTATTAAACTTTAGCTTTGGAAGAGGTTCAGATTTTGAACACAGATCTACAAGCTAAATTTGTTGATTCAGTCAAACAGATATTATAGATTCCAAGTGAATTCCTTATTCCTTCAGCACCACTATTTTTGTCTGACCTTGCAAGTCTTTAGCCCTAAAGTCTCCTTAAACTGTCTCTTGAAAGCAGTGATTAGGCGCTGCAGTTCAGCACACTTTTCACTGCCATGACTGACCAATTAGAGCCTTTAAAGATTAAGTTATCTGGATGATTTATAACAGCATAACACCAATATTTTAGACTCTAAAGCAATTAAACCAGATGTTGGAAGGATCAAAGGGAGCCTGTTAATGTGGAGCTCCTCTCCCAGGCTCAGTAGTCCTCGATCCTCCCTCTCCTTCCATAACCCCATAATTAATTCATTTGTTAGTAGTGACTGATAAGTGGGACATGTCGATAATTGTTTTATCATAGTTTCGGTTTGTTTTTCATCGTATGAATCTGCAGGTTGGGCTATTTACGCTAACGGGAGAAATATGTCAATATTGGTGAGTGTTGTGGACAGGCTGCTGTAGGGAAAATGCATTGCAGTCTCAAAAACTGCTGAATAAATTACAATCTCATATGTCTGTAGATATTTCTTACTGTCCCATTCACTTATGGACCAGCGCACCGATACACTGTCCCATCTGTGTGTGCACGGCCAGTCTCCTGAATTTATCAGTTATGGATTTATTTTAGCTGTGAAGTGTCTTGAGAAAATGAGTGAGCAATGAGAGTCTAAGAAACCCCCCCCCACTGACTTTCACAGTGATTGTGTGACATTTGTTTGCTGTGCCCATTAATGTGTCATTATGCATTAATGTGTTGCACTCTGGGTATGCCAACAAACTTCTGTCTATCTGATTCAGTAAAATATGGATGACATACTGTAGCTCTGGGCTTCATGGTAAAAATCATTCTTCAGTCACTGGGTGAGGTGTGCTGCGGTTCACCAACAGGCAAGCTAAGCGTTACCATTTCACTGTGCTGGTGGAAGCCAGCGGAGCTGTTAGATCTCAGTGAGTACTGATAAGGCCATCAGTGCTCAGATTCAGTTTCAGTTCTTAAGCTTCACCGCTGAAATGACTGAAACGCCTTTGTTGACTTTATGAGATCAGCCTGGTGAGAGCTGTGATGATGATGTGGGAAACAAACATTTCCACTTTGGCTACAGTGGAATGTGAGTATCATCAGTGTCATTAACATGAGGTTATATTGAACTCGAACTCACATCCAACAGTGTCTCGGAAACAGATCCCTTTTCTTTCAAGCATTAATTTTGACGGTCTGTCTTTTCTGTGTGCTTTTCTCCTGCCACAATGTTATGAGTAATTGATTAATATGTCACGATGAATCAGAACTGTAAGCCTCCTGCTTTGAGTTTATGGGACAAATATTTCACTTTCCAACCAACATTTCTGCTCCATTGCACAGATGCTTGTATCTATATCAGTGTTGAACAAAGAGTTCCAGAATGATAGTACAACGACTTTTTGATAATACCTCCATAACAAAAATGGAGATGCAACTGCACGTTTACACTGCTTGAGCTTCAACAAACACTGCTCCCCCCGTGGGGACAAGAGGCATTGCAGCAGAGACGTCATGGATGTGTCTGGTTTAATGATGTCATGGCTGGGGGTGGTGGTGCTACCTGTCTGATGGTCGCCTATTTTGGTCACTTTATTTTAACCGATCAGGTCACCACACCATTCACAGCATGGTAGCACGGGCATTATTCAGCTTAACTCACAGCTAAGTGCAAAAAAATAAATAAAAAAGAAGGGGGAGGATAAAGGGGATGAAATAATCAGGCATTTTCAACAACTATAAGGTTTCTTTACTTCTACTTTCTTATGCAGGAAATAAACAGGAAATAAATTTAAGCAGAGATTTAGAAATGTTAGTATTTAACAGGGATATGAAAATGGTTTTCCTTCAGATGTTTCCAGTTTAACATCAGTAGAACATCAGATTGAAAATATGAAAAATGTAATCATCAACGCGGCGTTAATAAGGTCTGTTGTGCTCCCCACAGCGCGAAAATCCAAGAAGTTGAAGCTGAAGGGTGTCAGCGAAGACCTGCAGGGATCTAAAGATGGCCAAATATCCACAGGTGGTGTTTCAGGTGGTTACCTGTCCTCAGAGAAGGAGCTGAGTGCCAGCGCTGCCAATGCCCTGGTGCCCCACGGGCCTGGGGTGGTCACACCTTTCCTGCCACCCTCCATCTGCAGTGTGTTGGAGCTGATAGAGCCCGAAGACGTGTACTCTGGCTATGACAACACACAGCCTGACACAACTGACCACCTGCTGTCCAGTCTCAACCGCCTGGCTGGAAAGCAGATGGTACGCATGGTGAAGTGGGCCAAAGTACTTCCAGGTAAGTGTACAGCCGGGCGGAGGTCTGAGGCCTAAATGCTGTTTTTATAGAGGGGACTGGTGAGAGGGTATAAATGTGCCCTCAGTTATTTTTGGAAAACAAACAAGGTGTTTAAATTAACATTTTAATTTATTATTTATTATTCTTTATGTTAATCCGTCATTTGCTTTATATCTTAAGATCTCCATATATGCCATATAAAAGCTTCAGGATTTTAAAAAAAATTGGAATAAAACATTTTCTATCATGAATATATCAAATTTACAGCTCTTTTTTAAAACTTTCCTAATTCAATTTCAGTTTATCAATTTACATGAACAGGTTGTGCTTAAATATCTGTTTTGTTTGCTGAGGGATCAAAGAAGGTGTTAATGGGGGAATAATGTCAGTCTAAGCGTGTGGAGATGCTGTGTGGGGAAAGACTAAATCCCAGTACAAACTAGATCTGCAATATGCTCTGGAGTTAAAGTGAAGATAAGATGTAAAAACATCTTCCCTTTTAATCGTTTTTAGAATGCTGCGCTACAGGTTTTGTCAGGGCACATCATTTCCATGTTAAATATTAGCAAAGGAAATGATTCTTTACAGCTTCAACAAGATTGGATATTAATCCTATTTTACCATCAAATAGAATCAAGATGAGGATTTCCAAACAGGGCTCATTTAGATCACTGTTGCCAGATTTTAAATTAGAACCTCTATCTCATTATTTTCTCTGCATATACCACATCGCACAAAGAAAAAGATGTTTGAAAAGGGATAAACAGGGTCTCCCATGCCAGTCGGTAGTAATCATAATGAAAGGTACCTCACAGGTAGATCTTTGAGCCTGCTTAATTTGCTGTATTGCAAATATTTGATACCTCTACGGTGTCTGCTTGCCATATCCGGACGTATAAATAGAAGCCAGACAAAAGGGTCAAAATGAGTACCTTTGACTTTCAGATATGGCACAGCTTGTGTTTGGTTTACATTTGCATGTGACAGGGCTAACACGTAGGCCAATAATGCTCCGTAATGTCAATAGTAACAATATGTCAAAATTGTTATTATCTTTTAAATTTCTATCCTGGGAAGCGAGAGCAACATTATTACCATGTACTTACTGCCACTACCTGACTTGCAGAAGACGGCCAAAAGTCTTTCAAGCCAGATATTTGACAAATCTATTCAACATATACTTCTTTATAATAGACTTTTCCTGGGAGATTGACATGTAATAGAGACAAAAATAGTCCCTGAGCCTTGATAAGTCACTCGTGTGTCCTCAGTGGGGCTACGTTTTGCATGAGGCGGATGTTCTTGCCAAAGTTTGATTGAGAGTTTGGCAAGTTTCCTATTTGTCACTATTTTGGAAGCTTCATAGACAACATGCCTATAACCGGAGGCCTTGTGAGATTTGCATAAAACGAGATTGGGTGAATACTTGTCACTGGTTATCATGTTTACACAAAATCTGGCAGAAGCATACACACTAACCAAACAGTGTGAAATGCATAGATTTAGGTAAACACACACACACACAAGTAAAAATCCAAATCTCTCCTTTCTGCTTCATTTAAATAAAATGATACTATCTCATCACACGTATTGCTGTTCTCATTTTGTGTTTTTTTCTTTTTTGTTAGGTTTCCGGGGCCTGCCCATTGAGGACCAAATCACCCTGATCCAATACTCATGGATGTGTCTGTCCTCCTTTTGCCTCAGTTGGCGCTCCTACAAACACACCAATGGACAGATGCTCTACTTTGCCCCTGATCTCATCTTTAATGAGTAAGTTTACACTTTCAAATCTGAAAGAGATCACACCTGTGGCTTTGTCATTAAAGACTCCTTCCAGTTTTTAACCTTGTTAATTACGTCAAATAGGATTTGTCTTTTTTATTTATTTGTTTCAAGATATATCATGAGTAAAGTTAACTATCAGTGGCTGAGAGTTTTGCTGTGAAGCACAGCCCTGCAGTCTATATAAGTTTATAATATGTTTCATGGAAACAGTGACAGGGCAAGCCTATGTAAGATGATAAGATATCACACACTAGTTTAAGAAATCAGTAAAAGCAAGGCTGAATGAGGAGCCATGACTTGAGCAGACATGGCAGACAGTGTCATCTACTGGTGTACATATGAGTGGAGTTAGATTAGTACAGTCAAAAATCCCTGTTCAGCAAGTGAGTAAAAGTAAAACGACATTATCACCAGCACACCCGAAGACTTTCTCTGAAGCCCTGGTTTTGTGTGATGAAAACATTTTCTCTAGTCTAATGTATTTTGGCCGTAGTTAAAAAAAAAAAAAAAAAAACTCCAACATTCAAAGTTGCATATTACAGAAAATAAAAAATGCTTTGCAGAGTAGTTCATTATTCGTCACAGTAACTGGTTGATAGGTCAGAGTTTACTTTATTGTATTTACTGTCTCTCTTTACTTTAACAGGCTCATCTAACAGTTATTTATGCTTAAGCACAACACTTAGAGAAATTCAGAGCAAGGGGTAACAAACTAATTTCTAACCGTGCTATTTTAAGGAATTCACAACAACAAATGAAAACTCTTTAGATCTTAATGCGTTTGGTGTAATAACATTGTTATCTGGATGTTGTGTTGAACCTTCCACGAGGTCATCTTGTGGGGAGGTTCTGAAACTTCCTTAAGATGTACTGCACTTTTGTGCTTTTTGATGGATCTCTAAGTGCTTTCCACGATGATCATACCTTTGCTGCACCAGTCCACTCGGTCAGTGTTAGGTTGCATGCACAGGAAAGGAAAGGTACAGTGTATGGGCCTTTAATCTGGTTGCAGCTACAGGACATGGGCGGTGATGGATTGAGTCTTATACAATTAATCATAGTGCAGAATAGTAACCTCTGTCGGCAGCGAGCTGTAGAGAAGCAGGATCAGTCAGGGCCAGGTTTAAAAGCTTCAACTAATAGCTTGTGCAAGCAAGAGTCAGTGGGTTAGTTTTTCCCCAAATTAATAAATAAACAAGCAGCACTCAAAACATTACTTTGCACTAAAGCTATAAACTCTTTGTGCCTATGTTTTATATTAATTTAATACTTTTCATTGCAGCTGCTTTTCAACAAGAGCTCTTATAGTTCTCTAATTTATTGAATACCAAGTTAGTCACCATTCATTGAGACTTGTCTGTGATTCTGTCAGATGACTGGATGTTTTTTGGATTAAATCTGATTTAGTCATTGATGCAATTTGGAAACGGTTGTTTTGAAGAAGTCCAAACATGGGATAAAAAATGTGTAACTGAAGTGGTTTCACGTGATAGATAAACATGTATTTCTTGAGGAGATCTTTTTCCTCCACAGTATGGTATGCGATGTAGACTGTGAGTCAGTCCCAATAACAGATGGGTCCAGTATTTAGCTTGATAGCCATGAAGATGTAGACTTGCTGTTGATGGTGGCCTGGATGTTGCAGATACTACTGCTATCCCTGTAGTGTATTTTGCTTTTTCTATATGGGCCCAAATGGGTCCATACTTTGACATAGTCTTTTTGATTGGTAGCAAAGTGGACGGTGTCATCTTCGTTTTATAGCAACTTTGTCTTTAACCCATTTATACCATATTTAATACATGCGGTTTCTTAAAATGCTTTACATCTGAGACCTTTGCATCATTTAAATGTAACAACTTTGCTCAAAACCCTGTTTTACACAATCAGATATAAGTGATTGCAGCAGGCAGAAGTCTTAACGACAATAATTTGGTTTTATTCCACAATAAATGATGAATATTTAGATTTTTTTTCATATTTTTAAATATATATTAAAGGGCCAATAAAGACTTTAAAGAAAAAAATCCATTTTAATTTAATTTTTTTATTATCCGGCTTTAAAGTGTTAATGGTTCATGGTTATTAACCGTCTTTGAACGATTCACACACCCTATGAGACCCTGGTCTATAAATTCTTTTCGGAAATCGTGGACACCTCTAACCACTGACTGAAAAGGAGAAGACCATCCAGTATGTTAACAGCACTCAGTTTAATAGCCTGCATCTCTGATCAGGATGCACTAATCATTGGATCTGGCTACTTGCTCATCTGGAAAGGCTATATTCAGGTATTAAAGCTACATGTTATATAGTTCCTTATTAGAAAGTGTGCTGGACCGGCCTGCCAGCAGCTCTGCTCTTTCAGCCAAAAGAAAACGTGACATCCTATACAACAAAAATCCCCGGACTGTTGAACATCTAGGATCCTTTATCAAACACTCACCTCTGTCAAAGGTCAACTGGTCTGCTCAGTTCCCAGACAATCACAAAATATTTTTAAGAGAGAGGGTCTGTTGCCCAGTGGTAAACACTGAGCTGTTCAAAACTTGAACACATGTTGCTGCCATCAAATTTTCATTATGAAATCGCAATAAAAGTCTCTTTTTTACATGTTTTTATTACATACAGTATATACGCAGAATATATACATATATGTGTGTGTAAAATATATAGGCATATATAAATGCTTATATATGCTTACATTTATATACACCCCATATATTCTCCTGGACAGATTTTCTTTAACTAAAACTTTATTAATCTTCATTTTTGTGCTCTTTTTCTTCATTAAGGAGTGGAAAGGAGAGAAGGAAAGAGAGAGTATGCAGCTGTATCCTCTTTCCTACCTCAAACCAGCAGCTCATTTTGGGCAGTGATTCAGCAAAATTGATTTCAGGAAGAAAAAAAGACAGAAAAGGAGATAGAGAAAGAAAAAAAAGTCTCCAGTCCAAAGTCGTGTCAAATAATATTATTCTGCACTTTGCAAAGTGACCACATTCAAAGTACCGCTCAGGATGTAAATGGGCCTTTGTCACAGTGTATTTAGTAGAGTAGACAGCTGTACAATAAATACCGTAAAGTGTTGTGCAGTCTGATGCTTTAATGGGAACATTATGCGCTTGTTTCTAATCAGTCGCTTCTGGTTCGTTCCCTCTGTTGAATGTTTAGTCTGGCTGTTATCAGAATAAATTCTTAACCTTAATTTCCAGCGGGATGAAGTGACTTCCAAAATCTAACACCTCTCAAGTCACGATATCTTACTTGTATTTAATCACTTGACGTGGCAGTGATTTACCAAATAGCAAAGAGAAGAGACATGCAAAGCAAGAGAATATTTGGCTTTCACGTGGCACATTTTTATTGGACTGAGCTTCATCCAAACCACTGTTTCTTTCCTGTTTTTGTTAACTCTAACAAATTATACATATCTTATAATATGGTTATAACATGGTTATTATTATTATGCGCGTCATTATCAACATAGATTTGTTTGGGAGCCACCTGTCCCTGCTTAAGATGGTTCTATCGTGACCAGGTTTACATATAAGGTTTTCTTTAGTCCACCACAGCTTTGGAAGAGTGGTGCATCTGTGCCGTGATAGCGTATGCAGCTCTCTGCAATCTGGAGGGATTTGGTATTCTGCTCTTAGCCCAGACAAGCAAGATCCTCGTCTGCACTGTGTGGAAACATAGTTTTAGTGGACTGAACTTGCTTGGTAGGAATGGAGTGAGGAAGCCAATTATTTTATGATAGAAATAAAAAAGAAAGCAGAAGTAATGAATAACCTAGCAGTGAGTGTAAAGCTGTGTATGGCTGAGTGGGTTCTGAGAATGAAGGGTGACTAACACTAATCCAACCTAATACAGTTATTGTCATCAAAGAAATGCTATATTTGGTTTCTTTTTGCAGGGATCGCATGCGGCAGTCAGCCATGTATGATCTGTGTCTGGGCATGAGGCAAATAAGCCAGGAATTTGTTCGATTGCAGCTAACCTACGACGAATTCCTCTCAATGAAAGTTCTCCTGCTTCTCAGCACAGGTAGGCAGCAAGTTATTAACCCAAACACAGACTCTTATATGTTCATCACATAACTACCTTCCCTTACATATGTAAATGGTGGCTGCAGGACGTACTGTATACACATGATTTAAAAAGACGTTTCATAAATAAAAGCAGAATGCTGTGCCACTCAAACTTAATTTCCTGTTGAAGATCTGAAAGTGCAAAAGCAAAGACCACGCATAAAAGTTGACTGATGTTTTTGTAAAGTTTTGTGAATATATGATAAATTTGACTCAAATTGTTTCTGGAAAGATGTATGAATCTAAACAAATATCTGGTTAAAAACTTAATTTGGCAACAGATCAGCAACACAATGAGAAAAAGAATGGAAGACGTGCCTGATTAACTGCTCTAATGCCTCAAACATTATCGAGGTGAAATCACTGTACTGAAACACTTAAAAAGGGCTGTTAGCAGATGCAGCTCAGTCACTTCATGCATAAAAGCCAATTAAAAATCTATCATGCAAGCAGACAAACAGGGTCCAGGAAACTGTTGTTTTTTTAAACTCTAGCTTACTTAAGTCATGAAATCCATTTTCCTGTGCGTTCTATGTATGCAGTCTGTGTATGTGTGATATTTTGGAACGTCCTTATGTAACCTAGAGGTAATTTAGCTGGACAAATGTCAAATATTTACTCTCAGCCTTAAACAGTTTAAGAATAGTTGTTGGACCAGTTTTTGAGAACATGGGGTTTGACATGTAAACTGTTCGACGTAAACATGTCTATTTTACTTTCCAAATTGAATATTGAGGGAGAATGTGAATCTCCCTCTGTCTTTAACCAAAAGCAGACCAAAATCAAACATTTTTCTAAAGTCTATTAGATCACAATTCAGTCTCATTCTCTTTAATCTGTTCACAAAGATCCCAATTGTCAAAACAAACTTAATGTTGCATGTAAGTAGATGCAGCCGCATATGGGCCAAAAGGTCATGGTGTTATGTAGTCAAATCTGTGTCATGACTCCAAATATACACAACTATCACAAAGAATTGGAAGTCACTACACAATAACATTGGTTTTAGCTGAACCTTCCAGGTGACATTAGGCATTTAATTTAGATAAAACATCTCTGTATTTTTCCTGCATCAGCTTTCGCAAAGGAACATGCTAAACTTCAGCTGAGATTTTTAAAGGATTATTATTCTTATAACCTCTCACAAACTGTGAGCACTTCAACAGATGTAGAGTCTTTTAAGGAAACCCTACTTGTCTGCGCATGTCGTGGGAAGAAAAATGGAGCACCCGTGTCACTGCTAACACAGATCACAGCACGTTTTTACCAAAGCAGGAGGCTGCAATCCTGAAAAAATTTAAATGGAGATGAGCGTCTCTAGGTTTGTTCAGCCAACAACTTTCTTATGTATGAGACTGATTTTGCACACAGCTAGCTCATTTAATTTAATGATGAAAGTAATCGATGAAGAGCAGTTTAAATTTAAGGTTGCAAAAAAACAGGTCTGTAAAAAATTGGCTGAGGGTTATTTACTAACTGCACAGGCAAAATCTGTTACATGTCATTTCACAAATATAAAAACTCTAAGTGTGAATGTTAGTTATATTAAAAAAAATAAGTTGAGAGGCTGTCTGCTCAGGTTGTGGAAAACAGTTTTACATTAACCTTACCAGTATCAACCTTTTTAATATTTTTCTGGTGGTAAAAGCTTAACGTGCTGTAGAAAAAGGGGATAAACAGTTTGGTTGATAAAACATGGAATATTCCTAAATACATACCTTTAAAGTTATACAAGGCTGCTTACTCTCAGTTAATCAAACTGAAAGCTTTTTGACCTATTAAAAATTCTGCTTTGGTGTATTTCTCTATGGAGAAACACACTCTGATTTTATTTAATTGTGTATTTTCTTTTTTTCTTGTTCATTTTGTGTTCTTTGGTTTCTTTTGGGGTTTTGAACGGGGGCAGAGGGTATGTAGACACCAGCAAATGACAGTGTGCATATGTGAGAACTATAAAATCATAAAAATGGGTTTAAACCTGTATTCTGCACACATATTCACCCTCTGTTGGCAGAATGAGGACTTTCACATTAAACCTGCTGATACAGCACCTTCCCATAGGATTCTGTGGAGGTGTGGATGTGTCTATTTGTGCTTTAGAGCTTAATAACTGTGAAGAAAAACAATCTCTAAATTAAGTTTTATTTCTCTTATTTATTGCTTTGTTCTGTGAAGGGAGGTTCAGCATTTCAAATGCTGTACTTTGATTCAGGAACTGATTATTACAATGATGTACTGGAAAAGAAATTTGATAAATGAATGTTATATGCTCATGGTACTATAGTGATAGAATATCATATAGAGACTTCTTCCAAAAAGGACAATTTTCCATTAGGCTAATGTATCTTGCTACTCTGACAACATCTTCTGCTACTGTTGAACACTAGCTTGGCAATCATAGGGCTAATAGATATATAATAAAGTAGTTATGATTTATGTAAAATACTGCCAATGTAATATATACTGTAAAAGTCTGCTTTATGATCTCAAGTGTTTCTTTTAGCTGTTAATGTGTTGGTGACGAAAGATTGTATGAGCAAAATTATGATAATTTATTTGTCATAATATATATTGTTTTTTTCACATTATCATCTAAGTACATTTTCTAAAATTTTTCCCCATCCAAAGTCAGGATTTCAAACTTGCAAAACATGTTGTCATTCCTTTTCTCTCTGATCATGTAGCAAGGGGAAAAAACATGTATTTAATACATGTATTTTTGTTTTAAGTTGTTTTTGGTTTCATATAAGATATACATTTGGGAGAGGAGATGTGAAAGCGTTTCCTTGAGAAACTAAAAAAAGAAGCGAGCACTAACTGGGCTGAGCCATTGGATGTTTAGGGAAAATGAAAAGTCAGGAAACGGAAGGAGCAACAAACCAGTGGCGAAAAGTTTGATTTATAGAGTGAAATCCAACAAGTTGAGAGAATGAGCTGGTGTTTGTGAGAAAGAGACAGGTGCACGGCAATAGGCAAAAGCAAAGCGGAGACAAAGGGAGTGGTGGGATGGCAGAGCAGCTCCTTCTGTTGCTGTGGCCTCCCTCTCCTCTCCTCACTGGTTCTCTGGAGGCTTTCCAGAGAGCCCTGCTGTACTTAATAAAGGCCAGTCAAGCACCAGGCAGTGCTCCAAGATGTGCTATTTTTCTGCACTTCCTCGAAAACCCAGCCTGGAATTTATAAAGCGAGGGTGTAGATAAAAGAAGCAGGGATATGGAATCAAAACAGGAGGACCAAGGTGCTTTGCAGTTAGTCCAGTCTGCTGTGGTTATTGGATTTGGTCAGAATATTACAGTAAAATATGAGGGATGCAGTAAGAAAATAATCCACCAGCACTTCCAGGCTGCTTTATGAAGTGACTGAATGGTAGAGAGGTTTGGCAAAGCAAATGAAAATAATTTGGGAAAGAAGAAGAAGAAAGAATTTTAAGGACCGCTGCAAGAAGCTCTTTTAGTTACAGCCATTCAAATAGAATGCTTGCACCTCGTGGAAGGAGTAGCAGTAGAAATGTTTACAGAGGAGGTGTCGGAACATGTCGGTAAAGCAAGCACTACAGATTCTGTGCATATGTGTGTGTGTGTGTGTGTGTGCAGCCTTTGGGCTGGTTTATAGAAGAGTATTTGTAGGCTACACAGGGTGTGTGAGTAAAAACTCGGAGGAAAAATTGGATAAATAGAAGCAGAGACAAGAGCCCTTATTCCTATGTAACCTTGGTTAAGGTTTCGCTGAGCCCGCGGTGCCTCATGACCCCGTTTGAAATTGGTGCAAGAGCAGAGGCCCATTCAAACCAGTTACACCCTGCCCCTCCACACAAAGACTTAGAGAATGGATTCTGGATGTGTACTCATTCATTTGTTCTTCTTCTTAACTGCATGTTTTTGTTTGTTTTTCTTGTTGAGGAGCCTTATTCCATACGGGGCAGGTGTACAGTGGGTTTACAAGAGGGACAGTGACATTTTACATGACCTATTTTACAGCTTCCCGCCGGAATTATTACAAAGTCTTTTCAAAATATTTTCTCTCCATCCTCCACTTAGACTACACCCTAAACTTTTTAAATTACCTGCGGTTGCGCTATAGTAAGGGCTAGCTGAAGTCTTCTTCTTAATGAGCAACATCGGGTTTTAAATTAAAGATGAGAGCCACGCGGTTGCTCGTACAGTATATACCTTACAAACAAAGAGCAGGAGGCTGGATGTCCTTTAGCAATCCACGTGCTAATGACATTACCTTCCTGCAGGAGAGAGAGAGCATCTTTATTTCACATACTTTGAGAAAAGAACTCTCCAAAGGCTTGTGTTAGACTTACTAATGTAGCCACCTTCGGAGTAAGTAATAAGGTCCGCTTCATACAAGCAGACAAAATCAATTTGACACCAATTATGGTGGTATAAATGCCCTTTTTCAGGGCAACTCATGGATACAACCCCGACTGCCAGGTCAGTTTCTAATCAGGGCATATGTGGGTCAGTGGGAGAAAAAGAAAAGGTCCAAATGCGGCACTGGGATTTGCACATTCTCATCATGTCAGCCATGAAACAGCAGAGAAATCACAGCCTCTGCACCAATCAGGGTACATTCTGTTTTTATTTCTGCTTTCCTCAGCTTCATGTACGTTATGCCCAAAGGTGTTTGTGCATCAAAGTACGATGAAAAGGATTACATAGAAGGAGACAGACAGAGAGGAGGAGAGGGAGGCGGCTAAACACAAACATGCATCCACAGAGTTACTGACCTACAATGATCTGTTCTCAAAACACAGGCGTTTTGCCGATGGAAGTCAAAGCAGCAGGATTCAAACAGGTCCTGTCAGTTGTTAGTTTTTGGTAGCATTCTTAAAAGTGGTTTACAATTATCTGAGACAATCAGACAACTCAAAATCACGGCAGAAAAGAAGATCAATTATTGTTTAAAGGAAAGAAATAAACTATTGGTGCCAGTTATAGTATATTCTGCTATAAAAGATGACTTTGAGGGAATAAACTCCAATATCCAATTCATGCATCACAAACAGTATATCCTTCTTTAGACATGCTCGGTCATGTCCGGTTCCTGGTAACTGTGCCACTAGCAATCTGTGTTTGAAAGTTTGTTAGAGATCTGTAACAAACATAATTAATAAGAATTTCACAGGTGGCTGATTCTGATGTATATTAATGCTCTGAAGCGGCAGTTGAAAGTAACTTGGAATTATTACTTAATTTGGTGTATTTATTTGTAAGTATTTCAGTAATGTATATAGTAAATACAAAGCTGGTTTGCCAAAAGAAATAGATGACAACTTATCCAGTTTTTAGAGCAGATGTATATAGATGTAAAACACCCAGAAAATGCCTCTGATACCACACTCACTGACACAGTTTATTACCATTATGCAAACCTTTCATGCATAGAGCAAGTACAAACTCTCACCGTCACTTCCTGGTCTTGCTTAAAGTTCAGGTGAAGGTGTTGAGAACCAAATTATTTATTCGCTCCGACTACCAGCAGTAGGTAAATAAGTTTGGCAGATTTCCATGACTAAACTTTTTTTTTCTCATGCACAAAAACATACTGCATACTTTTTGATGCCTCCTAATGATGTGATCTTATTGTTCATAGTTGTCTAAATTTCTATCACGCTGCCTTTTAACAACAAGTGCATTGTTAACACAGTGCAAATGGCTATTGATTAAATGAAGATTCTTCTGGTTTAATAGCTCGGATCACTGACAAAGTACATGATAAGTGAGGGTCGGCTGACAAAATGATGAACCTCTTAATTCACATTAGTGCTCTTTTTTAGCAGTCACTGTTGTTGAGAAGTTTTAATCACCTTCTTTCTGTTTTCCAGTCGTCTTTCATGAATCACTGGCAACAAATGAAAACCCATTCCCACTTAAAATGGTGCAAGTGGTTGTAGTAGGCTGTTAAATAGGCTTGGATTGTCAATACAGATAGAATGTCCAAAAAAGGCTACAGCGTGGGAGTCGAAGCGTAATTCACCAAGCACCTCTAATTACCCTTTACATGGTTACACATTTCTGCATTAAAGGAGCACACTGGTGGTTGTGCATGACTTGGCCCACTTACTGCAAATCATGTTAAATGAGTGTTTGCCAGACATTTTCTGGAAGGCAACAAGCTTACACCAAGTTACTGACAACTCAATGAATTTCTGAGCTATGAGTGTTCCTCTATGGTATTTTTTTGAGGGGGATCTGGGATATATGAAAATTAGTAGTCCACAGAGCAGCCATGCAAAGTCTTCTCTGAATAAAAAACGCTCAGCTATTTCCGAGGGTCTTACTTAAAGCTTTAGGAAATGAAGCAAACCTCTGAAATCGGTGGCATGGATGATTAACGGCTGTGGTAATATTTCTAACAAAGATGATAAATTCAGTTATTTTTTATTTTTTACTAGCAGAGGCTAACATCATCCTCATATAACATCATCCTCTCCCATCTAAGTCGTGTTTTTAAATGATCTTTTTTTACTGTGTGACAAATTAATAGTAACTGTGTGATTGTTTATGCTGCAAAATAATTTCCTACCATGAAAAAAAAATAGATATAACTTGATTTGATTACATTTCTGGGGTAAAATTAGGTGATTAAAGGAGGATACTTCAACAGTCTGTTGGATGTTTTCTCTTATTCAATTTTTTGCTAATCTAGTGATGCTCAACTGAAAGAATTATAGCTGAAAACTCCTTTTTTTTAAATCAATAACTCAGTGATACTCTTCTGTATATTAAGTTAGGACTTTTTTGTTACTATCAAAATAAATTATCAAAATTACGGGTTAAAAAAGCAAAATGTGATGAGGTGCCTATTGTCATTTTCTTAATAAATGAGTGAACACATTATGAATAACAGCAACCAACAGGTTACAAACACAAAATCCTTATAACCTCAGTTAAAACCTCTTTATTTCATTTTGCCAGTGTTCTGTAGTGCTGTATGAAAGTGCTGTCTCTAAATCCAGATGATGACAGAGGGATTTGTCTGTTCCCCAGTGCCCAAAGAGGGTCTGAAGAATCAGGCGGCTTTCGAGGAGATGAGGGTTAATTACATCAAGGAGCTCCGACGTTCAGTGGGAAAAGCAACCAACAACTCCGGCCAAACCTGGCAGCGCTTCTTCCAGCTCACCAAGCTGCTGGATGCCATGCATGATGTAAGTATACTTGGCCTGTCTGCCTCTTGCCTCTGTGCCACTTGCAAACAGATCTGCTCAGGCTTCCCTTGGCAGCCCTACTTGTATGCCATGCCTTCACACTCAGGGATAGTGTCCACCGGAACTTTAGGGCTCTGATCTCCCTGGAAATGTTGAGTGAGTAAAATGGCAGGATAGTGGTTTTGGGTAATGCTTTACTTAGTGGTTCAATGAAGCTGTGTGGTTTGGAATAAGGATTATTGCATCCCACATTCTCCCTGAGGGGAAGGTTATTTTGGAAGAGGCAGTGACCAGGCTGCACTGGTGAATGGAACAGAAGGGGATCAATACCAGCTTTCAGTTTATTGGATCAGCGCACAGAGTGGTCACTGTGGGGAATGTGCTAAATCACAGTTATTTTGCTGTGCACTGGGTCAATGAGTGCATGGGGAGAATGACAGCATAGGAAAGCCTGGAGGTGAGAATCAGAGAGTAAGGGGTCATAGAGATAAGTGGCTCGAATTCTTTGACCTTTAATGACTCTGATGGGGTTAGAGTTTGCGCGAATAACCTTTTAAAAAAGGCTGCAAAAAACAAAAGAAAAAAATAACAGTGGTTCCCCCAAGTGGTGGGTTTGTTAACAGTCAAACCATATAGTGGCTTTTTTGAAAATGAAATAAATTCAAATCAAATTAATGTAAATTTAAAAGAGTTTAATCAGATGTGCATTATCCTAATGCTAATAGGATTACAAAGTGAAGTGTTTCTTATATATCATATGTTTGTGGTTTACAGCTCGTTGGGAACTTGCTGGACTTCTGTTTCTACACCTTTCGCGAGTCCCAGGCCCTAAAGGTGGAGTTCCCCGAAATGTTGGTGGAGATCATCAGTGATCAGATACCAAAGGTGGAGTCAGGCCTCACTCACACCATCTACTTCCACAAGAAGTGACCTGCCATGCAGCTGGGACAGACACAACTTTAAGAACTGGACAAGAGGAGAAAGAAGTTCAGGGAAGTAAGAATGTGCAATGAAAGCCCGACCTGTGTTGGTCCAAAACTCTGTTGCCCAGTATGCCGATGTCCGCGTCTTGGTTAAGTTCAGTGGTGACAGAAGTTTAAAAGGGGGAGAAGGATTCAACACCGCAATGACCGTAAGCGTTTCCGAGCTGGAAAGGTTTTAGACACTATGAGAAGGACTTCTGACAAATGTGACTCTGCATCCCAATGTTGGCCCATGCACCCCTGCCCCAAAGACGATAAGAGTATTTTCTATGGAGATAAAGCCATACATTTCTTAGAATGCATTAGATAGGTCCATAACACATACAGAGTAGAAGGAGATCGAAACACTTCTGTCCACATGCCTTCTCTGAAACATACAGATACACTCCACACACACTAAAAATGAGACTCACTCACAAATCCAGAGAAACGTTTTTTGCAAATATTAACTCCGGCTTATGCAGTCTTTCACAAATAAGAGCAGTTGGAAAAAGTATGCCAGTACTAAGATTAGCTTTGTAGTGTAGCAACAGGACTACATGGCAAACGACTTTTTGATGAGAGAGAAAAATTTAACTGTATGGCAAAAGGTCTATTTAACGATATCCCAAGGGCTATACAAGCATTATCATAAGCTAAACAAATGACATCAAATCTAACAAGTCCAAGTTTTAATCTCAGTCTGTATCATAACAGCCATCATTCACATTTACATACTGAGTTTGTTAAAAGTTCGAAAATGTGTAGTAAAACAATCAAAACTAATATGCAAAAGTGAAAAGCTTAAGCTCTTTTAAATGAATATGTCTCTTCAGTGTAAAAGGAAGCTTGCACATGAAACTCCCATGTCATAGAGTCACTGGTTTGGTGTACAATTAGGATCATATTGAAGCAAGATTTTACCTTTCTGCAAAAAAAGGTCAGAAGTGCTGCAAGAAGGAGAAACGCTGTAAAGGAAACTATTTCAGTAACAGTCGGCCAGTGATGGATTTGACTGAGGTGCGTCCATAGTAATAGCTGTCATTTGTGTTATCTCCAGAGCAGCTGTCTAGATGTCTGTTTTTACTCACAATGAAGCAAAACCAGCCCTTTGTGAACCAACACTTATCTACTCTTCCCAGAAATAATAAAGAGCATTTTATAAATGTGTGTTGCAAAGGTTTAGTTTTTGACAAGCCAGTCATTTTACATTAAGGTGCTTCAATTCTATAAAGCCAGGCAAGACATAACCTGTACAGTAACTCATAGAGAGTCCATAGATACAGTACGATATATGGACTGAAACTTAAACACGCATACTCTGTAAAGTTAATATTATCCAAAATGGAGCGTTACTCTACAGTGCTTACAGCTAATGCATCAATACCAGGCAAATGTACAGGTATTAACGACTTTGTTAAACTCATCCTATTCAGCCGTTGTACAGAAGATGTTTTGAGGTACGTGAGTGCTTGATGAAGAACAGAAATCTGTGTTGTTATGATCACCTTTCCTGATTTACCACCTTTCTTTGTTCTTATTTTGGGCCAGTTCTGCTATTTTGTAGTATGGCAGGCCTGTCTTCTGGACCATTAACTTGTCTCACACCCCGCTGGTCTCTGGATGGTTGTGGAACACTACTGTGATGCTACTGAAAAGCGATAGAGTTGCTGGGGAAGAAAATGAATGTGTGAGGAGGTGCGGTCATTGCTCAGTTATTGTGCCCTGTAAGCATGTATTTACATGTGTGTGTGAAGTATGAGTATGACTTGGGTTTGTGCGTATGAATCTAAATATCTTTTTTTTTTTTCTTTTTTTTTCCTGGCAAGCATGTGAATAGTCTATCTGCTTTTTCAACGTAGCTGCATATATGTTGTAGGTTTAGCCATATCCTCTTTCAACATTTAGATTTGCACAGAAGAGATACAATGTGAAATGAGGCATTAGTGCAGCTAGCAGGAATTGTCTGCTTTTTTAAGCAACTATGATAAAGGGGAGGGGGACTTTCTGCATGGTCACCCAGCCTAAAGTTAGACAACATGACATCAGTAGCACAGCAGGGTCCTTGTGAACTATATTTGTGGCCTGAGCTCTCCTAATAACACTGCTGTGCCACACTATGAAGTCTCCTCCACAGTGGTAATTGTTTGAAGACTGGCATGCAAAGAGGTAGAGGTGTGAGACTCACAGTGTCATTCTGAGTGTTCTAAAATAAGTTGGCAAGTGATGGGGATCAGAAATGGGAAACAGTGCACTTCTTCTTTCCAACAAAGGGTAGTCCATCATGGGGGAGCAAAACAAGATGTGTGACCCCAGAAAAATGTATTTTTCTTTGATAAATTTTGAAATAAAAATATCAAATGGCTGTGCAGGCCTTTGTCATTCATATATTGGCTTTTATAAGTCCAAACATTAAGCGGCTCTTTTCATATGGTTAAAACATTGATGAAGTATTCTTAAGTTACCCAATGATGTTTCCCCTTTGCGACTACAAAATCGGACAATACCTGATTAGAAAGGCCACATTCTGTCATTTTTCTGTCTTTGTTGTGCCCTTTCGCTAATCTCTCACTTTTTATTTTGCCCTCTTTAAGTAATAAAAAAACTGTCACTGTCAGTGGTTCATAGGATGAATGGGAAAGTATTTTTGAGAGAATTATATTTTGCTGGATAACAATATTTAAGTACTTTGTCTAAAAATGATATCCTTTTTGTAAAATGAATTGTTATTGCATGCTTTTTGATGAGATGTTTACATTGTATTTAAAAAAAGGGAAACTTGTGCCTTTTTATCTCACCTGATTTACAATTTTACAGTATATATTGTAAATAATACAGCAAGTCTTTATGTTGAGTATAGTATAAAACATTTCTACTTTAACCATCTTGTTGAAATATTGGAAGAAAAAAATGTGTTTCCCACTCGCCATGTTCTGTGTTTTGCATCACAGAGAAGAATTTACAGTAAGGGTTGGCACCAAAAAGGGCCAAATAGAGAAATGAATGTATCATAACTAGTGAGAGACTTATGGAACTTACTACCTGAATGTTAGCGAGAGATCATTTATTATCTTCTTATTAAGTAAAGTTATTTTATTTTGCTTTTTTTATTTTTTACTTTTTGCATCGTTGTTCACTTGACTCAAAAAAAAAATCAAAAAGCATTTTCTTATTTTGTAACAAAATGTATTAAGTGATGGATCCTTGTTGCTGTTGAAATGATTTCCTAACCCATAGCGGTATTGTTCGTAAGCACCACAATAAAAATCAAGAAGTCACAAACTATTGAAACTCGCATACATGAAAAAAATGTTCTTGACTTCTTAGTTTCAAATTACGGATTTGTGCAAACGCAAAGTGACGTGAAATCTTTGGCACAGGAAAGAGAATACTTGATATACTTGGCACTTCATCTTGTTTTGACTGTCTTTTGTACTAATGGCTAAAATGAGGTACACACGCCTGTAATGATCTTATCAAAACCCTTTACACCCCCTCTGCCGTTTTTTTGGGGAGAAGCGCGGTCAGGTGGGGGGTTGTCCTTTTAAACCATTTAAAATATGCACATTCTCTGCATAACTGAAGGTTGGATGAGAAAACTGACACCATTAAACTGCAACACCAGCCACAGATAAATGGATAGTAAAATCATTTTTAATTTGAAGAGACATTTCTTAGTGTGTTTTTATGCAAGAACAGTTTGAGCATTCTCAGTTGGTAGATTCTGGGAGGAATTTGGAGATTTGGTAAGCAAATATACCAGCTTCTCACAATGAGGAGAATTTAAAGTTATAGTTGGAGAAAACACTATTTGCCAATTTTAACACTACTTTTCTTTTATATCAAATTATTGCTTTTTTTCTCACGTCATCCCAAAGAAATAAACATTTTGCCGTTCGTGGGCAGCCATCACTTAGCTTGCAAAATGGCTGCATAATGCCAGTGCAACATAGGTATATTGCAGAGGTAGTTATATATCTGAAGCCCTAGTGAAGCTGTATGCAAAATTTCAATGTATTCCACACTTGAACTGCTATAAGTTAATGAAGTTTGAGTTTGAAATTAAAAAAGAGGCTGAGCTTTGACCTGCTCCTGTTTAGAACTACTGTTAGGTTAGCTTGCTCATTAAAATTCTTTCCTGCTTTTCCAAGAAGACTGACCACTGTGTACTGCAGGTAAGACCCAGACTACTCAGAAATTCACACCTCATTCAACATCTTATAACAAAAGAAAAATAAATCTCTTGAAGGCCATAACTGCAGCTGAATGCTGCTCATTCCTATTAATGGTCTCAGTTATATATTATCAGACATATTATTTAAACTTGTATCATTTGACACTGACAACTTTAAAAGAATTAAATAACATTTTGATGAGAGTGGTGGATATAAGTCCAGTGTTCACAAAGTCTAGCGGGGAAATGGATAGCCCCGGTTCTCATCTTTGCCTTTTTAAATTAGAAAAAAAAAAAAAGTTGACTTAAAACAGACCAACTGTGACTAAAATTCTGTATCTGTGTGTGACATCAACAGAGTGCGGGACACGTACCAGACCACTGCTGCTCTCTCTTCACCTTAGTTTCAGGCCACAGCCAACCGCACCAAACTTTCTCGAGACGAGCTGCAATGCGAGTAATGCAAGTCTGAGCAGAGAAGTGCAATTCGAAATCATTGCAGGTCTCTGTTAACAGGCAGACCTGTTAGTGGTATCGACATTCTCATCTAACTTTCAGCGAAAAGTGAATAAGAGTATTTCCCAAACTGTCAAACCAATTCTTCTGAGGAGCAAGATTAATGTAGAGTTTATTTAATGGTCATCAATCACCACCTACTGCCAAATATAAAATGGAACCTGTCCCATACTTGAGGGAGCTACGTTATCTTCAGAGCTGTCTTCTTCTAAATTTACTCTCCTTTTTTGACATGGTTGTCCCAGAATTTGTTGAACTGCTGTTTCTGACACTGTTGCGTCAGTTTGTGTGTGTATGGAGTCACATCATTGTCATTTACCTTTAACAGTCGTGAATCGGTGAAGAGAGACTAAGCCATATCTCCACAGCCATGGCAGTGCATTAATTATTTATATACAAGAACAACTTTTTTTTTTTCAGTTCCAGAAATGACTTTTTACTCGGTAGAATCTTTCCTAACAAATACACAGTAAACCTCTTTTGCCATAAACTAATCGGACATTTTTTTAAACCAGTCACTGCTGTATATCCTGATGCAGATATTGCCATATTTGTGTTAGTAAAACTATTGCAAGATTCAAATAAAAATCGTTAAAACTGATCTACTGATGTGATGTAATGTGTTTATGCATGCAAGTCTTTTAGTGTGCATTTAGGTGTGGAGCGTGGCACAGAAACTGGAGAAGGAGCCCTACTGAAACAAAGTTTTATTGTGCACGGATTATTAACTGCATTTGGTGGCTGGGGATAATAATGACCTAAAAATAAATAGATAAATATATGAGGGAAAACACAGTGCAGCACGGAAAAGCAAGAAAATTACAAAGAACACAGCAGGTACTGAAGTCGCAAGACGGGGATTAGGAGAAGAATGGAAAAGGAAGGAGAGCCATGAGACTTTTTCAGTCAAATGATGCCTGTGGTGAAAATCACCATTAACCTTGTTAGAGGCTGATCTGAACAAACGCCTGCTTTGCCAGTCTGTGGAGCAGACAGTATTACTTTTTTCGCTTACCCCCCCTCCCTCTCCCCTGAATCACAGCTCTCTCCAAATCTCCCCCAGATTTCCAATTGCTTTCACTTGTAGTCGTGCCAGATAAACAGAATCTATTGGATCAGGCTGATTTCACGGCTGCACCCGCGCACATGGCAGCTTCTGTGGCCCACTTTCTGAGCTGATTTTTTTTCCTACCCCTCTATGCTTTCTCTTTTATGTATGAAATTCACTTTTCTCAAAATTCCCACTGAGTTTTTCGCCTCAATAATACATCAAGTCTTAGTATGATTATATCTGAGCTTTGCTCTCTGAAGGAGCCAGCAGAAGACACCAGAAAGTATTAAGTCGGTGTATCCCCCCATAAATTGCGTGTTTGGGGAATTCGGAGACACTGGTGGTGCCCGCAGTGTCATTTTCTCACACTTCCAGGTAAACTGCTCCGGAGCTTTGATCTGAGCTGAGTCACCGAGTGGTGTGCGTTTTCAGGCTGAAGGACACTGCGTCACATAAGGAAAAGGACAGCTGGCTCACAGCCAGGACTGGAAAGTGAGAAATGAATATGTCTACATGGACTGCTGCTCAAACACACAAACACCCAGCCAATAAAAAAAAAAAAAGCTGTAACACCGATGTCCAGTCTAATATCTATTCATAAATAATTCATGCAGGGATACAGAAAACACAACCGATGTGCCGACCTCAAGTGATATGACGGGATTATAAAGGCCTGAAAATATGGATCTTATCCGCCAAAATTTTTGGCGGATAAGATCCAGTTTTTCTTTTCAGCAAAACCGCAGGAAAAAAAAAAGGAATGTACCAATTTCATGTTAAAAATGACTAATCAAACAGAGGAAAAGTGAAGCATTGAGGAGAAATAGAGGAAGGACAGAGTTCAGACAGCACTACAGAGACAGACAGGTAGGAAGAGGAAAAGGAGAAATGAAGGCAGACAGAGCAACATGGCATGGTTTCTGAGAAACGGTCCAAAGCCGAGTGAGAGGCAGGCAGGGTGAACGTCTTTATGATTCAGCAGTATTCTGGCAGAGAGGAGATGATGAAGGGGCCCCAGGGGTGGGCGGTGCTGGTGAGAGTGGAGGAATATTTTGCCCATCTCATTAGCTCTGCCTCATTTCATTATGTTATCATTTCTGCAGTTCCATTTGGGAACTGGTGGACACAGGTTGACACTGTGTCCACTAGTTCTACTCTGATTCTGGTCCAAGAAAAAAGAAAGAAAACGGTCTGTGTGTGTTTACCCAGCTAAAATCAGCCCACTTGGCTGAGGTCAGTATCTGATGGTGGTGGTTGACTGCTGGTAATTATGTAACAAAGGTCAAAGCACTGGGCTGGGAGGCCTTTTGGTTGGCTAATTATACAGATGTAGTCAGAGAATTAACATGTGCGAAGCTGAGATATGAATTTATCATGGAGGAGGGCGTGGATTAACATGTTTTCTCTTCTGAAAGATTAGCATATATTTTGAATCCTCTAATTGAAACTTACTTTGGATGTAGCTTTCATAACGAGACCAGTGCGGGTCTTTATAAAGAAAGGCAGCTTCCATTACACAACAGGGATCAATGTGTCTGTAAATCCAGTTTACCAGTCAATTGAATCTTAGACTTTGGGATTTTGCAATGCAAAAAAAACCCCTCTGTTTGTGAAATGAAAAATGAAGACGTGAAATAATTAACAAAAAAAAGCTTTATTTTTTCAGATTAATAAAGAGGATAACCCAAAGGTAAAAAGACAGACAAGTCTAAGCCTTTTAAGAACATCGTTAAATCACTGCACAGTCTGCTGAACCAAAACAAATCAAAGCTTTGAACACAACTTAGTGACGATAGTCCTGTCGGGGCATATACATCCTAAAACCAGTCTCAATAAAAAGATTAAAACCAGTCACTTAACAGAGTTGATGTACTTGGTCATAAGTCACAACATTTAGATTACAGATTTTAATCAGGTCAGAATATTTAAAATACTTTGAGGTACTGCAACATCCTGCTTACTTGGAGTGTATCATTTTCTGCTCGAAAGAACAAGAGCAACGTACAAATTCACTTAGAAAACGAATAGTGAGATTATTTGAAGAAAAAAAAAAACTTGGCTTTGATCGTTACAGATAAGTGACATTCTCCTCTGTTGACACTGTCTCATGTTAGTGTTTAACATAACAGGGCTCCCCAGAAACCAGAGAGGCGTTTCATTGTGTTTCTGTAAAAGGAGTGCACCAACAACAAAGTGGATAACAGTACAATGTGTGTTTAAAATGAAAAAAATCAATGTGCCAATTAAATAAAATACAATTACAGTAACAACGTGCCTTATGTCAGTTTCTAGATATTCTTGAAATGGCTGAAGACAAAACAAAACCAAAAAAGCAGCTGAAAGCAGCCACACTCCAGCTCATTTTCCTACACGACCTGAGGAGATTTAAGATGGATCATTAAGGTCGAGGGCATCTCTGATATGATCAAACCAATTTGTACAAAGGGTTAAAAGCTTCAGTGACTTGAGTGCTGACATCCTACCTTATAGTTTCTGAGGTTCTCCCTTTCATTTTGTGCTCATGGATACCATGTATAAATGGGCAGAGGGGAGTAATGATCAGATAGTCACACATCCTCTAGTGCTGCTGCTACTCGGGTATTAAAAGGCCTTAATATACAGCAAATTGTTGTAAATGCAATCCCATTATGCAATTACAAAGTTCTCGTGAAAACCAGACCATATCAATTCAAGCAAAGAAGCATACATGCCAACATACATGCAACACCAAGCCTACCTGCCGGCCAAAATGCACAGAACTGCGTGTCCAGAATAGTTTCCTACTAATAATATATGGAATTGTCACTTTATTTCACTACATATTGAGTTGAGGCACAGACATCTTCGCATATTACCCCTTGTGAAGGTAATAAAGAGTCCATAAATATTTCCATTTTGGTTTTACAGCATCTCCACGTAGTTTTCAGGGATGAGGCCCCTTTTTCCCTCCAGCTCCCCCTCCAGCCAGCCCGGCTCTCTGGACTGGGTCACTGCAGGAGAGGACACAGCATGCCGGGGGGATCACACCACAGGGAGGAGCAGGGTGGGGGACAGACAGAGGACACAAGGCCTCTAGTGAGTACATGTGCATGTGTTAAGAGTGAAGAGGGTAAAGATTTATAGAGGCTATAGTGATTAAGAAGTTACACTTAGCAGTGTGGCCTTTTCTGATCTCAATAGCGCATCTAAAGTCTGTTTGAGGTTTTTCTTTTGCTCCCTTTAAGAATTGCAGAGGAGATAAAACTCAGTGGCACAAAAATGGAACTGTTTAGTCGGACAAATGTGTGAGAAAGCACGTCTTTACCTTCCTGAGAACATTTAAAAATAAAGATAAGCTAAGTCTTACGGTTACACCTGCACTCTCGCTTGGCGACTATTCTGTCTTGCAATTATTCTGAAAATTGAAAGGGGAGGTAGCAATCTTTTTTTAAGACTGCAAACAGCCGTCAGGAAATCAAAAGGTTTGAATTTATCACCCAAACTAACAACCTTCTGACGCAGGGATTAAATCAGGAATATGGCTTGAATAGCTTTTCAATATCAGTCTACTCAAATGAAACAGTTTTGTGTTCTGAATTTAAAACTAAACACAGAAAAATAATTATTCAAACATACTGCATAGCATCTTTTATACCAGTGTGTTGAATAAATGAATTCACAATAATTAGAATGAATTATAAGCAATGCAGAGAGGTTGCTCATATATTACTAGTAATAAAAACTGAACAGATTTTAAATTTGTCTTTGTAAAAACTGTATACACGCAAACTGAGTTCAAATGTATTACATAATCTAGAAATAAATAACTCAGTAAAAATGCTGTCATTTAATGTTTTGCCACTGAAAACATAGAAATGGTGTGGCAATTGTTGGTCACTTCATTTAAAGATTCTACAGTAAGAAGTTATTTATCAATATTTGACCCATAATAAATATATTTCCATTGTTCAGATGAGTTTGTGGTTAAGCACTGGAAAATCTATATTTTACATGAATCTAAATTTTTCCAAAAATAATCATGAAGTCTTGTAGATGCAACAAGAAGAGAAATAATGAGAAGATATTAGACCAGGAACACCAACCAGATGCACTCCATTTTGGCAACTAATAATGACATCAGCATACGTATCCCTGTTTATCATATACTAAAAGAAAAAGATAAACAGTCTGTGTCTAATAAAAGAGGGGCTTGACAAAAAAAAAAGATAGCCACAAAACCCTCATTTCCTCTGAAAATGATTAAAGCTCACTCGAGCCTCTTCTCAAAGACACCAAAGAGCAAATGTGTGTCCCCCTGCCCAAGCCCTCGCTCTTCATCTCATCTCTCTCTTCAACACAAGATCAGATTGTGTGTTCGGTTTTCTCTCAAATCCAATATGCCAGGGCTGGTTCTGAGTGAGCGACTGGTGTGCACGATAACACTTACCAGCATTGAATATTGCGCCGACCTGGAAAGAGAGCTCAGATTCGTGCTCTGCCTCACATGGGTACACTGCTTTAGCTTTCCTGCCGGTGACACTGAAAAATGAAGGCAATCAGTGAGCTGGCAGAGCTTTGGAGAGGATTACCGCACAGTTCAATCTGGGCCCAAGGTCTGCTCTTTCCTTCATTCACTAGCCTGAAACAGCAGAAATGGTCCAGGCTGGGAAACTTGTGAAAGTAAAAAAAGAAGCTGGGACACAACACTCTTGGTTTGCCCTATTGCCAGTCTAGACAGAGGAGTGAGAGAGCACCAACGGGTACCCTGAGATGTGGAGCTGCTTGTAGCTGGTTTTTGTACACTTGAAAATGCAGGCTTACATCAGGTCCACACTGCCAGCTATGGTGAGATAATTAAAAAGAGATGGAGGGACTCTAAAGTGGGTTTATACATAAATACAGGTAGAATATAACTCTTCCTTTACAAGCGCTTAAGCTTTCAAAGTCACATCTCTGAGCTCCCAAACTGCATTTTAAAATCAGTTTGATGCAAAACAGTGTTGTTGAAGAACCTGTATTCAATGCTCTGCACCGAGTTGAAAAAAATATGAATTTATCCGTTTTTTTTTTGCAGCCACAGAAAGGTTGTTTTGCCCACCACTGCAAACCATTATCTTGAATGCAAGCAACATTATTATGTTGAAATTGTGCCTTCAACACACGATGCCCTGATAAATATTTCATATTCTTTGCACAGAGTGCCAATAATGTAGGATGAAAAAACCAGAAAGAAGATACAAAAACTGAGAAGAAGAAAAAAAGTTTGTGCTCAGAGTTGTCAATACCACAACGCACCGGCAAGTTCTCACATTCAGAGTTTTGAAAGAAAGCACTCGTGTTGAACGGCATATGGAAAGTGAGGACTTATGTGAAAATAACATTACTGGACTGGCAATGGCTCTTTGCATATTCCCCAGCAACATCTGAGGGCATTCAAAAGGAACTCTTTATTCTGAGGCAAACAGAGCATTTGTCGCACAGGACAAGCACACTTCTTCCCTTTCCCCTTCCTGCTCACTCAGATACCATTTGTGGCTTAGAAGGGCGGCCATTCCTGAAGGGCCAACACCGGTGATGTATTAAACCCCTCAAAAGGTAACAAAATTACAGGGGCCGTGAACATTTGAAAAAGTGGGGAAAAAAATATTGATGTCTACGACTGCAAAAAAGATGAGTCGGGGATTCTATAGCGTGAGCATCCAAGATAAGACCAACGAGCGAGGCTTGGTGCAAGGGAGTGTGAGAGTGGAAGAATCTCTGTGTGGAACCTTTGTCCAACCAATGAGAGTTTCGTAATGAGAAATTATCAACGCTAATTACTGTATAACATTCACTGTAGGGTGGGGCACGGGCTAAAAAAAAAAAAAAAGAAGCTAATTACCTCTCCTCTGGCTTTTCTTTTTCCGAAGTGGCTGTGGTCAGACTCTCACATGAAGCCACTGGAGGTGTTCTGCAAACAGAAAACACAGCAGTTGTATCATGATGGATGATGGATGACAGACAGATAGATAGTGCATTGTGATTGAGTGTGAAAACTGCCCAAAGGCTCTCTTGACATCAAAACCTACTTCTTGTACATAATTCCATCGGGGGGAAAATGACAGGAATGTAATAAGCTTTATATATAGATTTTAACAGTTGTACTGCCTCTCCTTATACAAATAAAAATCAAAAAGCTGATTTGACAAACGGTAAGTAAATCATGTATCTTGTTATCCAAGCTAATGGCTAAAATGCAACCATAAAAACTCTTCCAAACAGATTGTATATCCTGTGATAACCAATTCCTTTTCTATAATGATCATCTCTGCTATCTAAAGTCATTTTAGTAGACAACTGTCACATACAAATGTGAAATACAGGATGAACATGCATCATGAAGTAAATCAGTCAGCGTGTCCTTGACATTAACAGGTGTCAGAGATTTGACACTCTTCACTCATTTTCCAAGTCATCTGCTTGACACTTAAATTTTAACGCCTGCTCTAATGTTTTATAACTCCTGCGGGTGAAAGGTCAAATATTAACAGCGGGGAGCGCGGCTTTAACATGTTCATCAGTAGCTGTGCTTTATATCAGTTGCTGTCAGAGATAACAAGTCTGTGGCTGACCTACAGGACTGAGGTAGGGGTCCTAGTAAAGGCAGAGGGCAGCCGAGGAGAACAGGACTCTCAGCCAGGCATCCCTCTGTGTTCCATGCCTGCCCCAGGGCCAGTACTAATACAGCACATAATGAGCAAATTGCTTCTCGCTGCCGCTCCCATAGAGACGTTAATAAAGGCAATTAGAGGGAGCAGCTGGGGAGGGGGCTGGAGGTTGAGAGGATGTTGTGAACAGGGTTTACATTGGCTTGGTTGGAGGAGAGTGAGGTGGTCTTAAGGTATATCATGTTAACGGGTCTTTTGTAGACGTAAGTAGCTGGGCTCGTGCTTTCGGTCCCGTCTCTGCAGTGCTACCTCTCTTCACTTCTTCCCAAGACTCTCTCTCTGTGCGCTTGTCCATCCCTAGTGGTGGCTGTTGGGTTTGGGCCTGGCCTGACTGCCGGTGATTTATAGCTCTGCAGCAGTGTGGGGCCACTGTGGTGCTCAGCTGCTCCACATCAGCATGGGGGGACAGTACGCTGCAGTGCAGCAAATCCACTCATTAACCTGGGCCGAAGCACAACCACTGTCTGCCTGGGTCACAGCCAAGAGAAGGAGGAGAGGAGCGCTAACACTTGACCGACCTGCAGGAAAAACTGACCGACGAAAACGTCAAAACCCTAAATAGGAGTAGCATATCAGAACTAAGCACGTCGGAAAAGTTTAAACATCCGTTAAAGTCCTTATTTCAGAGAGGAGAAGATTATGCAAATCTGTGAAGATCTAGAAAACATAATTGAATAGAGATAGACAGGGAGAAATCAGTGGATGCCTCATGGCTGTTCCAGGAACTTGAGAAATGAATTGGAAATAAATTCATTTGTCCCCAAATTGCTTCCACAATTACAGCAAAGTCAAACCAAGGAAAATTGATTGCCATTTTACTTCAGCAAACCTAAAATGAAGCTTTAAATGACTCCTTTTTTTGTTTTGAACCATCACGGGCTTTACTGACCTCTCTCTGTAAATATGATTAAAAATATTGGATGTGAAATTTTAAAAAATGCACCATGTATGTCGCTTGGTAGACAATTCCCTCCAGTAGTCCGTATTATTTGTAATTAGTTTTCACAAATATTTCCTTTTGCATTTTTGAGAAATTTGAGGTATTAGGAATGATTGTATAAAGTCATTCTATTATTGCTAAACAACCAAATGTGTTTAATTGAAACATCAGACCTATCGCACAAACAGCCACGTTAGAAGCAGAAGAAATTTATTAATGCAAGTATACTGCTGTTTCTCATTACAGCAGGAATTTCACCCTGCAGAGGGAATTTCACCCTGCAGACTTGTTGATCCTGGCATGGAGTAAACATGGGGATGAGCGGCGCGATTGACTGCCTTTCTACTGAAGGAAAATGGGCAGTGGTAGGATTTAGCACCGTTTCTAGATAAAAGACGGATCAAACCGACAGCCAGGCTGCCACCGCCAGTTTGGGTGGCCAGGAAATAAACTCAGATCCTGGATCTTATGATTCACAGCTGTCTGCCTGTCGGCCTGGAGAGCGGAGGGAAGGGCAGTGCTCAGGACGAAACAAAAAGGCTAGAAAAAAGAAGTTTGCAGGACTTGGGGCAATGGAGCTCCTGGGAGAAGCTGTGACTGAATTGAAGGAGAAGAGGAGAAATGAGGCGAGTCAATGAAAATGACGGAGATAATAAATCATGCCACACTCCTCAAGAAGTTATTGCAAGATATTGTGAGTCAGGCGGCATTTGCGTATGACCAGGCAGATTTTGAAGGGAACTGAGTCGAATACATCAGTTTTTCTGTGCACGTTTGAGCAAAGTGGAGTGCAGATAACGCTTTTTTTTTATTTTTTTAGAATGACTTGAAGTAATCTAGCAATTGCAATCCCTCCTCATTTTTTTTGGCTGGGACTAAAGCCGAATCCCTGGGTTCAACGCCAGAGAGCTGCTGTGCTAACAGGTCTCCACCATCTCACATGCTAAGATTTATGAGTGAACATAGCCAGGGCGACACCCTGTGACATATGGCGCAAGTCTTCATAAAGGGACAGGGGCTGTGGCTATAAGGGTAAACAAGATGAATATCTCTCCAATGTCAATACGATTTACACGGCCAACGCACGGCCACCTGTCTTCCAAACAAATAAGAGCTGAGATTTACGACCTCCTCCTGGTCGCTCCTTCCGTCCTCCAACACGATGCCACAAATGTGGAAAAGCGCATGAAAAATACCCATGGAAAAAAAAGACAGAGTTTCTTACATAAGGAATATAAGCCTGGCTGTTAAATCGCGCATCTTAGGAAAATACATGCCTACACACAAGCAGATAGGCCCCCACAGAGGTCAGAGAGAGGGAGGGGGGGAGGAACTGGGCCGTCCTCTGTCAAGTGGTGAGGTAGACTTGTTTTTCTGTTACAGCTCTTTTCAGCAGATGGTGAAGGACAAAGGGACAGCGAATGAGAGCAAGTCTTTTTGAAGGTGAATCTGTAGACATGACACAGCAGAGGCTCCAACATCTGCAGCATAACCCAATAATTCATCTTTCACATCAGCATTCAAGACAAGTCGAGGGCTGGAGACAACAAAAAGAACCAAGGACTTAGAGAGAGTGAGGACAGAAACGAGAGGCATGGCGTAGCATCCCACTACCACTGACTTTTTCATTTAGTGAAACAGATTAGCAGCATCCATAAAAAGACTAAAACAAAAAATGTGTTTCACTTCACCTTGATCAATCTGTTGTTTTTGTTTGGGTGGACTCAAAATTAATGATGGAGTCATGTATGTGACAGATTGCCACAAATTAATAGCATAATAATTCTCAGAATCAGATTAGGTTCGTCTATGTGAATATTTTTTTAAGTGCTAGAGATATCTCTTTTATCAGTCAGAGGGACAAGTACTGCTTAAAAGATTATACAAAGTTGAAAATAAGGCATATTCTTTTTTTTTTTAATTGGGAGATAAAGAATGTCTGCTAAAAGTGAAACATATTGACGTTGAAGCTTAATCTGTTACAAAATTAATTAATAATTGAGTCATATTGTTGCCATTTCTTAAGTAGATACAACATAAATAAAATTCATCAAACAAAATTCACATTGGATCTAGCTTTCAAATGAACAGTTATCTCTTAAATTGGACTAATGAGAAAAAAATGCTACGTTTACCATGAAAACACGTATGATTACAGTAATGTCCAAACAGAACAAATCTGAATGAAAAAAGAAAACTGGTAAATTCAGTTAATCCCAATGCCCACAAACCGATCATTAGACTGTTATCACAAAACTAACCCAGAAAAGTGAAGAATGATGAACAAGAAGCAGAATTTTCATTATTCGTACGAGTATTTTGATAGTCAGGTGATGAACTGGCACAGAAGAATGAAGAGGCTCACCTGGAGCTGCTGCCCGAGCTGAGGCTCGTGCCGAGTGTCACACGGTCAGCCTTCTCTAAGGGCATCTCTGAGGCCGAGGCTGATGACGACTGAGAAGATACGGACTCATTGCTGCCCATCGATGTCTCCTCCATAGCTAGGCTGGAACTATCTCCAACCGCTTACATGGAAAGACACACGAAAACACAAATAATTAAAAACAAACAAAAAACAAAGTTTGTTATACAATTTCTTTATTTGAATTCCACTGTATTGATCTAGTTTGCTTGATTAAACATCCAATCCAACGTATGGATCAGTCCTGATATAATAATCAGATATTCTGAATAGTAACCAAGCTGCTCCTTTCCCCCTTTTTTAAAAAAAAAAACTTGGAACTGAAGGGATTTTTACAACTTTCAATCAGCGAACTGTAGATTTTCTGTTAAAATCTTTTTTGTATTTATCTGAAATCATGGCTAAATGACACAGAGAGAAAGTACATGGAGGTGAGCAAACCCTGCTCCTGGTACATTAAAACCATAATAAAGCCCACTGTGACGCATCGGACATCTAGTCAGAGCCTCAGACTACTTGTGAATCTGACAATGTGTTAACCTACTGTTCTATTCTGTACTCTGACTTCCAGAATTTGTAGGAAATTAATAATAAAAAGAAGAAAAAAGTGAGTAATCCTGTAAAATAAAAAAAACTGAAAGGGAGCAACACAGAAGATGGGTAATTTTGGGGTGGAGAATCATGTTTATTCTACATGAGAGGGGCTGGTTCCAAGTCTCATTCTACAGCTGCTCTGGTCCTGTGTCTGCTGGTAGAGCCACACGCCTGCTTTGAAGGTGAAATGACAACCAAAACAAGTGGTCGGTGGACACTTGGTGGATCGATTGTGGCTAGAACCACTGTGATAATAAATGAAAAAAAAAAAAAAGGTGAGGATTACAGCAAACACCTGCCTCATTTTTCACCTGGCTTTACTAATGCTCACCAGAGACAACTGGGATTAACGGCTGCACTGCTGTCACAATTTACCAGACGGACAGGCTCTCTCTGCTCCCCCCCCCCCCCCCCTCCAGCTGAGCTCTGTGACCTGACAGGCCCTGTAAGGTGAGCACTTCAACAACGCCGACAACTTAATCTAAAGCCTGAGTGTAACCAAGGCATTCAAATGTTTGCAATGTGAATTTGTGATTTCAATTTGTGAGTAGTTAGTTTGGTTAAAACACACATAAGTTTATTTATTTGATTAATTCTAAAAGATCTGAGAATTGCCAAAGGTGCGATAATGTCCTCATGAAATATATTTAGCATATTTGAAAATAGTTTTAATCAAACATGTTTAGTTGCCTGATATATTCAACTGATCAGTAACCACCTTCTACTGGGGATGTGACTTTTTCTGATACAAATTGCAGACTAATGGATTTCTGTACAAATGTTGTGCTCTCACTTGTGCAGTGTCAGACAAAAACTCTAAATAATAGTAATCTGCATACATAAACACTTTACCTTTCCCACTTAATCATTACATTTGCTTTTATCTTCATTATGTGGGACCCATTTAAAAGAGACAAAGGTTAAAAAAGGATTAAAGCTTTCTTTTTCTTTTTTTTTTTAATCCGCTGATACTAAAATACCACACAGTAAAAGCTGCAGAAAAGGAGACAAAGCGAGGCAATCTGGTAGGCAGATTTAGAGTATTTTAGCACTGTAAAGGGGAATGGGTTTCACTGGCCCTGCTTCAAAATTGACTGGAGTTTGATTTTGGGTCAGTAGGTCAGCTCATCCTTACATAACCTCTCATTTCAGGGAACTTTAAAGGTTCCACAAATATACAAAGGCACAGAAAGGCCAGAGATGGATATCTCTCCACTTGGCGCTACAGAGAGGAGGTGACTGCTTTAGTGTGTCGACACAGTTATGGCTCAAAGCCGTCACTACCGAACAGACGATGAGTGACTTTAGAACCGAGCAGAGTTCAAAAGGAAATATACCAAATTACCAGTTTGTTTGGGACACCAAGCAACTGTAGCATCGCTGCCTCTCTTCATAATAGTTTCAATGTGTCTTTCTTTAGTTAAAGACACACTTATGGAACCTCTTACAATTTTTGCCAGTGTAACATATTACCCAGTTTAACAAATAAAGGTTTCATTCTAAAGAGAACAAAGTATGAGAGATAGCAAGGCTGCAGCCAGCTAGCGTTACTGTCATCTGCAACTTCCAAGGACAAGTAGCTGATAGGGATTATTGTCGAAGCTGCAAAGGTTCTTGTAAATAAACTTACGAAGATAGCTTTTACATCTCCACATTCCAATTATCTGTGTGAAAATAAAAACTTGATTATTAAATCGGGCAACAGTAAACTGTATATACTGTGACAACAGCATCGCGGCATGAACAAAGCAACACAGAATGACTGCTCGGGCTGATACTCGGCCTAACAGAACTATCAGACAACTTTATTTTAACATTGAATAAACTTTTTTTTTTCAGACTTATGCAGAGCCCTTTAGAAAAATTAAAGGCTGTTCGGAACAGACTGATTTTAGCTTCTCCATGATAGAGGATGAATTAACAGGATGTATGACTCACTGTCTGGTGGAGACTCATTACGGTTCCAAGTGAAATAGCTTTAAAAAAAAAAAAACCCACACAAACTAAATTAATTTAATTTATCTGGTACTGGACTGTAACCACGTAATCATCTTTACTAATGATATATCAAAATGTCTAACAAAGAACAACACTCAAAGTGAGTCTCTGTAGTTGAGCTAACTCATCCACCAAAACTAAAATAAGGATAGCACTACAAAACAGAGAGCCTGTAATGACAAAGTCCTCCTAAGAAAGTCATTAAGAACACAGAATTGTAACAGAGCATCATAAAGGTCTTTTTAGGTCAAGTATGAAATCCACTCATGCAAATAACGTCACACTCTACACTGTTCTTCTCTGGGTCCACAGCAATGCTCTTGCCAAGGCTGAAGAAAAATGGACAAATGGCTGTCCAGAAAAGCTACAAGCTGACACACACCAATGTCACCGACACAGTGGCAGAGATTCTGTCCTTTATAGCAGATTTGAGATCTTGTCATTTACATTTAGTATTAATTTGAGAGTATGTACTACTCAAATGTTGCTTGTGATATCTACTTGCCTCTACAAATCTATAAATATGTGAGCGTATCACTGCAGTGCTCCTCATCATTGCTGTAGCAATCCAGGATATGCAAAAAGATATGGGTGCAAATGTACACGTCTCTTACCATTCTGAATGTCAAGGACTTGTGGATTGTAGACCGCTAAGGGCCTGTTCTGTCGATTCAATTTCTTCGAATGCCTGGTGGGAGCAGAAAGTGCTGGGGCAGCAGGTGTAAGAGGGCAGAACTCTGGAGCATCTGTAAAGATCTGAAAGCACATACCAGTTAAGTCTTTAGCAGAATTTAACAAACAGTCTGCAAAAAGTCCCACGAGAGGGATCACATCCTAAACTAACCCCAAAAAGTTTGAAAACTTGCAGTCTTTATGTACCAGCAGACGGAAACTAGTATTTGCAATAAATTGCTCATAGGGAAAGTTGAGCAGCGCATTGATTGGAGCATAAAACCGGCCTTTTAAGATTATTTTGTTTGTGCCTCGCTTTAAAAAAAAACAGAAGCAGATCGCCTCAGAACACAATCACATCCAATGCAGTAATCTGGGTGTGAGTTAAAGTGACATTTTTCCCCTCAGAGAAATTGACCCACTCTCCCAAAGAGACCAAAGTAAAATAAACAGGGTTTGGACTTGAGAAGGGCCGGTCAACTGGTGCAGCCTGTTTACACTGGGCAATGTTTACATATAAACTTCAGATGTGGAGTTGAAAGAGAATAGGGGCTACAGAGGAGAGGAAGTCTCAGCAGAGCCTCGGAGAGGATCACAGACGAGCAGAGGAGCAGAGAGGAGGGAGGCAGGGGTGAGAGAAGAGAGGGAGAAAGTGGCAGAGAAAGTGAGACAGTGTGAACAGGAGAGGCAGACGCAGAGGAGGGGGAGCATGAGAGGGAAAGTTTGTAGCAGAGAGGCAGATAGAAAAAGTGAGAAATCTGATATGGCTGAGAGTTTCTGCTGCCTGGCGCTGCAGATGGAGGTGAATGTAAAACAGAGTCTACGGCTGGTATCTGGGGGTATCAACAGTCTGGAATGGGACTCAGCTGTGAGGAAAGTTAATGCCTGTCTGCCCGTTCCGATTTTCCCCTGCTCTAACATGCTGTACTATCCAAAATGCTCTTGCTGCATTCTAACACAACATCCTTTAACACTCTGCCAGTGTTGGACACCTCTGGGTAGTCTCAGAGAGTAGCGGTATGCACGGGGCTGCTGCGGCTGCTGCTGTTGTTTTCACACATTTGTATACTCTGTTGGTTTTCATCAGGCCAATGTATTTTCTCGCAACCCATTTTAGATTTGAGAGCTTAGGTGTGGATACACATATCATCTTCAATTTAATGAAGTTGTGAGTCGAGGGGGAAAAAAAAGTGGGAAAAAAAAAAGATCTTGGTCTGATCTGAATCAATGCAGTCATGCTCCAAACAGACTGGAATCCTAATGTCAGACCTTTTCCCCCCATTTGCACTCAGAGAATTATAACTCCTTTGAGGAATGACATGAAGTACAGGTTATCAAAAAACTTGTAACCCAATTAAACATATTCAGCCAAAGAGAAGGTCTTTCAAATATGAGAAAGTATAACAATGACCTACAGGACAATCAAACTTCTCATTATAAAAGGAATTCCGTAGAAATAAACCAAGTATAAGCACTTAGGGCTCCCCCTAATGGCCATATTTAAATGTTCCATCAATTTAACAGCTGTCTATGCCTTTAGTTTCTTAATAACTGGCTGAATGCTGTACCGTCCTAAGGGTGCAAGCTCAAAGTGAAACATGTCTCACTGACTTATTTCAGGTCATTCGTTTATAGAGAAGGCAATAAGAACAATAGAAATTCTCTACTTTGACATATGCCACAAATGGCCACAATCTGACACGTTCATGTCCACTGCTGGAACATCTGTTCAAGAAAGTAAGCTTTCAAAAGAGGAGCAACAGAAGCGAAGAGGACCACCCCAAATAACACCCTGCTTTAATGACATTCATGTGTAACGTATAACAGTGTTTTTGTTAACAGGAAAAGTCAAAACCTTTAGTTTTACGTTTTCTTCCCCTTGTTTGTTTGCACATTTTCTGTGCTGCTTGTCAGCTTCAAGTAATGATATGCTTGCCAGGTTCCATGGTGCTGCGACAGCTTGCCGAAAGTATGACACCTCTGGCTGTCTTTGATGATGCCATTTTACCATGTGTTGTCCCGGTACAGCTTTTACCAAAAACAATTCTGGATGCTGAACGGAAACACAGTTGTTCCAAAGTGTTGAACTGGCAAACTGACTCAGATGCACTCAGCAGTGTTAAGATCTCAGCAATCAAAAAACGGAAAAGTAGGATTTAATCCACAGGAGGGATTTTCTCTAGCCGTTTAGATGTGGTAATAATTCACCCCCCATGAAATATTCAGTACAGTGTTAGTCCAGTTTCCATGGACCTTTCTGCTTGTGATATATAATTTTGTGAAAGTAAAGTTATGTGGTTTTTAGAGCTAAATCCTGATTTTGAGTGTCACCTTTTCATTGTGTTCGATGAGGATCTCCACCACAATGTTCTGGAACTTAAGATCCATGATGGCAGCCACAGTCTCCTCCTGTGGCCTCATTAACGTGGGGCCAAACACCACTCCAAGGTTGGCAACGGTCATCAGATTTTGTTTGCTGTGAGCTGCCACACTGGGAAGAATTAACATGTTATTAAAAAAATGTTTCACAGAAAAAATACCAGAATAGACATTTTAACATTTAATGAAAATGATGTTCCATTTTTGTCAGATATAAGATTCAAGCGGCTCAGCAGTTTGGGGCCTGTATTGTATTTCGTGTCTCACGATGCATCACTTATTTCCAGTAAATCAAAGCTATGGACTGCAGGCAGGCCAGTTCAGCATGGGACCTTTGCCTGCATTTTAATATAAAGATGCAATCACATTTTAGATGATATGAACAGTAGATGAATATTCAACATCATCACAATTTTACGCCGAGACCCACTGGTCTGAAATTGCTCTACAATTTGCACACAAAGTTGTTTGCAGATTGCCAAGCCACTGAACAGCTTCAATCTTAAATACTCCACTCACATGTAGCCAATTAACTTAAACTTTGGTGTTTTCTGTGTTCCACTGTGAATAAAACAGGTGTCTCTTAAATCCAGAGCTAGCTTACATATCGACCTAAAACGCTTTCAGTATATGAAACTTCATCAACCTTTAATTGGTGAAAAATTTATGGAAACACATGAAGATGTTTCACACTTTAGACATGATGCTGTGTGGCACAGCGGTAGAGATGGAGACAGTTTAAATAGCTTCAAAGGATGCCTTTGAAGACAAAAACATTGGTGACGACTCACATTTATAACATCTCTGAAACCATTTCAGTTACGAGTGTGAAATTCTGGCTTTGGTACGTTCCCCTGCAGGACATGCACACACGCCAACTTCAGAAAATATTTGAGACTCCAGTCTGGAGAATTTCACGCTGGATAATCCAAATTCAATTTCAATAGCGCTGTCTTTTTAACAGAGTCTGATTCTGCAGTGGGTTTCTATGAAATAGGATCCACCAGACTTTCCCTTCCTCAGGGAAAAGGGATTATTTACTTATCTTCAATTTGCTCAAATTTAGTTTATAAAAAAGCATGCTGAGGTAAAGTCTTATAATGGTAGCTAACAATATTTCTTAAACCTTTCCTCCAATCCAATCGAAGAGTTGAGCCATGCATAATTGTGGTCCACTTAGGGGTGTATACAACTCTCAGAAGAAAGCTTAATTGGAGTGGTCTGACCGTTTCACTGGTGGGCACCGTTATCCTCACAAAAAATTTCAAATATATACCAAGCTGACCTTAGAAAAGGCAAAAATGTTAAACTGCATACATTTTCTTCCCAAACAGTCACTGAGTAGACAGAGAGGAGATGGAGTGACAGCAGGGAAGGGGGAGTGAAGAGAGTGGGAGTGAGGGAGATGGAGAGAAAAAGCATGTGGAGTGAGAACGAGGAGACAGACACGAAGAGCAGAAAGAGAGAACTGAGAGAGAGGAGGCGGAGATTGGGTGAACTATGACCACTCACTTGGCCAGATGCTTCATAAGCAGCCCGAGGACTTGTCGATTCCTCTCTGGTAGTTTGTGGACCAGGCAGTGGACGGCTTGGATGCGAGACTCGGGACTACCGCCCTCTGTTCAAATGCAGAAACAGCCAAGCACTCATTTTAAACTGACAGGATTTCTCTGTGCTCCTTAGGTGGCAATAAGCCAACCCCGCTCAGAACAAATCACACTCTGGAAAATAAATACAGATGATGCAAGTTTGCATTTCCTCCTGTGCAGTGTGCGGCAACATTTTGATGTGGAAAGAGACACAAATTTAGTGAAGACAAGAAGGAGAAACCTGAACAGCGAAAAAAAATAGGCAAAAATTAAATGTGATCTGAAAAGTAAAAAATTAAGTAAAAATCACTTAAACTTTTAAGTCAATATAATGTGTCTATCCCTCCCAAGTGTGAGGGAATTAAGAGTTGGAAGTAGATACATTCCTTCTCAAGGGAATTAAGAAGAGGTGTGATGGTGATACATGGGTTGAGGCTTCTCTGAATTTGGCAGCATGAACCACGATGCTGGTGGGGAAGATAGCTTTACGTTACTGTCGCATTCGCATTAAAGGGTTGTGTTAAAACCTCCAAGATCATCCTTTAAACATTTCCTCACACACGGGCATTTGACCGCCCACACGCAATATCATTACTATGGGAACGACGAGGATTTAAAGATGGAAAAAGCGTCTTATGGATGCTGTCATCCATCAAAAAATATTCATTGCTAATCCATGTTTCCCCCCTTGTTATGAGGGCATTGCAAGCGCCTGATAAAAATGTCAACCTGATCCAATTATAGCACTCGTTGTAATAAGGTTCAAATTTGGCATGCTCTGAAAACATTTCATAGAGACATTATGCTATGTGGGTGGGGGGAAAACTGGCTTTTTGTTGTTGAAGGTAACTGGTCACATTCTATCCTAAATCTATAACAGCTTATCTAAACATATATTTAGTACAAAGTTAAGAAGGTAAAAGGTATATTAAAATGGGTATAAGCCCACATGGGCTTTCATGAAAATCTAGTTTGAGCAACTGTGTTATAAAACGGAGGTTTGGCTCTGTAAAAAAAACTAAAACAAACTTTAAAGTGGAAATCAACCTACGGTAATATTTAGAGCGGGGAATATTTCTGTGCAGCACGGTGAAATAAAAAAGCTATACCCATTCACAAACCACCAATACCTCGCAGACTACACCTTACAGAAAAGGATGAATGCTATAACCTACTTTCGCTGAAAAGATATGCACATTGTTTAGAAAAAGTTCATAAAGAGTTATGCAAATGACCTTTGACTTTCTGTCATTTTCTGTGTCAACAACTTTAAATCTCAAGTATAAACTGCCAGTGGCTTTTGGTCTGTAATCTGATGGAGAGTTGGTATGTGAGGCGGTGAAACTTACTCGCAGGGCTGATGAACTCTTTGTAAAGTCCATAGGTCATCAATGGCTCGGGGAGGCTCCTTCACAGACATTGAGAGAGGAAGAGGGGTGGGTGGGGGAGAAGGGTGGTGGGTGGAGAAGGCCAATCCAAGTCAGCAACGGGGACAAAAAGAGCCGGAATACTGTTTTAAAGGCTTTGCACACAGCAATGATTAATGTGGGCAGACCGTGGGGATGGAGCAAGAAGGTGCACAGATTCAGAGAACCGGGCATTTCCACGCTGTGGCTGGGTAATGGCCGAAAGTGCTTATCCTCAGAGGAAACTGAAACGCTTGACCCTACTTTATTGAGCAAGTCAAAGGAGAAAAACGGACTGCTAATACTCATAGTTGAAGGCGCACTCAGATAGTAGTAAAGGTTGAATATTACTATCATAAAAAAAAGCAGAAAATGCATTTCCATTGCCTTTAGCCTTCTATTAAAATAAAAATGTATCAAAAGTATGATACACTGATTCAAATTAACAATTCTTTTTAAAAAAAAGGATATTTAGTAGTTCAATTTAAAACAATTATCAGTTATTTCCAAAGATGAACAGTCATAATATTCAAAGTTCAGTAGAATCAGTAAATATTTTCCTTCCATGCACCTTTTTCCTTATCAAAACCTGGTGCCTACGTTTCCCCAAATGCAACGCTTTTCTTTTGCTGGCAGCGGCATAAAAACAGGCAGCCTCAGAGTTCAGGAGCAGGTCACGGAGGTCTGGCAAGTTCACTTCTGTCCAACTCTCCTGATCATTTTATTTTCAAACTGCACACAGTCCTCAGCACTGACTCAGTTAACATCACTTGAGGGAATTTATCAAGTCCCACACAGTTCACTTTGGAGCCCAAGAAAATATTTAGTCAACTTTTATATGAGCAGTTGAAGCAGTTTGGCATTTAAAATGGTTGGGTTCTCCCTTCAGGGCTGTGTCCACAGGGGCTATTTCAGTGCTGCCAGTGTCTACTTTCCATAGAGGTGTTATGGGGTTCAGTGACAGAGCACTACATCTTCAGATAAAGAAGGAAAAAACTTTACTACCACTTCACTACCATTAGTGTAAAACTCACAGTTAAAATTAATTTAACTTTCAGATCAGGCTCATAAATGTCACTTTGGTCTCTCTCTTTTTCTCTCTTTCTTTCTCTCTCTGTCCCTGACCGAGGAAATTAAAAGGGGGGGGGGCGCAGAACTTAACAGTCCTAACACTGCCAGCAATGACAGAGGGGACACTGATGCCGGCTGTCACTGACAACGGTTTTGGTTACCAAGCAACAACTAACGCTGAGAGAAGGGACCTTAAAATGAGGTAAGAGGAGCTTTCAGATCAAGAGCGGCTTCAAGTGGATACAGATAATAAACCTCAACGCTTCCACGGGTACAAAAGGCCCGTCATCGATGTAAAAAATCTAACTGTAATATTTATCAGGCCTTGCCTGCAGTTTGAAGGCTGACTGTGTGCGTGTCATGTCACAGGTTCTTACCTCAAGTAGAGCTTTAGTGCACTTGTTATCGTCTTGGTGTCCCAGTCTTCGCTGGTTGTCAGATCCACATCGTTGCTCTTTTCATCTGAAGAGATCATACGAGACTTCAACACCACAAACGTTCAGCGATGGAGGAATTCACAAGGTCATCGAGAATTACTTTCATTATTTTATTATTTTTATAATAGGTGTGTCACTTTCAGGGAAACTGAGAGAGTTGAAAAATGTAATCTAAATGTGCGACTTGTAATTGGCCTTATGAGGACACCAGCGTTGCCACCAGCCGTGGGGGCTGTGTAGTCCCAGCTGAAGTGAGGGGAAGTTGCAGCTTCAGTGGAGAGCTGTTGGTTCTGTACTCATTTCAAGTTTAATTAATCCCTCACTACTTCACTGGCTCTGCAGGGACTCCAGGTGTGTGTTATGCTGAACATTCAGAAGGGCTTCCGTCACACCTTAAGTAACCTCTGATGAAATACGGGAGTAGTGCAATGTGTTCATGAAGGATCATCATAGAAATGCATGAAGTCAACAGGGTCACTGACATAAGCTTAATGTGTGACAGACAATCTGTTTTCTATGAAAACGTTTTGTTTCTTATCACCATTTATCATTTGCACTGTATGCAGGAGTCTCTCTGGTTACACAGTCTGCTAAATGACCATTCCAATGCTGATTTATGAAAGTAAATATTTGGAGCCAGGTGTGTCTCTCTGTGATAGAACAATATGTTCTGCACAAATTCCTCCAGTAGTAACAGACCTGATTTGGTCAGGTATGCGGACCCCATTACCCAACTTGAAAGCTCCAAAGAGGCAGCAACTTCAATGTCGAATTCAAGTTCTGATGTGCTCATTTCAAAATAAGAGATGTGGGAAAATATTTTGTCATAGGCAATAAATCAATAATAAATAAGAAGATGATCCCTTTGTTGAGTTTTAAACGACTTCAATGCACTTTCAATATGTAGGATTGTCAAACTGGTCAGGAATTAAATAATATCAATAACTATAAATATAATAAACATAATGTGCTGAATAATGCAAAGATTAGATGTTAAGATGGTATGACAGCACATTTAAAACTGTCAAATAAATACCAACAGTGATAAGCAGAAATGTGACAGCGAATGAAAAAAAATGTCCAGCAGAGCAACATCCACTTGATAGACTTGTCATTTCCAAACAACTTGAGCTTTTAATGACTTTGTGACATCTTAAATACTTAGTTTACTTCCTCATAACTGGTTGCCATTCAAGAAGGAATAACTTATTTTCCCTATTTTTGAGAAATGGCCAAACACTCTGAATAAACATGTAGTACTTTGCTTTACCGTGTGATATCTTTATGAGTTAATGAGAGCTGTTCCTTAGCCTGTAACAGGGGACTTAGTTTAACGCAGTGTGAGAATATTCTTATTTCACTCAGGTGTCAACAAACATTTTCATAACCTGGTCAGGTCTCGGATAAGAGCGAGTGTGGAAACATTTTTCATTGTAGAAGGCACTAATGACCATTGTCCTTGGTAAAATTTACTAAATCAAGGTTATCTCTTGAGACATCTAGGAAGAACGTCTAAAAATTAACCTATTCTGCACTTCTACAAAAACTTTGTTCAAACTTCTGGTCGTAACTCAGACACTAGCGGAGAACAGCTCACTTGAAAGTCTTCTTCCTGCTGTAACGTACCTGCCATTCAATAGTTTTTAAAGCGCTGCTTTAGTTGTACTGTAATGTGGTGGGAGAGTTTCTCTATCAGTCTGTGCTCATTGATTGGACCGCAGCCATGTTGGTGGGTGAGAAATGAAATGAGGGAGGAGTGGGAGGATCCAAAGTCTTACTTCAGGGTTTAAAGCTTGTTTCACCCACTCGCTTTGAACTGCTGTTTGCATGAAAATGTTGGCGTGTGTGTGTTTAATGTAATGCTACCTCTGTCATACATGTACGCATTTTCATGGATAGATATTGAACATAGTGTAGTCTAACAATACTATCCCCTCCATTCAATACCTTCATTTAAGTTTAGATCGGCGTAGACAAAACAGCTTAAAAGTATGTGTAAGCTCTAAAGAAACTTCTGAGTGTTTATGGAGTCTACAGCATGAGTCTGCAGGTTGGGGGGCTGGAAGCTTTGAGGGAGGAAGCTAAGACAAGCTGGCGGCTGCCTGAGTTCGTTGTCATTCAGAACACAGAGCTGAAAGTGAGCTGGTGTCTGCTAGAGACAGCAGGAAACCACAGAGCAGGCACAGCGCTATGGAGAGGACAGAGGACAAGTTCTATAGCAGAGGAGTTGAGTGAAAGAGAATCAAGACAAGAGAGAGGCATGAAAGAAATTGAGAAAGGCATCTGACAGAATGAGCCTGCCATGAACGCGGGCGAGGCTGTCTTGGTGGGGTGTTGATGAAGCAAAAGCCTAAAAGCAAGATTTCAAATAGGACAGACCCTGTCTTTCTGTCTGTAGGGGGGGTATACATTTAAATGGTAGCAAGACAAAGATTCCTGTTTGCACCTGTTGAACTTCAGAGAGGATTGGTACAGACCAGTAGGCTCATACACACAGCACATTGCCTTATAGATTAAGTTACTAATCTTTTCGTAATTCTCTACTCGTGTCCAATAAGAAAGAAAACCTGTTCTTTTTACGCATTTGAAAGAGAGAAGAAGAAAAGGACATAACATACCGATCATTAATGACAGGAGCTTTTGGACCTTGGAGCTAACCCCTCCAACTCTGTACAGGCCTTGGTCATTAATACCTAATAAGAAATAACAAGAATGTTAACACTTACAGCAATCATAATGTAACATACAAATAAAGCGAATAAATGTTGTACCAAGGTTTGTGATCAATAACATTTTGTGTTAAGAGAGAGTATGATAATAAGTAAATTCCTTGTGTCAGAAAACCATGTCCACACTGACACAAATAAACTAAAACATTCACACTATGCAATGACCAGTATATATATATGTTAACGCCACACACTGTCTGCAGTGAATTATTGTCAACCTCTGACTTTAGAAATGGAAAAAGTCTGCCCCCTTGTGTACAAAAAAAGCCCCTACAAATGTATTGTCCCCTACTCAAATACCAGCTTTACACACATCTAGAAAAAACTGCGTGACTTAAGGACAGAGCTTTTGTACTTGTCGATGAACGAATGGATCATAAGCTCACCTCTTGTTTCAATTGCACTGATGGAATTCTTCACAAAGCTCAAACCCACTTCGTCTAACTGGGCATCAACTGCAAGCGAAGGAAAAAATGTAATGTGGTGAGGCACATTCAAAGTTTTTTCAAAGCTCTTAATAGTCTGATTACAGACGCAAAATACATGTAATTATTTTTAAAAAGGGAGTCAGAAACTTACTCCCTCTTTCTTTAGAAAGAGTTCTGTTTAGGTGGCATCCAATCTGAAATAAAAAATATTAAAAATTAAAAAATCATGAAATTCAAACAGAAGTCAAATATTTGAAGCCTTAGTCAAATGTGGTATAATGTATGAGAATCCTACACTAAAAGGCAACTGTTCTATAAAACAAGATTTAACCAGAACACAATGAAGCAAATAGAGTTGAGCATGTGTGGTGAGAAACTGTAGAGGGTGACTCACAGGGTCCTTCCCACCCATGGCATGCATCCAAAACTTGTGGTCATCCTCTGACAGGGCCTGTACTGTAAGCACTGTCCCTGGACTGGAAGACAGCCATCCACATTAGCACCAGGAAAAGGCTTAGAGGTCCAGTACAGTTTAGAATTGAAAGATACCATTGTCAAGCCTGAGCACTTAGTGTTAAAAAGCTAATTGCCATTGGCACATAAACCTTTACTTTATTTAAAACACCTACAATCGTGTAGGGCCATATACCGGTAGATATCAAATTATTCTTCACTGTTAGAATGGATGTGTCCACTCAAATTTCCGCTCTAAATCGGGTGTATTGCCGTTCTATTAATACAACAGTAAAGGGGCAAGGCATGGCTAACGTTGTGTGTCAGAATAGGGTATCTGTTACATGCACAAGCTGGTGCCCAGCACTTTGTCAACTTAGAAAAAAAAAAAACCCAGAGCAACAAGCTAAAGCTGCGTGGGGTTTAACTCCTCAGACAAACTGGTGAGTTTATATTCTCTGTGAATGCAAATAAGTTTGTTATGTGTTCCTGTCAATAAATGAATAAATCAGATTAGTTTTGTCACTTGTGACACAGTGTTGGCGGTTTGCTAAACAGACTAAAGTGACAACGCACCGATCCGTTATGTCCAGATCAAAGCAGAATCTGCGGTCCAATGAGTCTGTCGTTTTACGGACACAGGACTTCAGAGTGACTGACTCCGTCTCGCCCTGGAAAAAAGAAAATGTTCACACTTAAAAATTTATTTTTGGAGGCCAAAATAGCTCAGATTCATTAAACATGTAGGAAGAAAAACAATTAAAAAAAGAAAAAGCCACAATAGTCTTTGTGTGTTCACTCACGATCTTTCCACCTGATCTGTGGTCAAAAGTCACCATGTGCAGGATCTTCTGCTCTTTGACAAACGTGCTGTAGCGCTTGACCCAACTTGAACCAAAGGGAGGTGGCCCTGGAAAACCAAACACAGTATGTGCAAACGTTAAGGCGCGACTTGAGTCAATACTAAACCTACTTTTGAGCAGCAGACGTTTTAGGGAAAAATCTTAGAGAAAAAAACATAAACATGACTTAATTGCATTTCAGCATCACAGTTACAATCGAAAACAAATCAAATTTTAACAGAAACAAGCCCCTCTCTTATAATCTATTACATTTAATGTAATAAATTATAAAAGAGGGGGCTTGCTGAGCACAGTCCATGTAAAACCTACATCACACTTTGTGCTCACGCGCAGTCACACACTTTACATTATTATTCACATTATGCTATCTGTGCGATTTGTGCATTAATGTCGCCAAGTCTGTTCGATCTTCTGCTGCATTTTTCTTTGCTGTCTGTGTTGTGTTGTCCGCTAGTTTTGTCTCTCCACAGGTACTCGTGACAGCCCCTTCAGCTTCCCCTATGGATGCTTCTGTCTCTCTGTGTCTCTCTCTCTCTCTGTCTTCCCGTCTCTCTCCCTAGTCATGTGTGGCATCAAAATGTACATAACACACTAACAATAAATAAATCATCAAGGGTTGGGTAGCAAGGAAGGCTTTACAAATATAGGGCCTCTCTTGCTACCAGGGGCAGCAGGCTACCGGCCCTGGCAGGCCCAGGCCCTGGCTGAAAAATACATCTGTCTAGCACAGCTATGGCAGTCAGAAATTAATTCTACTTGCCATGATGCTGAACAGGACAAGGGGAAAAAAAAAAAATATATATATATATATATATATATATATTACATTCATACATCATGTATATATTTTCCCAAGAGTTAGTGCTTGACTGCACACATAAAAAATAGTACTATAAAAAAGCTTACGTTTTTCCTGTACATAGAGGTAGCCTTCATAACTGATAGGGCTGGTTTGTCTGTATTCTTGGGGGGTCTCTCTGATCCTTTTCATCAGCTCGTATACCTCTGACCGTGCCCCCTCAAATCGACTCCTTGTCTGGAAGGGTGAGGAAGCACATACACACTCCAGTAAGTGACTTCCTGATGCCTTGTAGAATGACCTTTTGAGAAAATACCACTGCAAAAAAATCAAGGCTTATTGCTTTGCTTACAAAGCCCTTTCAAATTTCTAATATCTGACCAACAGTTTGCAGTGATGTAAGAGTAAAAATGAAAGTGAAGAGAAACTAAAGTTTTGAACCTGGCAAAAACAAAAAGGCAACTGCCTAGTAGACCTGCAGCTGACAGCAATACAGACCTCAATTTCACATGATTACCACTTCCTTTATTTATCCACTTTTTCTTTTTGGGGGGGAAAAAAGCAAAACATTCAGTCATATTTTGCCCAAATTGAAAATAAGAACAGAAAGCATCAATCCGTCTTACATTTTGAATATTGATCTGCAGTGCTCTTTTATAATGATCAAAGTCCTTGGCAAGCTCAAAGCCCTGGTGATAAAAAGTGAAGACAGTCTGAAAGAAGGCCAGCATCTACAAGAAACCAGACAAACACAAGTCAGAAGACTGGCAAAGAAAGACAATCTTTATCACCATCACAGCAAAACAGAAATTAACTAAAACAATTAATCATTTTCATGCATGATGGAAACATATGCACATTTAAAGTACATTTAAAGTATATATGACTCAAGTTCTAATTAAAGACACACTCCAGGTTTTTCAAGATTGTCATAAGACAAAGCTCATGTGACACCATTTACGAGATCAGGTGTCAACTTTCAGGCCGCAAAGCTTTTTCAGGTAATTTCTACATGTCTAAACGTCTTTTTGACAGACATGGAATACATCCTTTAATGTGAATGCACAGCTTTCTAAATGCAGCCGTGCTGCTTTTGGTCTGTCACTTACTGGTTCCACGCACTCAAACTTCTTTCTCTCCTGGATCTCCTGTAGTTTGCACACATATTCCAGTGACTCCTCCTGAAAGTGCTGTCTCATGGTTTCCACCTGGATGTCTGCCTGGAGAGGTGGAGAACATGCACCTTGATAATTATAGCTGTAGAGAACTGAGTGGAAGCAAGGGGGAGAAAAGAAACTAGGATACAATGCGCTTTGGGGAACTGGAGGGTTTTCCATGTGGCTACAAATCATTCACGGCTAACCACAGTTTGAAGTTCGACCTCTGGTAGCTGAGCCAGGACAATAAAAGTATCCCCATATTGCAGGTTTATATTGGACACAGTGGTAGGATCTGCATAGTATAAAACTCTATGAAATAAAACCTCTTACAAGGAAGACAAGTACAATTCTAACGGGAAAGACATAATACAGACAAAGTGCAAAAGAAGAGGGTCCCTGGTCAAGGACATGAGAAACAGTAGTGCACAGAGTAATGGTAAAAATCAAGTCTAACAGAATACAAATGTATACACCCACCTAATCTTTAACTATGGCCATAACAAGAGCACACACAAGCACGCTGCTACCTGTCACAGCTCTCATTCTGCGAGAGGCAGAGTACAATGGGCACATGTAAATTCGACAGAATCATGTGCTTGGACAGATGGACGGGTTTAGAATGGCTAATTAACTAACCCGTCTCTCCACGGACTTTTGGGAGAGAACTCCCTCACAGAAAATATCCTGACCTTCTCCCTACGAGTCTAGGTAATTGACCCAGGATAACTGTATCAAAGCAAGAGCTGCAGATAAATATTGTTTTCATTTACAAAGACACACATGCTTGAGCACTAAATTTGTCCTAAACAAAAACACTGTCTAAAGATGGGGTTTTTTTTTTAAATCTCAAAACATGTCCACATGCAGATTGAATTTGTTCCCTGGAAAGAAAGCAAACTCAAAGTTCACCTTCTGCTCAGCCATTTGACGTAACAGCGGAGGGGTGTTGGTACAGTTCATGACTCTCGTGGCTGTGAACGAATCACGGGGTCTATTTATTCAAGCATGATCGAAATCAGTGTGAGTACTAACTATTGTGTCATAAGCCGAACGGAACGGAACAGCCTGTGGAAATAATGTTCATAGATTCGACTGTCCTCTCCTTTGGATATAAACAACATTTGGGCGCGTCTTCCATAGTGTCAGCTGGAACAAAGACAAGAAGAGGAAGACATTGCTTTTTTCTTTTTTTTCTTCTTTTAGAGGCTGTTGAATTTTCCACCATTTCACTTCTAAATTGCCGTTCTGGTGTAGCCCAAAATCGACTGCTCCAAGAACTGTGTGGGCCACGGCTGACTCGGTGTAGTGCAAAAGAGCATGCATTTCCTTTACAAGCATGTGACCAAAACTGCTGCTGCAAGGCATGTCAGTGGAAACTCAAGCAGCAGAGCAGACTCTTCCTCGCAGCTCTGCAGGCAGAAATAAACTAAACACAAATGTCTGTTTACATCTGTCTTTTTGGGAAAATGAATAGGTATTCTGCGTTATATATCTATCAGAGGGTTCAGGCAGGGACAAATACCTCTTGTAGCTGTGGCTCTTTCTTCTTTGCTGACATGTTCAGGAGCTTTTCCAGAGAGCTGTAGTACTTCTCTGTTTCTTTTTCATACTTTTTTCTGTCCGCCTGTGGAGAAAGAGCATAAAAAAGTTGGAGGAGTGGGGCACAAAAACAAAGACTATTTCTAAGAGAAAAGATCAAATAATCTTAAATCAGTGTCTTTTACAAAATCCCTCTGACCAGCATTACCATGTAAAATCTAATCTCTGAAGTAGGAACTGAGGTGCACCAAAACATCCACTAAATGCAACACAATTTACTGAGAAAAGGAAATGAACCATCATACGTTACCCTTACTGTACCAAGCTGCTCTTTCCTGAACTTCTCCAGAGGTTTCATTAAAGTTTCTGTGATGTTTCTCATCTAAGGAGAGAATATATGATATAATTAAGCAGGAAAAAAGAAAGCCTGTTATTATCTGTTATCTGAACTGCACAGCCCTGCTCCAGTTTCTGGGTTAATTCATTCATTTATTTTTTCATCTCTGGCTGTTGTCTGGCAGCTGCAGGGTTACCGGGGTTAACTTTGGCAGGGTTAACTTTCAAAGCTGGGAGGAAATTGTAAAGTTTCCACTCTGAGAACATTCAACCTCTCAGCTCAAACTTTATAAATCAGTCCCAGGGCCGTCACGTGGAAATTTTAAAAATAAAAATTGATAAAGATCAACCAAAGATAAAGAAATGTATAGATTTGATTTGCTGTCTCTGCTTTTCTGAAAACAAACAGCACATGTTCGACTGAATGCCGAGCACAGCCCCGTCACATGCTGCATCGTCAGAGCGGTTCCTTTGCTTTTTTTTCCCCTGCCGTGGTAACGGTGGGACGTGCCTGCACTTGCCTGCTCTTTTCCAAACCGTGTCTGTAACGTCATCGCACTGTGCCGAGAAGACTCAACCATTGTGGTCTGAGCCTGGCACTCCTTTCATATCAGTGAGCGACTGATGATGGGTTCACACCCTGAACCCAGACATTACGCACAGCTCTGTAAACTGTACAACTCTCTCTAAATATATATTTTTTTTTAAATGCCTCTGGTTACGTAACCTGCTATTTGAAGTCTTCAAATAACAAAAAAGCTTTTTCTAGAGGAAGCATGTTTTTTTCTTGGTTAAAAATTAGCAAATGTAATCCTTCTGCCTGAGACAGAAGCCAGTTTTATGAGCTGGGAGTTGCATTGTTATGGACCTAACAGCCAACTGCTGCTTACTACATCTATCTTGGTATTTAAAGCTTAGCTGTAATAATGTCATATGCACTTTGCAAGTACTCCAAGGCAGGTGACTCAGAGAACAGTTAGTAAACAACACTTCCAAATACTTTAACTGGGAAACTGCTTTGGTCTGTCCACTCCTGTGCCACACATTTTGGACGAGGTAGCTGCAGGTAAGCAGTTGTACACACCAAGCACACTTTGACCCTCAGTAAACGGTTTGTGGTGACCCAGAGGACTGACTGGGGAGTGGTTGATTCAACCTGTTCAGACACTGGAGCGAACAGAGCAAATTTCTTTCCCGAAAGCTGACTTCTGCTTTCGCTGTTACACTTTTTGCCTTGTACCCAATTGTCACACATTCAGGACCAAGCTGCGTTTACTACACACAGACATAAAAGCATTACACACAGGTGGAAATGTGGGAATTGCACAAACGTATGCGTGCACTTCATATCTATGACCACAGATACACATTTAATGGTTGTTCTCACCATCAGCTCTCTTTGGTCCTCCAGGTTTCTGAGGAATGATGAGAATTCTTGTAAAGATTCATCTAAAGGGAAAGACATTTTTCAAAAATTAAATGAGGCCATTCTCTCTGTGTTTCTGTCACAGCCGGCTTCAACGTCAGAGTGCCCAGATTGAACACACCCAGGTGCACAGCAGAAACAGCTCTTAATTTGCTGGTGGAGAAAGAAGTGTAAACAAAGATTTGTGGTGCTTGCCTAGGCGTTCGTCACAAAACCTGTGGTTATCCTTCTGTCATGTGGGGGGGACCATCTTCACACTTACCAATGCATTTCTCATCGTCCGTCTTTGCATCTCCGATGTACTCAAACTGAAACTCCCCCAGACACTGGGCAAACTTCCGCTGCGCCATCCCAAGCTCTGAAAGTGTCAAAATGTCCAACAGAAACACAATTAAATTTGCTTAAAAGGCACAAAAGACTAAATTAAGTTTATGTAGGCAGCTTCCAGAATAACTGGATCTACAGTCTCTCCATAATAGACAGACATTGGAAAAAGAAATTGTTTACAGACAAGTATAAGTTGCTTGAAAAGTGGGTCTAGACCACATTGTAAACATCCTGTCTGTCTACATCCTGTAAGGCATCAAACCCATGTGCACCACATTGGCGTATACCAAATGTTGGCAGGTGCAGCAAAAGATTGTAACCACTGTTTGGTAATTTGTGTGCTAGTCAAACATCCCACAAAAAGAGGTGACTTCAAAAGACAAATTTCAACCCAAATTCTGGATACCAACCAGGGAGCATGTGGGCATCATGTGTCAGTGTAGGTCAAAATCCTTAAGGAAAGTTTAAGATATTTGATCATATTTGTCATTTTAAAAAAACAAATAAAATTAAATCCAATGCAATAGATCTCTCATTATTCAAAGCCAAAAACAAATTATTAGCAAAGCCCTTCACAAAGATTGTCAGAACAAAATAAGTCTGAGGAAATGACACCACACTCGCTCACTAGCTGCACTGTGGATTCACCTACAATCAAGAATTAGTTATCTTTTAGATGTATTTACTTGTTTCACAAAATGTTTCACTTTTCCCTCTGCTGCTGACAGACCTCTTAAGATCTCCTGGCCCTGTGGGAGCACATGCTATGAATTAATTCTGTGGTACGGCCCACAGCTCAGTCATGTGACATGCGTAAAATGGTTTGCCTTTGCCTGAGACAAAGGGCAAAAAGCTTCCTTGTCCCTTTAAAAAAAAGGTGTGAGCCAGAGTCCTGCTCACTCTCAATGCAAACATGAACCTGTGCAACCAAATACCACAAAACCTCAGCCAGAAACCTAGAATTTACAGGAAACTAAGAAGCTGCTCCGGAGAATCTTACTAATGATATTACTATCAATATTACAACATGTTATGGTATTTACAAGTGTTTATTCTTTAATGACGCCTCCATAAAGTCACTGGAGGAAAGCTGTGTGCAGTCATTGATACAAAGCAAAACAAAGCTGAGGAACAACTGTGAAATTCTTTTTTTTTAAATAAAAAATTTGATAGAATTAAGCCAATCTTGATAAGGTTTCATAAGTAGGATAAGTTTGATTAATAGATAAGAATGCAACTCATTAGCTACTGCAAGATGGCAATGGGATGAGTTTATGTTCGTCGTTCCTATCATAATTTATTCATGTGGTAAACAAAAGCTTTTATATTCCTGATGTCCTACTAATTCCAAAAAGCTGTCACTTTGTGAGCAAATGTTTCCGTTGCAGAGGTGCCCCCACCACACGACACTACAGGCTTCATGTGGGTGCTACAGCCGGGTAAAGAGCGTTATTCTCACAATACAGGTTTGGCTATTTTAGGAGCGAACACCTCCATGTTGGACGTGACAATTTTCTTTGAAGCGACTGTAAATCTGTGGGGAATTTAAACCGCACAGACAGCAAGAATCCAGGCCGGGGTGTGTGAGTCCATAAAAGGTGACTCTGGTCAGTCTGGCCGAGTCCTTGATTCGCAGCGAGTTTGACTGTAGACGGCTCTAACAGGTCAGAACCAGGTTTTCTCTGACAAAACTCTGATCGCAATGAATAATTCCACGGTCAATTAAAAACTCATTAGTAATTCTAAATTCATCTTTGACAAGAGAAGGAAAATATTCACTAAAAACTGACCATGGAGGTTCTTGGTCTCTATGCAAAGCACACCAGTCAACAACTTGACTTGAAATGATTTTGCAAAAGCTCCCACTGTGCGTTTAAAATGAACCGTGGCATTCGTGGGAAACTAAAGACATTTGTTAAGTCCTTGATGGTGAGCTGAAGGGCTCGAGTTAACCCCTAAACACAAAACTGATTGCAGAGTGGAAAATTCAGCAGCTCCAATTCATAGTAAAAACAAGTTTTGAAAACACAACGCTCAGCCTTGACACACCTACAGAATGCCTCGGTACATCTGAATGGATCGTGACGTGAGATCAGGGCAGCGTAAAAAAACTGGGCTGTGCTCTCCATTTGGGTCCAAATGCAGAAGTGTGTGTGTAACACGCGATCTATCTGGGCACACGTACGGTTCTATTACACAAATATCATTGTGATGAAATTACGTGCACACGCACTAATCTGATTTACATAACCTTCTTTGGCCATGATCTGGTTTTATAGACGGAATCTGTTTTAAGTTAAATTCCCTCATATTTTCCCCCCATTCCTGCTTTCCCATGATCAGGTTTCCGTCGCTCTAAGAGTACACACACGCATGGTATGAAGTATGCATGATGCAATGGGCGCATTTCTACAGCACATTCCTCATAAATCTTTCCTTGTAGAACATTTACATTGTTTATCCAACGCACAGAACACGATTCTCCAAGATGTGGAATCTACCTGGCCATTTTTACAGGTCTCACGTGGACTGTAATAAACACGCTGATTTTTGCTGGGATGCTGGCTTGTGCATGTGATTCTTGTCTTAATTAGAGGCTGAAAAGAAAAACAACAAAAGAAAGAGAGAAAAATTGGCTTGGCTTTCGCTGGTATGTGTTCACCTCCTATTATTAGGACAATGAGAAGTAAAGGGGTTTTATTGTGGCTCTTTATAGGTACTTCAGACAAAAATGCATTTCTATTTCTTCTGAAAAGACAGACTAAAGGTTGACATCAGAGAGGATAACCAGCATGTTGTCCAAGGACGCTGATGTAAACAAACAGATATGCACGCACTCTATGTGAGCCATGTGTGCATGCACGCTTTGGGCTTCATGACATAAATCGGGAAGAATGAGTGTTATTTGATGATATGATTCCGCAGTGTAAATCGACACCGGGCAACAAGGAGTGAAAGGAAAAACTGTGACAGTGGCGTAAATCCATGCGGGGTCAGTTGGTGTGACATCGTCCCAGAACAGTAAATCCAACCAGGATGGAAAGAAAAAGCTCCAGGTACAAGATCTACACAACGGGATTGAAAAGACACACACACGCACGCACGAGACTCGGAGGCAAAAAGCTTCGTCGGATTTTTGCCTTTTAAAGCCAAAACATTTCAGAGCAAACCTGGGAATTGTCAAACTTGGATAGTTTTCTCTGCAGAGCACCAGAGGCCCCGGCACTGGCTGCACAGCACGCCTCGTCTCACATATAACCGATATTACAAGAGAAGTTACCCCGTACAGGGCACACACACACACACAGATAAACGACAAATTCTGTGATGCGTTATGTGGACATTGATGCCTCTATTTAAATGGAGGTGGGAAGACAAAGAACACAGCTCTCTGGTGACCACAAAATTTGCTACAACACACAAAGGGCAAAAAGAGACAACATTCATATGTGAGCACGTAATATCAAATATAAATTTGATACTATTTTTTATATGTATACCAAAGAGGCGCTTGGGCGCGAAAAACCTCTTCCAGCATAAATGGAATAATAAACCTCGACAACCTGTGCTGATGGGCTGTGTTTTTTGAAGCAGGAAACCTGACATTAAAGGGCTCTGGATGCTGCGGCAGAGCTTTTCCTAAAACAAACTATTAAAACGTACGTGCGTGTCAAAGGCCAGTGGCTGAAGAAGTCCACAGTGGGTTTACTGGCGCATGTTGGCCGGCTGTTTGTTATGATTTCTACAGTCTCATCAGATGTGCCACTCGGGGTCAGAGCTGGGCCGGCCCGGGCCCTCAGTGTTTTCCACGCGGCGCCTTTCCACACCGCTTCCTGTTTCACTCTCCCGTCTTTTCCAGGCTGCTTTGCTGCTCCACTTGCCTCCAACCTTTGCCCCTGACCGAGCCGGCTCACCCATCCCCTCCCACCCCCCCCACAGCTCCCTGCCCACAGAACAGGCATGACTTCACTCACGACTTCCTGATCCTCACAGCCAGTGTGCACGGGCGAGTCTTTGCCGGACAGCATCCGCTCAGAGCTGACCAAACCTGATTATCGATATGTGCAAAGGTCTACAGGGCCCCCATTTATAATGCCGCCAAGGGTGCCCGTACCAAAAAAGGACCCCAGATGAAATGCTATTTTTACAGCAGGCCTCTTTCTGCACACAGAGATTTTAAAAAAGAGAAGAACAAAAAAAAAAAAAAAAAGAAGCGTTCCTCCCACATGAGTTCACGTCTTGTGCTAATGCGATTTTAATGAAAGATGGTGATGTGGCTCTTTGGCAGGAGGAGTAATGTGATTACGGGCAGCAGCAGGGAGCCAAAGCACACCGTGAGCGGGCCACGTGAAACCTGTCCGCCAAAGAGACAGAGCCCTTCATGTGGCTGGGGTGTTGTTGTTTTTTTTTCCCAAAGTGGAACCAGAAAACTAGAAATCAAATCAAACCCTCTTCATTGTCGACTGACAGGAGAAATACCAGGTGGGGAACTGACCGTCACTGACCCCGCAGAGACTCTGTCTAACTACATTTATCGGCTTATTGCAGCAATAACGGCACACAGCAGAGGAGCTGTCAAACCATTAAGGATGGCAATATCGGACACAAACAACAAGCCCCGGAAACAAAGAAGGATCGTGTTTACTGGGGAGGGCACAGACAGGACACGGTTCCTGTGGAGGAAGCCCTCGGAAACAGAAGCACATCTGGACGTGGCTGAACGAGTGGGCACTTCCATGTCAGGGCTCTCCGGCCCCGGGCCCCCGCTTCCGAGTTTCCTCTCAGACCCAAGGACTTTCCGTGGAGGGACATCCTCTCAGCTGTGGCAGCGGAGGGAGTGACGGGCTGACGGCTCTCGGGATGGCCCAAACAGCAGATCATTCCGAGGTCAGCCCCGAGGCTAAACTACCCATCCTGAAAATCCCACAGCCCTGACCAAAGGCTGACCACGTCCCCCCATACCGAACCATTAAGATGAACGGGGTCCGATTAAGCTCTTTAGCTCCCCGAAAATCATCACGGACAACTGACAACTCTCTGATGCAAACGAGATGAGAAGGAGACTTCAAGAAGTGAAGGGCTCCAATGGCCGGCTACATGGGGAGGAGAAACAAACAGAATCAGATTCTTATGAGCGGATAATAAGAGCAATGTCCACACACCCAGCGCTACACTGCCGCCCAGCTCCACCCTGAGAGGGTTTCTTTGGAACAGTCCCTCGCTCATACATAACCCAATAACCAGTTCCAACCTCAGCCCTTCTTTAGAAAAATGAATCTCTCTGCTGACTGTACGCTAAAAAGCTTTTTAGCTGAAATTACAACCAGTTAGCTTCTGTTACCACCACACACAGCGTTTGCTCAGGCTTTCCTTCTGGCTGCACTCCAGAAAGGGGGTTAGCCTTAAAAAGAGGCCTGAAAGACCTCAGGTAGTCTTTCATTTTCAGTTTGACAAGGTCTCAACTCAACCTATTCCAACAACCTCCTCCATCCCATGTGAATTGTGAAGCTGAACCTTTTATCATTGTGCTGAGACACCAAAACATGCCACAATAGGTATGCAACATTCTTTAACACTTCTTTTTTCTGTTTTACAAAGTCTCCACTTATTTCCCAAAGCTCTCTTTCAATAACTGTCCCAAACATTAAAGGGCATTCATATTAGGATGAATTCAACAATGTTTCTCACCGTTTCTTTGCCTTAAATTCATCCAAAGAGTTTGACAATCAGACTGAAAGATGTTACACTGTTCAAAGATATTAAGTTTGAACAGCTGACTTTGAATCTAACCTTAAAGTACAGATTGGTTTAGGGTTAGATTATATGGTGCACCGTCATCTTCTACAGTGTTGCAGTGAATAAATGATGTTTTAACAGATCTGCTGTTGTAATTAAGACTGTAAATTCCTCCTGATTACAGTGATAAAAGATTTTGATAGATGGTTATTTGACATAAGCATCGGGGACTGGCACCAGTTTGAGCCTCGGCCACGTCAACAGGGCTGACAAACCTTTATTTCAGCACATAAGGATACGCTCACCAGTTCCTTCCTGAAATGTTAACTGATTTTGGAATTGTCCCCGTGGGAGAACGGGACCAGGGTTCTTACTGTGCTCAACTCATTATCAGAAATCCCTCCGAAAAAACCTAATGAGTATGAGTATGAGTATGAACAGAAAAAAAAAATATCTGATCTCACTTTGAATAAAGGGGAGGGAAAAAAACCAAACAACAGTGGCACATACTTTAGCTACAGTCACATAAGGCATGAAATACAAGACATGGCATGTCCTGAAATGGGAAACTCTGTCAGTCGACACCGACACAGCTGTGCGTCAATATCAGCTCATCTGCCTGTGGCCGGAGACGTGTTCAGCACCGGGCTCTGCTCGGCCTCTGCACAAAAGACGGCCGTATTAAAGTTCCGATCCAGCCCAGGAAATATCAAACAAAGTGGGAGAAGTAAGAAGAAATAGCACAGGTGTGGGGGGGCCAGTAAAAGGCTGGGCCTGACGTGCACGTGCAGGATCCCTGCAGCAGAATGAGCTGCAGCAGCTTTGGGGGGGCACACACTGCTCTTCCCCCCTCAGGTTGAGCAGCCCGGAGAGACCGGATGTGCAGAAACACACACATCCAGCCAGGTGTATGCATCCACGACCTTTCGACGCCGTGCCAAGTTTGCACTTTGCACCGGCTCCCAGGCACCTGACATGTCTGAGTTTTTACAGACTAAACGGGCCACTGTCCTTTGAGCTCACCCCAAACTAAACAAAAAGCAAAAAAAAAAGAAGCTTCTTTTGACTTCATCCGTTCCAGTGGAATGTATTCCGCTGTGGAGAGTCACCTTCGACTGTGTTTTAAACATCCGTAGATGCACCGCTGGTGTGATGGGAACAATACCGAGGTACAATGTCGACCTAAAGTAAGCAGCTGAGAGCCTGCTCAGACTGCCTCGGGTCTGGCAATCAGCGCCAACAAAGAACTCTGTGTAAGTTTAACAGTATGTTGCTGAATCTGTACCTTAAGGAATGCAAGGTGTCCTCCGGGCAGAGGGAAAGTCAAACCCTTTATTCTTTCCATTTTTTTTTAACTCAAGAGACTAACTGAGACACACATTTTTAGAGGAGAAACTCCAATTGAATATAAAAAATAGGACTGAATGGATTAAGACATGCAAGAAGCGCTAAAGCCACCAAAGATTTTCTGAAATAGTGTAGTAATAAGGCGCTTGAATATATTCCCAGTCCATTTCAGACTGTGTGGTAGTCTGGCTGAGACACCTTTCAGACAGGACCTTCCCAAAGGATTAGAGCTGTAGGAGACATCCACATAATCATCTGAACTCAGCTGAGGTGTGGTTTGGCTGTGAGAAAAGCGTTTGAATAAATACAGATGACAATCTGATGCTAAAAGAAAAAAGACAACGCCTCAATTCGATCTGCTGAGAAAGGCAGGCAGTGAGATCTTAACTGTAGCACCGTTTGCTGTTACTTGTAATAAAGCTCATCACACGGTCACTACATAAAGACAGCTTTCGTGGCTCAAAGGCTCAAACTTTTTTCTTTTACTTTGTCAACTTACGCTTCGTCGCATTGATGAGGTTCTTCCCATCTTTGTAGAGCTCTTTGATAAACCTGTTGGTTTTGTCCAGCTCTGCTTCGTGTGCCTTTATTTTCTCCCTGAAGCTGGGGCTGTCCAGATAGCACTCACTAAACTCCAGCGGGTGTAGTCCCATTTCTGTGACAGATTGATCGCTTCGTGTTCAACGACGGGAAACTGGCCAAACGCCACTTGCTCTGGAGCTCCAAGAAAACGCCGCTACTTTCAAACTAAAGCTCTTTTCGCCGGGGGGTTCGAGTCGGGCTGAGAAGAACACATACTGTGGCTACGTAAAGTAGCAGCAGCAGCTAACGACGCTTAGCATGGTAACTTCTGACTCTGGAGCATGGGTGTTGTTCCACGACTGTCAAATGAAGCGCCGAAGGGCTAACAGGTATAACGGTCAACGTGTGACAGCAACTCCACACCAGGTGGAGGATTCATCGGAAGTCGGTTTCGCGAGAAGTGTTAAAAGTCACAGCTGCGGTGTCCAGGTTTTTTTCTGTAGACCATCAAATGTGCTCCACCTTGAGTAGTGACAGATTGAGAAACTCTGCTGACATATGCGCGCTCGGAGCAAAACTTAGTCAAAGAGTGCACGTTGTGCAAGATGGTTTAGTCGAATCTACTTCCGGTGTGACGCCACATACCCGAGCCTAGCGTGTGTCATGAGCAGTTGCGAAATACCGTGGTGAAAAGGGCTTAGCAGGACAACTTATTTCCCCAAAACGAATAGCTTGAAAGTAGTTGAAGGTTTCCTGAGACTAATGTGTGTCATAAGTATGAGGAACACTTAAAAAAACAACCACAAACTTAACTCATATGAATTTTGTGGCAACAGATAGCATCTATTTTTATTTGGTTATTAATTATTAAGTAATGGATTCCAAAAAAGATTGGTAAACATAGTTTAACATGTAATTATAAAGTATTATATTTTGCACCTAACCGTAATCCTGTATTAAAGATATACATGATGTAACATTTGGTTGTTGGACTCACAATTTGTGTCAAAGTTTTATAAGTCAACAGACACAAAGCCAAGGACAGGAAAGAAGTTGATGGAAAAGTATAAATATAGTTTGTTTTTAAATTAATGGAAATATAAACAAGGTCTTTGGTGATAGCAAATTAAAAATGTAAGGCACAAAAAGAGTAGGCTACTGAAATAAAAAGACAGGTTTCCAGAGCGATCTTCCAGCTGTGGCATTGTGTTCATTGCCAAGTTAAAAAAGCTAAACAAATAAGCACAAATAATAATTATTTCTACATAGTTTCTGTAGAAGAGCAGTTACATCTGCCACAACTTTAACAAATCATAATCAAAACAATGAGATGAAAAATATACTGAATTGTGTTCAATCCATATGATTGAAAAAGTAACATGTTTAAATGTTTGAAGTGTGGGCCCATCTTTGATGACAGCAGACGCCCAGGCTGCCTCACACAAGATATCATCAAAGAAACCGCTTCCTAATATGGAAACTCATCTGGTAAGGCAATCTGAGTGAAAACATGTGTCATTAAAATCAGAATCAGAATCATAAATACTTTAATAATCCCAGAGGGAAATTATTTGGCACAGAAATTATTAGGCACAGCTCAGAGAAGAGCACCACTTGCTCGACCACTCAAATTTACTTCTTGTATGGTTTCATTCTAGGGCTAACAATTATGCTGCATGGACATTGACTCAAAAGTGAAGTGAACGTCACATAGACAAAGCATGGAGCACCTTGGGCAATGTGGATGAGACTGCAGTGCAAACATTACAAATGAGGAACACCCTCAGATCAAACACACAATATAAACGTCTGCATGTAACACCTGCCGCGTTTATCCCAGGGTGCAACAGTAACTGTCTGTGCAAAAGTTGCATTGCAAGGTTGGCCCGAGGTTTAAAAATAAACGGATGACGGCATGCACCCTTATAACATTGTCCTGAGCATGCACCGTCTTGATCTGTTATACTCTTTGAGTGTGTCTCAATGTTGTAGTTGGTTTATCAGAGACCATTCTAAACTGGTGATATATCCATCTAATTAATTATAAATATTTTACAAAATACAGGCATCTTTTATAGCGCATCCTGTAATAAATTATTTTTGCTCGTAATTTCAAATGAAGTGCAAGTTTGTAAATATGAGCCATAGGAACCTTAAATCATACTCGTTTCCTCCCGAGCCGTTAACTGTGCAGACACATTTGTTGTACAGCGGTGCAGGAGGCCAATACCAAGGGATGCGTGGCTGGACTTCGTGCCAAACGCATTATTTCTTTTTTGTCATTTTATAAAAAACAATTCTGAACATATATGTTTCTAAAATATCGTATTTATCATCAGAACAACTATTGTCACGTTAGCTAATGTTAGTTTACTGTGAAGCGTTGGATTGTTTTCATCGATGCTAACGTGTGTTTTGGATGTTATTGTGTGCAAACCGGATAAACAAAGTAGTACTACTTCATTCGTCTGCTGGGCTTTTCCGCGACTATTTTAATCGCGAAGCCCAGCCTGTCGTCTATAACTAACGGTAAGTCTTCCTGAAAGGGGTTTTTATTGAATATCTCATAAAGGTGACACGTTGCCGACTTAAGGAGAATTCTGAAGTTTAACATTAGAAATACTGAAAACAAAATTTTAAGGTTGTAATATACATTTTTTACATACTTTGCAAGCCGAGTGGGATATCATTTTAATTTAAAACAACGTCAGCAATTTTGTCATTGATGCCAACTGAAGTTTTTTTTCTTAAAGACTTCCCATGAAAAATGCATGGTTATATATATGTATACGGTTGTTATTTGAATGCACATAAACATGTACAGTAAACAGTTTTTTTATGTCTGTACATCCATTTATTTATTCCTTCTTCTCTCTTCCTTCCTTAAAGATGCCAAACACCAGTGGCCGGCAGAAACATGGCAGAAGGGCTCGAAGGCGCCGCAGAGTGGACCCTGCCAGAGATGAGCTCGTTTCTAGCTCCCTTGAGAGTGCCCAACAGTGCCTGTTCAGCCAAGATTATGGAACGGCGTTTGTGCACTACCTTCTCGTTCTCAACCTCGCACCCGTGTTCAAGGAATTTGCCAGGGTAATGACTCTGTGATGCTCTTAAAAACAAAAAAAACTAGAAAAGATATTCCAAAGCAACTACTCTCCATGGTCAGACTTGTGTACTAGTTTGACAACAACTTGGCTTTGTAGATATGCAGTGTCCTTTGACTGAAGCTTAACCCCTGCCACTGTCATTTGCAAATCATGTGACTTAAAATATGAATATCAAAGTGGTTTAGTTAGCATTCATTTCAATTATCTTTGTAGCTCTCTAACAATAAATTTCATTACTTCCACACACAAAAATGTACTTGTAAAGTCCCCTGACCTTTTACGGATGAGAAAACAATTGAAAAGAAAGAGATTAAATAAGAAATGGGACTAAAAAAATGTGATGCCTTTTGGAAATGTGCGGGATTCATCTCGAACTGGACACTTCCATGGTCTGTGAATTAGCTCTTTCTCTCATTCCCTCCTACTTTCTTTATATATATACTTTGTATATATGCGTGGACATTTGGAAATCAGTTCTGGTTTTACTTAACTACAGACACCAGCTTGGCATTGCACACATATTTTCTGCATTTTACTATGTGGAAGACTTACAGTGGCATTTTCCTTTCAGGACTCTTTCAGGTTCACTCTCTTCAAATGGGCTGAAGAGCTGGACTCTCTGGGCCGCATTCAGGATCTTTTTGACTGCTATGAACAAGCGCTGGAAGTTTTCCCTGCTGACGAGGTCATCCTGAACAGCATGGGAGAACACCTGTTCCGGTACTGTCCATTGGCGTTTTGTCTCTCATAGTCAAATGTACTAGTTGCAGAACATTATGTTTATGGTTTATGTTTATTTTTCTCTGTTTTGGTTGTCTTTCCTTTTATCATCCAGAATGGGATTCAGAGATGAAGCTGCAGGTCATTTCCACAAAGCCTTAAAGTTGAGACCAGACTATTTAGAAGCCAGAGAGAACTTCTACCGTGTGGCCAACTGGCTCGTGGAGCGCTGGCATTTCCTCATGCTCAATGACCACGGGAGGAACCGGAAGTACCAGCAAGCCATCCAGAAGGCTGTCCGCAAAGGCTGCAACTCCGTACTTGATATAGGTACTGGCACTGGAATTCTTGGGTGAGGTATTTTCCAGCGGAATTCAGAAATGTTATGTTTTATCAAGCTGTGTACTTTAATTGTAAGTCATAGTTTGATCCTTGAACCAGATGTAAATGGACCATTTTGTCTGTTGTTCTGATATCCTGTTTCCACCTGTTATATACAGCATGTGTGCAAAGAAGGCGGGAGCTGCTGAGGTGTACGCCTGTGAGCTTTCCAAGACCATGTATGAACTGGCCTGTGAAGTGGTGGCTGCTAATGGAATGGATGGTAGCATTAAGATCATCCATAAAAAGTCTCTGGAGATGGAGGTCCCAAAGGATATCCCCCATAGGTACAGCTTCCACCTACATTTTTATTGACCTTCGAGGTGTTGTGGAATTTCCCAGTCTGTTGTTCTCGGTTTAAAAAGTATTTTTCTTTGAATATGTTTGTTCTTCTTGTTTAGGGTGTCTTTGGTGGTGACGGAGACAGTAGATGCAGGATTGTTTGGAGAGGGCATCATAGAGAGTCTCATTCATGCCTGGCACAATCTGCTGCTGCCTCCAAAGGTAACTCGGGTGAACAGGAAACACCACGTTCTTGAAATTGATGTGCAAAAAGGCTTTGCTCATGGAGCACTAAATGTAGATGGGTCTAGTTAACCATTATACCGTGTCACACAGTAACACCGGAAGAATGTCCAGAGAATTAGGTCAGGACTTGATCTGCCATTTCCTTTTCGCACATGCGGGGAGGTTTATAGCAGTAGCTGTTATCAGCAAGCCAGATTCCTCTGAGTGTTACCTGCTGGATTCACGCATGGACAGCAAACACTTTGATGTGCTTTATGCAAATGTTTGCATTCTCACCTGCTGTGCCCCTATGGAAAATGTTTCAGTTCACGGCTGCAGTGCATGTGTGAAATCGGCATCAGTCACCTTTAAAAGCACGTTTTTTCTCCTAAAGAGGGACCAGGGTGACTCGGGAGATGAGTCTACCACTGGAAGAGTCATCCCTGCAGGAGCCACAGTGTTTGGTATGGCTGTCGAGTGCCTTGAGATCCGCCGGCATCACAGGTAATCTCCTGGAAAGTTTTCTATCCCTGTGAGGGGACATCACCTCCGATCATGATCTTAAATGTTGCTCGTTTGTTTTTTTTACTCTTAATGACTGTGATTCAAACGTAAAGTTTGTTTCTTGGTTCATCTGTGAGCAACAGTGTCTGTCTGGGTCTCTCAGCTCATTTGTATATTTCTTTATTTCTTTCGGTGTAGACTCTGTGTTACGGAAGTGGGTGGTCTGTCCATTGCTGAAGCAGGCGAGCTCCATAGTACAGTGAGCTGTAACTCCGAGCCAGATGACTCCATAGAACCATACACAACAGAAAGACTTAGCAGGCTTCCAGGCGGATACAAATGTCTCACAGAGCCATTCACAACCCTCTCTATAGATTTCAACAATGTGCAGGTGAGTAAAACATCTCTATGGCATATCATTCCCACAGTTGAATTTTTTTTCCAGCTTGATCCATGATTAAGAGTTATTGTTTCCTCTTTTAACTCATTTAACTGTGGCAAATTTTAAACCTATAGGAGCTGGAGGGCCTGAGCTCCAGGGAGGTCCAAGAGATCCGGCTGCCCGTCACTCAGGAAGGAGAGCTGGACGCTCTGGCTGTATGGTTCCAGCTCCACCTGGATGAGGAGAACAGTCTGTCCACTGGACCCCAGGAGGACACGTGCTGGGAGCAAGCCATCTACCCTGTCCACATTCCTAAGAGTGAGATAATAACACAGACTGGTGACATCCATGCACACTATAGGCCTTATGTAAGGCAACATATAAAGTATGTAATATTTTCTTTAGTGATGAAGCCTAAAATAAGACATTTGTAAAAATGAAAGTTGGAAATCAACTGAAAGGAATAAAACAATTTATACATTTAATTATTTTCAAAGCAATTAAGCCATCACACCAAGTAAAATAAAACACTATACTGTAACTGTGAGGATATCATGTTTAGCAGCATTAGTCCCCTCTCTTTCAACACAGGCTACTGTGAGTGTAAAAGCCACTGATATCAGATGACTCGTTCCATTGTGGTGCTTCTTCTCTCAGACTGTATTAACTGGTGAAGGCAGCCCCAGTGGAGCTGCCAGCTCCCCCAGTGATCACCAGCATCTGTTTGCCAGTCGCTGTGAAGCGTACACAGTGACACTCTTTAGTGTTCATGAAAATCTTATAGGCAATGAATATGCATTTCCCCCAAATGCTGCTGAAGAGCCACGTGTTGACATGGGGATGTGAACAGATGTTATTCCTGTAGGAATCGTCTCTCTTTCCTGGTATTCTGAATTTCTGTTCACCAATCCAGTCTTCCTCTTTACGTTTTTGACTTTCCTTTTTAATGCATCCCTGTCAAAAGCCCTTTGGTCATTGATCCAGTGGAACAGTGAGCGGAAAAATCGCATGCTTTACCAGTTTTTCTCCTTCTTTTTCTTCTGAGTAGCTTTACATAAACAAAACTATTTGTAAAAACAAAAATAGGTCACATTTACTTCTTTACATGTAAATACAATATTTTCTATATTAAAAATTCAGTTTTATCGGATTGGTTATGAAAGTACATTTCTTCAAGGGCCTTGCTTATATTTGTTATAGGAAACAAAATCTAAATGGTATCAGAGAGAACGCTCTGATTTTGTTGCTCTGTTGTTAAAATGATTCCGTGGTTTACTCTGCTGTTTCTTCAGGGTTTGAACTGAAGCCACGAGACGAGCTGATCGTCGAAATCTCGTGCCGTGACGCCTTCCTGCGGCTCAGCTGTGTCGCCGTGCTGAGAGACGGTCAGACAATCCATCTAGAAAAGCGTATGGGTTCGCCTCCCCCCGGAGACCTCACTCCTAACCCCAACCCTGAAGTGGAACTGTGCAGCGCATTAGCAGGTCTGCAGACTAATCACAGTCAAGCTGAGGCCCTCTGCATGTTGGAATCTTCAGAGATGGCACTCTTGAACAATCGGGATTACCATCAAAGTTTTAGTTCTGCGTTAACCAAGCTCATCTCCCAACTGAAAACTAAGCACCAGAACCACGAGCGAGGGTCGGCTTTCCACTCTGACCCAGCCGTGTCCTCGCCCGCCAGCAGCCTCCTCTATGTGCTGGACGTGTCCGAGGGGTTCTCTCTGCTATCCCTCATGGCAGCTAAGCAAGGTCATGTGAAAGCTTACAGTTCTGTGGAGAAGACCAAGCAACAGGAAGTGCTGAGGAGACTCGCTTGCTCTAATGGCATCTCAGAGCAACATTTAGAGTTTTGGCTTAACCACATAGAGGACGAGCGGGGAATGCTGAAGAGGCCGTCCAGGGAAAAGCTGTGGAGTGCCATCATCCTGGACTGTGTGGAAACGTGTGGCCTCATAAGACAGAAGCTGATGGAGAAAGCATCACTAGCCAGGTGAGGAGAACCGGAAGGAGGATGATTGTTAATCTGCTTCTATTTGTGTTGATATTTATTTGGATATTATAGTTCTTCACTTACAAATATCTTAGTTTAACAAATAAAGCTCAAAATGTTTTTGTCTTGTGTATCAGGTGTCTGCTGGAGGAAGGAGGACATATTTTCCCACAGAAGATTGTGGTGTATGGCATGTTGGTGGAATCTTACACCTTGCTACTGGAAAGTGCTGTCCAGGGTCAGGAGCCAACACTGGGATTTAATATAGCTCCTTTCATCAACCAGTTCACTGTAAGTATATCTGCAAAATACACCAGTTATTGATTCAACTTGTTGACCTGACTTTGGTTGTAAAGCTACACAAATGGGTTCTACAGTGTAAAACCCATTTCAAGAAACCTTTTCCTTTACCAATCCCCTTTCTCCTCTAGAGAGCTTCAGTGACTACTGATTGAAAAAAATGTAACACAACCCCCCCCCCTCCTCATTTTTTAGGGGACTACCTGAGTCTGAAAATACATTTAATAATTCAGGGAGCTGTTCAGACTTGCTGGTTTCTGTGCTATCCGAGTTCAGTGTAGAATTATCTAGCAAAAGTATTCTTCAGCGTCATCTTCGCCCAACTTCCTGTCCTTTTCATGCTGCTTTCTCTTTATCTCCGAAGAGAGAATTAAAACTCCCCGGCTTTTCACTTTTTTAGTAGTTTTTTTTCCTATCAAGTTGCACAGTTTTGTCCATTTGAAGTTGGGCCATAAGAATTTTAAATGAGAACATTTTGTATTATTTTGGTGGTTCCTCAATCGACAGTTCTCCTTTTCTTTGCTTCATAGAAGCATTGTTTTATCAGGATTTTTTACAGGATTTTTCCTTGGATTCAAGGCCTGGCATTTTGACCAATGACTTATTGCAAGTAATTCCATAAAAGTCTATAAAAAGAGTTTGAAGTTAAACTTAGATAATTAGACAGATCCTGAGTCCAGTTTTGGTTTCTACCATGTATGGGTCTTTCTTGTGTTAAACTAATGTTTTCTTTGGAATATTGATGTCCGGCTCTGTGTTTTCTGAACTCTTCTTTCATGTGCGTTTCCCATCTGCCTTAAAGAAGCTGAAAAATCGCTCTCGAATTCTTTTTCTTTATTTGGTCTGGAAATCGTCATTTTCCTCCAGCATCGTGTGTGCACTCGTAATTTTGAATGGCTCTCGTGGGACAGTTGTTTGTTTTAACAGATGCTATCTTTAAAGCCCTCAGTGGGCACATCCTCACACAACTGTCACACAAGACACAACTCACAGCTTGGCTCAAAGACTCACTCGTATCCATCAGAGCACATCAAACAGCACGCTCCATGGTCTGCACAAGTGTGACAGCGAGGGGGAAAGAATATTTTGCTCAGCAATAAAGAGTAAAACTTTCTGTGCTGGCACTTGGCTTCACAGTAAGACTTCCCTTCAAGATGAACAAGAAATATATTTGTACCTGGTCATGGTTGTGGGGTGCGTGTTTGAAAGCAGTTGAAATAAAACAGGTGGGCATTCAAATACTTTGAGCTAAGGGTTTGTTATGTCCTTCAGGTGCCAGTTCATGTGTTTCTGGACTTTTCCACACTGGAGTGCAGACATCTCAGCAAGGCTGCGGAGCTCTTTGTTCTTGACCTTATGGATACCAACGCAAACTACACAAACAGAGATGTCAAGGTAAGATGCAAATGGAATTCAGGTGTAATAGTGTTTGCAGTAGTTCATGAGCATATCAATCCAACAATTCACCCTTGCTCTAATCCCTTCATTTTTCAGTGTATTGAAAATACATTTTAGCAATAATATTTGACGTTTATGTCGTATTTAGCAACAGAAAAGTGACAGTACGTCAAAAGCCGACTTCTGTTAAACAACTACCCCTGATCCCTGTCTCGCAGGTCCAGGTCATGTCTGCAGGCAGACTAACAGCTGTCCCCTTCTGGTATCATATCTACCTGGACCAAGAGATCAGTGTCAGCACCCTCAGCCAGAACTCCCACTGGAAGCAGGCCGCGGTTGTTCTGCCAAAACCCATCGAGGTACAAGCAGGAGACTGGGTCCGCCTCGCTGTGAAGCTTCACAAAAGCACCATCTCTATTGCAGCCCATGTAGAGAACCCCCCCACACAGATGGACTGATGGTCTCTTACATTGTCTTTTTTTAATGACTTTTTGAACTTTTGTTTTTCCTTTTGGTTTCTGGGCATTGTATTAAATATTAGACGTTTCCTCACATGATTTATTTTAATATTTGCCTTCTCCTGGGTCACCTTTCGTAGAACAACCGCCCCTGAGTTTTGAAAAGTTCCAGACAAACCTCTGATCTCTGACTAGTAGAGATTTACAGCAGCCTGCATGACACAAACTTTGTGAAAGCCTGTTTAAAGTAGATTTATTACCTGAATATGTTTTTCTAAATGTAAACATTTTCCTTCGATGACAAAGATGCATCTATTTCACCAAAACATGAGGTTTTTTTAAATAAATCCATGTAAAACGTATTAGAATTTCTTTTATTGTTAAATTAAAATGTAGAACATTTACATCAGATATGATGTATTCTTGTAATTTTTATTTTTAAAAAAGGCAACGCAGCATGTTTGAGCTGGACATGATGCAGGTTATACGATGAGTATCGCACATGTAGCTTCTGACAAGTTGAAAACTGTACATTTTACAGTATCCCACAGGAAATCCATGTGAATCACAATAAAAGAAACTGAGGAAAAGGTTTTGTTGGCTTTAGTGCAAGAACTGCAAAAAGAACAGCTTGAAGGCAGGAAAACCTGAAATAAACCTTATCCTGGGATATAAATTCTAAATTGATGGATAGATTAGTCCCATGGCATGTAGAACAAGGCATCTGAGAGGTGACTCAGCTTCTGCTAAATACAGGAGAATAACCTTCACATAATTGATCACTTACAGAACTTACAAGAATGTGCTGATTGACCATTTCCACTTAAATTGTGTGCTCTTATCCTCCCTTAAAACTTAATCTGAACCTATCGCCATTTGAAATGCAAGCTGCAATATTTATACTGGTGTTCAATGGATACTACGCTGTCATTTAAGAACTCGGCAAAGCTTAAAGCTAGACTGAAATATTTTGTTTTTATTAGATCTTTATCTTTTATCTGCTCTTTCCTTCTTTTGATCTAAAAACACATTCTAAATAGAACCAAAAAAAACCTTAATGTGCCTGTTAGGATGGAAGATTTTCTGTCATGATGAAACTTTCAGTTGATCCTGTCAAATCACAAAATGCAAACACAATGTGGATGTCAAGTATTACATTTGACATGTATCTCTTATCCGTCACATTTAAGATCAATACAGGGATGACACAAATTTGTGAAAAAATGTGTTCCACTCAGACAATCTACACATTGATGAGTGGCTCAAACTTGAGCCGAAGTCGTGTTTTCAGCCATCTGACGAAGACACTGGGTCGTTTGAAGACAAACATGCTTTGTGGAAACTGTCCTTTATCCCAGTTACACCACATTCTGGTCAAACTTAATGAGCCAAATAGATCTCTTGTACAGCACGAGACAGCCAATCATTTAGCGCCTTAACTTTACTGAAGGCACAGTAGATCGACAATGAACTGCCATCATACCACCATGCAGAATATTGATACTGTGACAGACTACGAGAAATGTTAGGCTATCGACCATTTTAATTGCAGAACCTTTGTCTGGGAAAAGGTTGGACTAGAAGGTGTCTCAATCAGGGGTGCATTCCACTTGCAGGGAGCTCTGTGTGTGTCCCAAAACTGACCAGCATGCACAAGAGAAGAGGAATGCAGCCCTACTTGAGCTTAACAGCATATACTAACGTATTTCTCTATGCATTGCTAGTCATATTCTCATCACGACATTCAACAATTATAGCGTACAATGCACGTTTTCCTGATGTTGTGCAGCTCAACACTGAGCATTTTTTGCGGAGTCCCTGGCAGAGAGGTTTTTCTCTTCTGCTCAGAATTCGGTATACAAGTCCTTTTTATCAAAACTGAATCTCTGTTCCTTTATATCGGTAATCCCTGACAGAAAACGTGAAGGCTCTCACTGGGACCTGCCCAACCGTATTTGGTAATTCTGTTTGCAACACCAGCCAAAATTAGGAAATCACAATGAGATCTCCCTCTGCCGTTTCTTTGCTTTGGATGGTCCTTTCTTTGTCTGGGGCCTCTTCAGGTGTAGGCTCTAAACCTTCATCCCACATGGCCGAGCCAAGCTCAGCAGGAGCTGACAGAGAGTGTGGAGTGACAGTTCTGCCTAGGCCCTCATACTGGCCTTTCGGAGACACTGGGTTGGAGGCGGCTTCTGTGATGCCATCTTGAGACCCTGGAGAGAGAAGGCCCGACCGCTCGCCATCACTTTGCGCTTCACCAAAGTAGAACTTCCTTGGGCGACCCATAACTGTCCTTCCTGGAAACATGGATAACAGCAAATTTCTCTGAAGTAATTTCTCTTTCAAAGATGGATAAAAACGTTCAGTAAACCAAAAAGGCCCTTACCAACATTGCGGACTTGTTCAGAGATGTCTGCCCTGACATCAGAAATGTCCCACATCGCCATGAAAGAGTCAAAGCAAGAAACCTCCTCAGCGTCCTGGATGTACGGTTTGTAAGTGAAGCTGAAGTGATGGGCAATGGCTGCAAGAAACATCTCCACACAGATGATGAAGTCCTGAAAAAAAATGGACAGCGAGTGAGTTTTTGGTTGTGTCTCAAATCAAATATATTACCTCTGTTGATACTGTAAATTAACATATTTTTAACCACATGCACTCCCTTTTACCTGTAAGCCGGTAGCTACAGCTTCCACGCTTTGCCAGTCCCAAGTGCGTTTTTCTGAGATAATACCCACTTTCACCAGCAAAGCAATGAACACAGCTTGCCTGGAAAAGTATAGAAAATTAACTAAACCTTTGCATATATGGCTTTGTCCACACTAGTATGCTAGTAGTACATGAAAGTTGAGCTGTCAAAAGCAATTCTTAAAAGCAGAATTACCAAAAAGAGACAAACACCACCATTTTGACACATAAGAATTTTCCCACTGGTTTGATGGGACCCAGTTCTTCTCTAAGAGCCCGGTAGAACAGCACCAGGCAGTACATGGCAAACTACAAAAAACAGAAAAGACAGCCAGAGAGAAATGTGTGTTTAACAACTTAATGCGCATCTCTTAACAAACCCTCCATCAATACAAAAATAAATGAATAAATTTACCAGCTGGGACATATTGTTGACAATGACCAGGTATGTCCAGGCGTTTGTTGAACTAAAATTGCCTTCATCATACACTTTACACAGCTGGCAGATTCTGTGCGGAAAAGAAAATTGGTGCAGGACACATTACAAAACACGATTGGTCGAAAACATAAATTAGATATGTGATACCTGAAAGGCAAAGCGTACTCACAGGGCAATTACTGTAGTGACGGGTCTTACAACAGTGTACTGCAGCACTCCCAGTTTACATCTCAACAGTAAAACCCTGCAGAGAAATCAATATGATGGAACAGGCAAGTGGAAAAAAAAAATTAAACAATAACTTTGCAACTAATGCATTTTTGTACTTTAAGATCTGAAAATTACATACGGCTATAAAAAAGATAATGCAAGTAGATCCTCAAGCTAACTTATCTGGGAACTGTCTAATTTTTCCAAAAAAAACACTAAATTATAGCCCTCAGTATATCTGAAACAGACCTAATATGTTGCATTTATCGTTATGGATTAATTCATTTTTGGATACAAAGCCAATAATAAATTATTCTGAGCTTTAAAATCAGAAACTGCTCACTAAAGATAAATAAGAATGATGGTCTTTTCTTCCAACTAAATCTGTAAATGTGAAAATATTACAAAAATTGTATTACCCTTTTCTTTACTGACAAGTTTAGTCAAAATTTTAGATATTTTTGAGAGTTAACTGTATTGGCATTTCAGTGAAAGAGATCTCAGGAGGATCAAATTGGCAAAATAGTGATTTTTTACAAAAGGCCCAGACTAACTTACTCTCCCATTGGCCAAGGGGGGCAGCAGCAGAGAGGAGGGAGATGTTTCTGCTGCTCCTGAACCTCCAGCATCATCACCAAACTGGGATACTGATTTTCCAGGTAGTTGAGCAGGAAAATCATAAAGTTGTAGATGACGTATGCTTCGTAGCACTCTCTGCAGGTGTCCACGTAAATGGCTATACCAGGGTATTTCAGAGCAATCCACTAAAAAAGAGGAATAACAGGTAAGGTCAGGAAACAAGGTGATGTGTGTATTAAATATGTGGTTATGTCTAAAGAAAATGAAGCAAATAGAAAATCCCATTTGTCATCTCCCATTTTGTATAGCTATACATTTGGCTTTTATTACGGTTATGCAATAGTTGTAATTAAGTAATATACCACTCACACTGTCCAAGCTGTAGATTGGAACCATCCATAATATCCTAAAAACAGTAAATCCAGAGTTGTAAGGAGCCTGCTTGAGACGATAATTTGTAGTTGACATGACTGTTGAAATCTTTACCTGATAATAGGTTTCTGAAGCTCTGGCTGAGTGTAGTGCACCAGATGCTGGAGAATGCCCCATAATGATATGGGTATGGTCATGAAGACAAATATCCCAGCAATGAACCAGGCTTTGTTATGCGTGCCGACCTGTCATTACACAGAAAGGAGAAAAACAGGACATGTGAGTCACATTTAGGTTAGCCTTTCATTTTTGGAAATTATATTTGTGGCAACGATGACTGTAGATTTTTAGTCTGTCAGCAGTGAGCACAGTGCTTTGAATATTAAAATAAAGTATGACAATACCATTGTAGATGGAATGAATAAATGGTCACGACTAACTTAGCTTTTTTACTCATGATCCAAATGTAAATATATTTAGATTTGTTTTGTTTTTTTCTTATTTTCGTTTTACTGCTTGCTGTCAAATGGAATTTTTCATATTTCTATTCCACTTTTGTAATTTAGCAAATAAGATTCTACAAACAAAACAGGAAGAAATGTCTAGCAGTTGAGAAGATGAATAATGTTGGAATTAATCAAGGCAATTTCCGATTACATGATACTTGAAACTCAAAATTGGATCAATCTCTAACAGCTTCAATTCTTAGACTGTATATCTACTGTGATGCAGCAGTAATGATAATTTTTTGATAATTTAGTAGGGTTTTTCCCCATTAAATACCCATACATTTAATACACTATATACATTACAGGTGAGATCTTTTTTTTGGAATTTTTTAGCAGTTAAATTGCTTTTCTCATTATTTTTAAGAACTACTGTTGAACTACTGTTGTATACCTCACCTAAAGTGTACTGAAGTGCAATTTGAGCAAATCATCACTAAAACAACACAGCTCTAAGGGTGAAGATGAAACATGTCAAAGAGATCCACCAGTAAACTGACCCCTGACTTCTGAAGTTCCCAGATGCAAAAAGGCAGGACGACTAATAGCAGTAAAATATACAGCACGACGACCAGCGGCCGGATCCATCTTCTCCAGTTCCCACATGAAAAGGGCATCTTGTCACACCGAAAGGCCTTTTGGAACCGGCAGCTAATACAGAGATAAGCACTTTAACCCGTCGGGCGAATGTCTTAACGCCTTAGGCTTCGCATTGCTATAATTCAAAAGGCACAACACATACATATACTCAAGTATTTATGCGATATCTCCTTTCTTGAGGTTACTTTAAATCCATGAAGACGTTTCTCACTCATATGACAATTTACAGCTCACATGACTTGATTTTAGCTAATGGCAACTTGCTAATGGTAGCATGTCAGCTGATTCACCATGTAAACAAACCAGGCTATTGACCAATTCTCCCAAAATATTTAAACACGTAAAAGTAAAGAAAACCGAAAAGTAACACGACGGAATTTGACCCATCCAACCTCGACGTAAAAATAATAATTTCCGACTTTAAAGACGTTTCTCTCTGGCAGGTAAAAGTTTCCGAAGAAGTATTTGTTGCCAAGCACCTCTTCTTTTCATTTCCGGCTACAGAAAATTTTTGATTGGTTGACATGTAGGTTTTAACCAATCAGTAATCAGTATTCTGCAGCCTTGAACAGGTTTGGTTGCACTTTATTTTCGTCGTCACCGTAATCGTCATCTTGTCTTTGGCCACTAGATGGCATTGACAATTAACAATAACCAAGGGGACGGGCTGCATTGCGCAGAACTCTGTTTGTGCTGTCTCCTACTGTATCAAGGTATTCATAGAAATCAGAGGATATTAAGAGCTTGATTGGGACTATATACTTTATAGTCAACGTAAAAATTAAATTTATTGTCATTTCAACTATATATGAATAAACTGACATAAAAAGCAAGACATGATGCAGAGACATTGCAAATCTAGGAGAAGAATTAACACTAATAGAATGAGTAGTGATCATATTACCTTGATGCAATGAGTGGTATTGTGCAATGTAGATGCAAATTATATTTACAAAATGTACGATACTCCACGGTGTTCACAGATATAGCAGCAGAGATAGCAATTCGATCTTTGACGGCAATTCAAAGATCTAAATCATTCATACAAGCTGAAATGGGCATTCTTATGAAGCTAAGACATTTTACAATAAAAATGTAATCAATTAAATTACTTTTTGAGAAAACAAACTAGAATTGAATATCTACTAAAGGTTTAATATCATAAATAAAAATGTATTTACACTTATCAATTAGATACAACAATAATGACATTTGCATAAAGAAATAAGGTTTACATAAAATACTAGTCAAATATGTTTATGTACTAACTGATTTAAGATTGCCACTACATCTTTTGTTTATGTGATAAAAGTTGACATAAAGACCCATCTGAACGTATTCACATTTCCCTCTCCTGTGTATTAACACACCCACATGAGTAACATTTGAAGAGAAGTTTTCTTACTGTTGCACCAGATCTTGGCTGCCCCACAGTCACAGAAATCATTGGTTGTTGTAGGACAGATTGTTCATAAATTTTGTATTCATCCTTTTGGCTTTTATGAATTAGAAATAGTTTTTGCCACAAGTCCTCTAAGCAAGTGCTATGGTGGATGACTTGAAGGGATTACCATGCAAAGTGGCATATAGGGTACAGCCATGTAAGGGCAGGGCAGATAAACATATGTTATTTTTGATTATACTCCAAAACACATTTCAGAATAAAGGATGTGGTGTCCGTCGTGTCTCCCTGAATCATATACAGGATTGCTGATGTGCTTTGTAGGAAACAACCAACCTAAATAGATTAAGTGAATGGATTAGTCTGTAGAATAATAATAATCAATAAAGAGCCAAGGAGGAGACATATCATATCTTGCTGAGATATAATCCATCAGCCAAAGTGCACAACCTTTGTCAAAGGAGTATACAAACTGCAATTGTTCCATTATTATTTATTTATCTTAAGATGTCTGCCATAGGCCTTTGTGTCAGGAAATGTTCTGACTCACTGAGAGTGTTCCCATTAGTTTAATATTTATCTTGTTGCTCAGTAACGCTAGCATTGGAAAAGAGTTGAAGAAACTCTTTAAAGTCAAACAGCGTGAAAGGTGGTAAAACAACATTTGTAACAGCTTTATTTAGTTATAAGTCTGTTAGAAGTATACTCCTGCTAGGGTTTTATATCTTATATTGTTAAAACCAAACCCAGGAATGGGATGCATTGTTTCAAAAAGTCAATTCAGTCGAGTCTGTGTTAAATATTCCAAAATGTATATTATTGCAAGAAATGGCATGAAGTTAAAATTTTTAGGACAACCTTGCATCATATTTTTGTCAGCCCTGTCATTTATGTATGCAGGTCTTTTCATATACATTTTACAGCCATATACAAGTCACGGGCTGCCCTGTTCTGATGCTAAAATTCAAAGTCAAGCTGGAAGTTCATTCACCCCACTTTTTCCAACTATCTGGCACTGTGTAGGGCCTCTCTCTACTTTAATATTACATAGTAAGCAATGCCAGTAAGAAATTTGTTTTAGCAAATGGACCCGGATACAAGGACCAGCTTTAATTGTGTAAGGATCAAGTTGATTGCTTACTCTACACACAAATGTAATTTAATAAGAATATATTCCATAATTTTTAAACACTGTCTTGAATCGTACAAGATACATTTTCTCCATGAAGATTATGAGCATTTATCTACGGCATTTCTAAGATTAATGGCACATTTTGAGTGTAAAGTTGAGTCAAACAGCAAAAACTTGTTCATGGTGCCATTTAAAGGCAACTTCCATCCTTAATTAAGCATCATTACACAGTATTGGCTTTTTTTTTTCACTTCCTTCAACATAAAACTTGCCCACCAGTGTTGCAAAATACGAGTCTGGAGCCACTCAGCTGCGTAAGAGGCAGATTTCACTCAGGACATGCACATTCACTCTTAGGGTAAATTTAGAACCAACGGTTAACATAACATGCATGCTTGTGGACACTGGGAAGAAGTCGGAGAGCAGAGAGAACCCATGTATGCAAACATGCAAAACCCACACGGAAAGATCTGAGCTAGGAATTCAAACAGGAGGCTTCTAACTGTGAGGCAACAGCGTAGACCAGCACACCTCATCCCATCACCTTTGTTCTATTAAGACTTTTTAAACACTGGAAAATTTTGGGTGCATATTTTTGTGGTTATGAAAAAGGAATGTGTATACTCCCACTAAATAGAAGATTTCAGATGCTCAACAGCTGTTTATGGTCATTGTTGACTGTTCCTTCTCATGATACACCAAAGCTTTTCGACAGAATATGGTTCTGGCGTGCAGACAGGTCAGTGAAACACATGCTTTCTTTCCATGAAGCCATATGTAAGTTGCGCAGAATGGGTTCTGGTATGGTCCTGGAGATAACCACAGAGCTCTTGGGTAAAGACTTTGCCTTGATTCTAATATCCAATATAAAAAATTCCAGGTTTTGCTAAAAACTGACGTGATCATACTTTTGTCACAAGATTTGAGTTGAAGGCTTATCAGGAGCATTTGATAATGGATAATTAACAATGGCAACAGCTTTTTCCCCCCGTAAAAGCAACAGAAACATGCACTCATTTGACCACAGATAGCACAGTCCTCAGTCTATTCTCCATTTGTGATGACAACTTGTCCAAAAAACATCAGCTTTCATCAGCTTTCTGCATAGACGTGAAATATGGCTCCCATTTAGTGTAATGCAGAGTTGAGAGACAATGTTTTTCCAAGGCACTCCCAAGCTTACATCGCAAGACAGATCAAGATAGCGTGTTGGTTTCTTAAGTAGTCCTGCCCGAGCGACCCCTCACCTCGCCACCTTATCACATACTGATGTTAGCATCTGTTTTGAACAAAGAAAGCAATCCCAGAGGATATCTTTTGTATGCTCAAGGTTTCACTGGGCTTTCATTTTGCCACTGCTAAACCAAAGTTCTTTGCAGTTTGACATTAAGAAATTGAACTATATTTTATGAAAACTGCCCAAAGTGGTGAACCATGACCTGTCCCTGCTAAGAAATCCTAAACCTTTGGTGAATGCTCCTTTTATATCCAATACTGACACCCTCACCTGCCAACAATTAGTCTTCTGATTGTAGAATCTTTCCAAATAGTGATACCATATAAAAATGTGTGGATGATTAAATCTGCTTTGTTTATGCCTTACAAAGAAAGCAAAGTAATATAATAAATACAGCAACATTCCATTTTCTGTTGTTGTGTTTGTTAAACAAAGATTGCAACGTTAGAAAAAATACCCGACTAGTTTTTGCTGCAATTGATAACATTTGCTCTTTGTTTTTGGAACTTGTAAACACAAGGACATTTGTGTCATCATTTTCATAGTGTCTCATAAACTGGTCATTCAGTGTTTTTTTGCCAAAGCTTACTCAATCAACAACCAAACTAGAATAAGCTCTGTGTGGAGAGGCACTGTGGACCTTTGAGATCCTCTGTTATTTGTTTTTGGGCTTAATTCAATTCATTGCTGGCAGGAAACAAGGTTCCCACCAAATTCCAGAAATCAAATGACTCTGTTTCCCTCTTCTTACTTGTTTTTCTCACCCTTTGATTTCTTTCTTTTACCTCTCTGAGACATTTTATTAAATTGTTATCCGAATTATATTTGTTTCTTCTCTAATTTTCTAATATTCTAAACCAGGGCCCAAAGTTTTGATCAGGGTAGTGGTATCTATGTACATGTGAAATGTTTTAATATGAGGCATATGAAACATTTTCATAAAGTTTATGACCTGGCTGAGATTTATCTCCAAACTATCCAAACGAATAACAGAACTACTTCTGATAAACCCACAGCTGCTACAATGGTCTGTTAGCTTTGGATGCTTATCGGCTTTGTGTATGGATTACATGGCTCTGGTAACTGTCTCTTTTGATAGCATAGAGCGCAGTCCTGTGGAAATTCAATATTTAGTCCCAGTTATGATGGTGAATTATGTCATAATCCTTGCAAAAATTAAAAAAAGCTCTTCAGGAGTGTATCTTTACCAAAAATGGTCTTGTGTTTAAGTTGTTCAGCTTTCAATATCTTGTTATAAGACATTACTGTGATTTAACTGATGCTCAAGTCCAGCCCTGCTAATAGTCAAAACTTGCTTTCCTTGTGGTCTTTTTGGGAGCTCAGAGGAGTACTGAATTATGCGTATCGAATTCCCACCATCCAAGCCCGTTCACATCCTCTTTGCTGACACAAGTAACCCTAAGGGCTCAGTTGCCGAGCAGGTCACAGTGTGCTTCAAATCACTCCCAGACGTCTCTTTCTCACAGACACAGATAAAAAAACAGAAAGGCGGCCCTTGATTTTTGTTTTGCAGAAATTAGTATGCCAGCAAAAGAAGCTTTCTTCGTCGGTGCAGCATAGAGGGAAAGTTATTTATTGGTTTCCGCAGCATTTACATGCAAGTCCAACATGCAAATCGGAGATGACGATTATTGATCACAGGTTTTGGTGAATGGCTTTGGTTGCATAGTGGTAGGACAATGTTCAACTCCGAGGACATATACATATGTGCAAAACACTCCAATTAGAGGAGTGGAAGTAATAGCTCGCACATATGCAAGCACACATTAAAACAAACACAGGTTTACATTTATTCACATCTCAAATACACAAAACCATAAGAAGGCCTACTGCTTAGCTTAATACAATTTCCACACAAAAACTATAGACTGACATTTTAGGAAATACCCATATTCAGTTTTGTGCTGAGAAATCAATGGTTTGGTCCCAGTCTCTTGTATATTTTTAAATCAGAAATCCAAGTTCAAAATCTGTTATGTCTAGATTATTTTTGCTTATACAGACACCAAATGCTTGAACCATATTCTTCTTCACCCACTGTAAGTAGCACGTCAGAATCTCAGCCTCCCACTGAAGCTGGATTTTTCTATTAAAGATTAAATGGAACCGGTGATTTAAGGAATGGATCTCAGGTCACCTTTCCCACTCCCTTTCTTGTCTTATTTGTGAACCAAACAAGATCAAATTTAACACATAAGAGCTATGTATTCTTTCTCAACTTTAGTCATATTTTATAAAATGTCCTACTTTTTCTTAAATATATCTGTCATTTTGTAATTTTTGACAACATGCTTGCTTAGTGATAATAAAGGTAATATGGTCTGGGTAAAATACTTCCTATTACATGTGTATAATAACACTTTATAAAAGCATTTCATAGATATTCCTTTAATGTATTATATGAATGAAATTGACATTATATTTTGCTTAATTTGGATTTAAAAAATCCATTGCAGTGTTGAAAGCTATTCTCGGTCATCAGAAACTCATGACATCAGCTTCATGATAGAAATCAAATCAATGATGTACTTGACTTGAACCATGGTACCAGAGAGTTGGAATAATCTCTTCACACTAAAAGTCAGCAGCTCTGCAAGTTTGTTTGGCATGGCCAGACACGTCAAATGTTTATTTTCTTTATTTTTCACATTACATTACCTTAAATGTGGAGGTCTGTGATTCATGCCTACACTGTCTGTGTTTAGAAAAATAGTGTTGTTCTGAGCCAGAAAAAAACTGAGAGCATCAAGAAAATCCTACACTGATTATACCACACTGTAGCTGAATAAAATGAGTTAGATACTCATACTTTTTTTATCCACTCCGAGCGGTCAGCCTTTTCCTTCTCGTAGCATCCTTTGTTGTGCTGCCCTTTACAGGAATAGTACTCTTAGCTCCTGATAGAGAGCAATTTTTAGAGTTCAGCTGCATCCCTTGAATGTGCTCTCTTCCTCATCCTGTCCCCCTCCTCCACAAAAACTTTAATGTCACTGTCACTGGGTGTGGGAACCAAGGGAGTTTTTCTTAGGAAGTTCAGCTCTTCGAAAGGCTCAGGAAAGTCATTCCATTGTTTGTTCCTTCTATTCCAGTTTCTTATGTCTCTTCCTGACTCTTATGTTGCCTGAGTGGTCCAAGCGTTGTTGATGTATACATTTTAAGATGAGTATTGTGTGCATTTAAAATTCTTAACTTGGACATTTAAAATCTGGAAGAAAAAGAGGCTCCTTGGGAGAGGTGTCAGTTACTGTCTTTCCGGATGCTGCGGTCAGTGTTGAGGTTGTTGGGCTCTGGACTTTTACACTGGATACTGGTACCATTCATGGGTCCAATGCTGCTCAGCTGGTTGTCAGAGTAGCACCAGCAGCACAAGCACGACTTGGAGAACATGCGAAGAGAGGAAAGGACATTTTTTTAAATGGCTTTGTTTACCACAAGACTTTTCCATATGTGGAGCTTGAATATTCTTTTCCCAGCAAAGCCCCCTTTTTTTCAAATTTGGAACATGGTTTATCTCCAGCCTCATTCCCTTGACACACATCTGCAGTGTATGACCTCAGCCAGTAAAGTGACTCCATATATCATCTGACTGTTGGTCATGGAATGTCATCACCATCACAGCCTTTGACTCATGACGAAAAGGTTTCAGTTCACTATTTACTTTACAGGCCAAAATAATAAAAAGGGTATTCTGTCTTTTGGGTTAGAGTTAAGGTTAGGTTTGTATGTGTTTTATGAGTGATTGTGTGCTACATATGTATGTGGAGGACAGTTACAATACCTTGAAGCAGTTTTTGAACTTCTTGCTGACAAAATAAAGTATTATGGGGTTTATGCATGAGTTGATCGTCGCAAGGTTGATGCTGAAGTAATCCAAAACCAACAGGAAGCTGGAAATAGAGAAGAGTTGAGAAGTCAGTTTAATAGCTGAAGGTAAAAGGAGAGTTCCCATCAGTTCAAATGCTATTCTTAAGTCTTTCATTTAAGGCATCACAATCTCATTAAAAGGAAAGGAGGGGCGATAGTAGATACAGTTGTGGGCCTTTATTTGGTGTGACTTTAAGGCCAACATGCACTCCATTAGATTAAAAACACCTCACTAAAATGCTTTTGCTACTACCTGGTAATGATATTACTTTATTAGGATTAGAAAAAAACTTGGTTAGGTATAAACATTTTTCTTTTTATAACATGACTGATGTTGGCTGAGATGGATTGATTATATGTAAGCAATGTAACACTTTGTCTCTTTTTCCAATTGCTGTTTCATGTTTGTTAGCACGATTACTCAAAAGCAAGATTACTAAAAAACAACTAAACCAAGTTTAATGAAAGCTGGCAGAGAAAAGAATTCAGTCAATTTTGGCCCTCGTGAGCCATGACCTTTTTTTGAGCATTTCTGTTTGGAAATACTTTAGAAAATGTCTGGATATTATAAGCTTTGTTGACAAGTACAATACATTTAGGTTTCTGAGTAGCATCTTTCCTAAATATGATATCCTACCACGAAAGTTTGTTGAGGACAAATGTTTCTTGCTAAATGGCTATTTTGGCACTCCTCAAACAAAGATTGAGCAAGCGCCTGCTGTCATCCAGTTTTCCCCTATCAGATGATCTTAAAAAATGATAACCTTAAAGAGACATCATTTAAAACTGACCTTTACAAATGGTGAATGCAAGAGGTACATCTGTTTTCAATTTTTTTTAATGCAATTGTGTCATTTAAACATATACTTGTAACAACCACAGGAAATCTGTTTTCTTTTTGAGGAGTTTAGGTGTAATCATTTTGTTCCAATAAAGACTCACTTGAATAGCTCACAGCGTGATGCATCGTTTTGCTTATAAACCATCCTCTTAAGAATCCTGCTGAGGTGCAATGGGAACCAGCAGAGGGCAAAAATTAACACGAGGCAGAAAACAGCTTTGGCCACTTCCCTCCTCTGCAGAGAAAAACAAAAGACACACGATTCCATCATTAAAGAGTGGGGCGGCAAATGCTGAAGCAGTGTATGACATAAGAAATCGAGCATACTTAGGGTTGGTCAAGCTGAAGATCTTTTTATTAGTATTGCATAGTATTCACCAACCTGTTTGAGGTGTTCACTAAGTGCGATCCGGAGGCTGCCGTTTCTGTGGCTGAGCATCTCACAGGTCATCAGAGTGTAGAAGATAGCAGAGCAAGTCAAAGGTACACAAAAGTAGAAGCCGAATAACCACCAGTCCTTTGCATCTCTATAGAACTGCAGGAACACAAGCAAAGTGATTAGTTAAAGAGTTAGAAAACTGAGGAACTTCAGGTTTTATTAGATGACCTGGAAATATAGTAAACAATTTATGGGCCTATATTATCAAACTTCAAGCAACATTTTCCGCCAAGCTGATTATATGATTTTCTCATTTTCCTTATTTCCCCAGAGCTTTCAGTGATTTTTCACTTAATTTCCTAAAACTGTAAAGACCTTGAAAGCCAAGACGGAAAAGTGTTTACCTTGAAATGGTGTGTAGCTAAATCTCATGTTATGTAATTTAAACTACTTGAGTTCCAAAACACCAGCCGACTCCCCGTGCGCTGACGTCTATGGGAATATGACTATGTACTATGTAGCAGTTCTGAGATTACACTAGTTGTAAACAAACTCTGTGTAAGACGTGCCTGTGGTTCGAAAAAAAAAGTTAGATATGCTCAATCCATTTTTCAAAACCACGAAAATCTAACCAAACCCTGGTCCAGATCCCTTGTTGAGTCTGGTATGTTGCGTGCTGACCACGACCAAAGAAACAGAGGTTTTTTTGCTCTGATGAAATAGTGTTTACCCTATTCTCATAGCGTTTAAGGATTAGTAGGATTAGGATTAGTTGTCTGAATAAGGTAGGGCTAAGGTAGGGCTCATCTTAAAAACTCAGGCCTCTCTAATTGGGCTGCAATCAGTCATGTGCTCCCCAAAAAAGGCAATAGTCATTAAGATGGAGAGAGAAATACATGCTCTATTTTTCAAGGAGCCTAACAACCTGTAAGGTACAAACTTTTTATATGATATAGCAATAGCATGCCAGATTTGTATATTTATGGTAAACATTTCTGAGTCATTATTTCGTCATTTCTTCTTCATCTAAGTATTTTTTTAAATGGAAGGCAGAAATCTTAGTGGGGCTCAGTTTCAAATCTAAAACTGCCTAAATGTGTGATCTGGTTAATGAATAGCTCAAACACACAATTGTGTTGGACTGAGTTTGAAGATTTCTTGCCTGTCCTAAAGTCTGAAACTAATAAACTCCTTTGGGCACATACCTTTTTTACAGTTTTTTTTCTGCCCAGGTTTTATGTGAATCGGCTATATTTGCCAGCCCTGGCTAACTTTTCTATGTCAGATCAAATAACACAATCTTTATCTAACGTTTTTTAGGAACTGAGCAAAACTAAGCAAGTAATAGGAGTGAAGTTGCACATCTTTTTACGACTTTATTCACGGAAGGCCCACCACCTAAAATTTTGTAACTCCAGGTATGACTTGAAATAATCTAACTGCAGGTGTTATTGAACTTTAAAAAACTATAGCAATTAGAACTATAGTCATAGTAACCAACTTTTATCCCTATTAATACTTTTGAACTGCTCTAGAATTAGAGAGCGAATAATCCCAAATGAAGTCATCTTTAAGAAAATAAAGAAATGTAGAGAACATTTCCCAAGGTCTTTCTGAGCCAGTATCTGATGGTGAAATTACCACATGGATTTGACTTATCTAACAACAGCCAGCTGGTTATTACTTCACCTCTACGTTGTACATTTTCTTTGGGGAGTTTTTAAGCTAACTTCATAGAGTCGCTATAAGTCCCGTGTCCAAAAACACTTGAGGTTCTCATCCAAAACGGATGACGTACCTTCATGAATGTTGTCTTCGGGTTGAGCATGCAAGTACGTATGGTGCTGTTGTTGTTGTAGCTGAAAGTGACAATGTCGAAACCAACAGCCTCTGGTACTGCCAGGATGAGTGACAGCACCCAAATGGACACGATCTCAATTACTGTGAGGAGAGGGATGCCCACTCCCTGCACTCTGCTCCAGGATGCCACAGCTCTATACCTGCAAAACAGGAGGATGCATATGTGCCATTTAGAGTGGATGGTACATATATACATATATATAGGTCTAAGAATTATATGTATTGGTCTTAGGATACAACACAGTAATTAAACAGTCATTAACACCTTTATAAGATTCAAATATGCAATGTTCAAATATCCAGATATCAAGGCCACAACATTTTCATGTTACAAAGAGAAGGAGAATTGCAAACAATGGCCTTCAATGACGCAACAGAAATGCGTAATGCTGCGTAATATTGGTCTCTTCTGACTGGCAGAGCTGACAACAGTTTCCTTATGCCTGGCAGTACTCCAAACACAACAAACTGCTCAATCAGCATACTATCAAAAATGTTAAGAATTAATGAGGAGAGATGATCAATTGTTTATTTTCAATATCTAATATTTATATTTTTGTGGAGCCTCCAAACAGACTGGCCCATGTTGGCAGAGGTCTGTGTGTTGGCTTGTTTTTCTTGTGCACTGAATATTTGTTTGCTTGTTTGTTTCATTAATGGGAACCACTTGTCGAAATGTTTTAGTAAAATCGTGCATCAAGATTTTATGGCAAAAACAATATATTTTTCATGACACATTTGAATTTCTCTGTTGAACAACACAGTGGCATTTATATTTTACTAAGTGGTAATGTATCCACCTTTTTCTCTGTTTACAACATTGAAAAGATACAAAAGGGACTCAACTAGTTTCATAATGCACATAAACAAAGATCTGAATTATATTTTTGTTTCCTGGAAACAAATGGAGTGTATGTGCTTTTGCATACTACTCTACAGCAGTGCAATCGGCCATTTTCTCATAATCGAGATCATCAAAATTGCCTAGCTGCTTGAAGGGCAGGTCGAGTCTCTTATCCTTGAAGCTGAGTGGTGCATTAAGTAAGATGACACTGAACGTCTGCACTTCAGGACCATCATTTATTCATTATGGAATTTCTCTTAAAATAATATTAAAAAAAGACCTTATAAGCTTACTGTCCAGATGGGGTAATATTAACATGAGAATATAAAGTGGACGGAGAGTATGACCTGTCATTTAAAATATAGAAATTCCAAAGGACACAGGATCTGTTGAAAGATAAATAATGATCTAATTTTCCCCATGGAAGTGATTATCTCAGTTTTACTGCCATTAATACGATCAGTTGACAACATTTACGTTGTCAATATTAATTTTCTGCATCACAGAATAACTTAGATTATCTTAAAGTAGTATATTTTAAACAAATTCATCTAAAGTAATACTTTTGCTATCTACAATGGTTTATTTGATATAGAGGCAAGCTAGCCAGATCGAATTGGTTTGATTTTCCTGTCACTAATTTGCCTGCCAGCATACACAAAAACAAAAGCATTGATCCCTTCCAATGTGTCCAGCTGTGTTTTAACCTCATTTAATACAATGTAACTTTATTAGTAAGGCGCCATAGATCTATGAAATCATTAAAAGAAATGCTAGGGAGTATACTTTACAATGTCCACCAGGCAATAAAAGGGGAGTACTTTTTCCAGGCTCGATAAGAAGACAATGTTTTATTAAGCATCACAAACACATGCAGAAACCTCGATAGAAACATTTTAGACAAATGCAGCAATATTTCTTTAACTCCATGCAGCATGCTCAGCACTGACCTGTCCACACTGAGAGCACACAAGTTGAGGACTGTGATGCCTACAGAGGCCTTCTGCAGGAAGGGGACAAGCTTGCAAAGACACAGGCCAAAACCGCTGTCTTCAAATGGAAACCCTGATGCCAGGAGCTGCAGGAAATACACGCAGGTGTCACTCAAGTTATAGCTCTCAAAGGAGGAAAATCACATTTGCAACAACATTCTTTGTTTAACAGCCAACAGATTCTCACTGACATCGTGGCCTATTGTTGTCTTTGCCTCAGTTGGTATACTTTCACAAACAGATACACACGGAATGCAGTGATTTGAAAACCATTAGGAAATAAATAATCAAAATTACTTTATTTATTTTTTTGGTGAAAATGATTTTGAATTTGATGTCAACATCCTTTTTAGGGAGCTAGGGACAGAGGGTTATTACTTTGTAAATACTTTGAAAGAGAATAAACTAATGATCAATTATGAATGTAGGTAAAAATAAATGAAAGATATTTACCAACTTTTCCCCAAAATATACAAAAGATTTTTTACTTGGTAACCGATGTGGCCTACGGGTGGAACAGTTCAGCACCAGAACATTTCCTCTGCAGAGTCGTCATGGTTTAGTACATCAAATCAGGTTGAGTCAAATCTATTTATATGGTCCATTTAACAGCAACAGATGCTTACCCAAAGTGCATTCCAGTTAGGGCAATAATTGGATCAAGATCAATTATATAAATAATAATATGTGCAGAAAGTGGCAGACATTATCTTGTTAACCTAAGTTGGGCCTGGTGAGAACAGCACATGGATGGTGTTAATGGTAGACCAATGTCATATCATAAAACAAAGATTGCTCTTGAGTGTCTGATCTTTTAAGGATACTTTGAGCCACAATGAAAATGAACACTGTTGAAATATTTGCCTGATTTACTTTAGTTATTGAACAAATGCTTTTGTAAAAATCTTGTAAAGAGTATTTTACTTAACAGCTTATCAAAGGCCAGCCACTGTCTTATGTCAACTGATGAGTCTCTTTTAATCTATCGAACCAACAACGGGGCAAAAATACATTAATGGGTTACAATGTTTTCACGAGGGGGCAAACACATGCTTCCTTTCTGATATTAACTGATATGGTGAAATAGAAAAAAAAAAGAATGGAAAAGTGAACACAATCAAGCACATATGAGAGAAAATTAAACTTTTTTTCAGCTGCACAAACCATAAGAGTGTTTTCTGAAACGTCCTTGCCCAAAGGAAGAGAACACTGGCTTTCATTATTGTGGATGTGGCTCTTTTCTTTGTTTGCACTCGAACTGCTCCCCCCCGTTAGATTTTTGTTTCCTCTATACACATGTGTTCTCCAACTACAAAGTAGCTTTGCCCTCAGACTCCCAAGTTAATTTCATCCAGGTGGCTTTCCCATTTGACTCGTGCAAAATGCTTTAATGTGGCTGAAAAGATCGGGTTGACTGATCACTTCATTTTTCCTAACGTTCTTTACCACTACATAATCCATGACAGTGTTTACTGGAATACACAAATTGAGGGCTGGAGTATTGCAATAATTCATTGTGTCTATCACACAAAACCTAAATATTTTATCATGATCCAGGGAAAATGATGTTTTTGTAAGTCCCACAAAAATTAAACACATGCTGCTTTTGTGCTTATTAAGGAGTCTTTTAACAATCTCTAAACATCCATAAAATCTGAATAAAAATGTACGACTACTTGCTGTGTTAAACAATGCCATTAACAGTAACTAAGTTGACGAATGTCTCCGGTCAATACAAGGGCAGTGACATGTGTGACTGTGACCTGACTTCTGTGTTTATTTAAGGCGGTCATATCCCTGCTCCTCTCATCGCTAATCTGACTAAATGAGGGAGATAACACTGTCCAACTGATTGCTCTTTACCGTATATTTGCGAACTCCCTAGACCCCCTTCCCACTTCCTCTCTTTTCCCGTCTGTAAAATTCTACTTTATCTGTGTTTGTCACCTCCATTGTCGATGTATTTCATCATGTCAGCCGTGAGGCTTGTCACTCTGCAGCTTTTCTATAAAAAGTGGGTCAAGGCTTAATTAGACATGCAAGAGTGGAATACTGTACCTTGTATACATTAATCGGTATATCAATGAAAATGTAGATAAGGTCGCCCAGGGCAAGGCTTGCAATGAGGGCATTGGGCCCATTTCTCATGCACTTGTGTTGGTATATAATCCTCAGGAGGGTGGCATTGCCAACCAGGCCGACCACAAACACCGCAATGGAAATCATGGTGTTTATGTACTTAAAATAGTTGCTAATTGACGGAGATACGAGGCACTGTGGAGGTGCCGTCTTTTTGACAGTTTCATTTGCAGAGCCGGATCCCAAACTTTGCACTTCTGGGGCAGGGCTGGACCTTATACTTGGACTGACGGTGCTGTAGAAACCTGGAGACTGGAGGGTGGAGTGAATCAGAAAGCTGTGGAGAGGCTCCTTTGCTTCAGCCCCGTATATCTGGCACATTCCTCTGGCTATCATACAGGCCATTAGTAGAAACAAATGTCCAGCTTTGGAGCCCATTGTGGAATTGGTTTGAGAGACCCAATATGCCACTGGTTGAGAAATGAAAAAGAAACAAGGTGAAAAATTGGTTATTCTCTGAATACATATTTCACATTTTCACATTTTATCTTCAAACTCATGAGAGACTAAAATCTGATTTAATTGTATACGCAATATACAGTGCACAACAAAATGTGACAGTGTTACTGTCTCATTCCTAGCAATGTCTTTAGACTTTAGAAAGATATAGCCAAAGCGGAACATACAGAAGATGCCAGAGCTGGTCATCAGACAGAAAAAGTGAGGCATCAGCAGATCCCATTGGACACGAAGTAATGCACAGTAATTTATGTATTCAAGTCAATAATGTTGCTGTAACAATTATATTTTTTTTCCCCTGATTTGTTGTGTTGCTTTGACAAGGAGATCCTTGCATGGATTTGCACAAGACTATCTCCCCAAGCCTGCATTCTCCTTCTGTTTCCAATTTCGAAAGCATTAAACTTGTGGTTATGAGTTTATTTCCAAGGCTTATTTCCAGTAAGATGGACAATGTAAGCCCGAGGTTTAAATACAAAACAGATTAAGTTACAAATCCAAACAACAAAACACCTAAGTAAACCCTGTATCCCCTTCCTCTTCAAAGTCAGAATAAAAAATAAAAAACTTTTTAGGCAAAATCATACCAAATGATCTCATAAAAAGTGCTGTTAAAGCACAGACAAAGTTTGAAACTATCAGATCCATCATGAAGCCCTTTTCATCATGTCACCGCACAGGCAACTCTTACAGCCCAGAGTTCTTCCTGTTCAAAGTCCCTGCTGTCACCAAGTACACAAAGAACTATTTAGCAGCCAGCCCTTCAAGTAGCATCACAGTTTAACATCAGCATGACACTGCTGGGATCTGTGACAGCACGCAAACTGATCTATCCATAAATAATAAATACATTTGGTTTTCACCTACCGCTTCTAAAATGTCTGCCTGGCCCCCTTGGAAACCGTCAGGCAAACTTTCAGCTGAAGCCCCCAGACATCTGTATCACATCACATGAGTAATTAACGCACTATCAAAGCCGTAGCGTATCCCACTTGGTTTGAGCAATGCACCCGTCTGCTCTGAGGTGCCTTCGCATTATGGCTCAGAGTTTCCTGTGGAGAGTTTGCAGTATGTCTGAGTGTGTGTGTGCTCAACTTTGTGCACGTCTGCATGTGTGTGTGTGTGTGTGTGTATGTCAGAGCACCAGTGAGACACTTTGACTGGGTGGGATAGTAAATCTCCACCTCCCTTTGGTAACAGACTGGGCCCCCTTCGGAAACATCACCCCCCCTCTCTCCTTCTTCTCAGGGGCACTGCCTCCTGACAGTCATCTCCACTAACAGCCTCTCTCTCTCTCTCTCATACGCACACACAGGCACACATACACACACACAGCCACATGTATGGACACAGGAACAGTGGCAGGGGCATCTGGGAGCCAAGTGCCCCTCCAGTCTGCCCCTTACCTTGAAACCTTCCTGCTTACTTATTCAACCACCTCCCCTTTCATGTTATTTCTTGAACATGTAACATGTAGCTGTTTCCTTACACATAAAACTGCTGAGTTCAGACTTGAAGGAGGAAGGCATGAAGAAGTCATTGTCCATGTTGTGATGTTTGTTTCATTTGAGAGAAAAAATTGTAACAGGAAGTGGGAGGATGTACTTATAAGGACTGTGTGGGTGGCCCAATTTAACAACACGTTCTTTCCCATGCTAAATCAGATACATTGTTATCTTGGAGATGTATTACCAGGATAAGAACAATTAAAAGATTAAATAAAAACCAAAAATTTTAAAACTATCTAAAATCACTGTAAAGGGTGTTGTAAGTTAGATAAAGTGCAGCTAATTCCAGTTGAGAATTACCTAACAAATATATAGATAGCAAAATATTCACTGATATACTAGAGTTACCTTGACACAACAAATACACAAATACAGTACAATAGGAAGACAATCTACAATCAAATAACCAAAAACAAAATTGAAACAACAAAAATGTCATCCCAAAAAGAGAGGGCTTTCTGACACAAAAAGATTAATGTCTGCTGGGAATAGATAGTTCATTGTCAGGTGTAAAAAGTGCTTGTACATCAGTAAGAATTAGGGATTTCAAAATGGACGGTTTATCATTATATACGCTCAGAGCAGGAAGAGGGCTATCGAAGTCACCATAACTTGTCTTCGACTTTGATAAAAGGGTGAAATGGCTACCATTTAAAGAGGGGGACATTTCAAGTAAATTTAATTAATTTTTTTATCTAGAAAATATGAAAACAATTGAGAAATATGATTGAAATAAAATGTAATAAATTGGGATTATTTGCCACTTCAGAACAGTGTGTCTGAAAAGTGAATCCACACACAGGGAAACATGCAAACTTTGCACAAAAAGGCCCTCAGCTGTGATTTGAACCACTATAACTATAGTCATCAAACAAATGTTGAACTCAAAAAATGATTTCTTTTCATAGTTTCAGGCAACTAACCTGAGCAAAGGGATCTTTTAAAGCCTTGTGATGAACTTGAGACCTGTCCACGGTCACCAGGTTGGACAATGTCCTCCACCTATCCTTTGCCAGCCACACAATGGTGGCTGACCAAATATTCAGACCTGACCTCCAGGACAGAAAATAGACAGATGTTTCTTTATAGTAAAAGACTTTCAGTGTGATTTCTTAATTAATGGGTATTTTTCCTGCAGTAACATGTGACTTAATTGGGTAATTTCAATATTTACAGCCATTTGAAATTAAAGTGATCGTGTTTTCTTTAATTGAAGTCATAAATATCTCATACATTCTGAATTAGTCATGGTCAGCAGTTGTGAATACTAAATTTATTGGAATGTGATTTGCTGAAGGCATCTGTTTTATTACCCCAAGTTTTTTTTCCCTTCATCTCTCTTTTTCTCTGTCTTTTTTTGTTCCAAAAGTCCTTTGGATGTTGGCAGCATCCGTGACATTTTAACTTTTGTGGGGGGAGTAAAGTCTTTGTTAGTTAATCTATTAATTTATAAATGATGAAACCTTTACCTGCTCCCAGTTGCTTTGGCTTTCATGTTGTTGTTGTGTTGTTGTTTGGATCGTAATCAGGTATTAATGCCATTCTGTCTGAACTCAAAGATGGCAGGCTGCCTGGTAATTCATATGCTTGTTCTCTGATGGCATCTGTCGAAGTGTGCTCTCTGCATATTGGTACATACCCTATGGGAAATTTCAATCCAGCCCCAGACTGAGTGGGATGTAAGCAATTTCTTAACTGGGACACTTGCATGAAAACAGAAAGAACAGAGAGTGAGAGATTCAGGAAGGAGAGAAAGAGATGGAGAGGGAAAGAGGGAGCAAGTAAGTTTGAGGCCAATCCTACTGTGACAAGAAACAGTGACAGAGTGAAGAGGGCTCAGTATACTGTCTGGCTTCATTAATTTGGGACATATGGTTCAGTTCACACAAACAAAAGTTACAGCACAAGAAGAGAAGAAAATATGAGTCTTGCCAGGAGACTTGCTGTAATAGAGTGATTAGTGCAAACACTTGATTCAACTTGAAGATTAATCAATATAAAATAACCAGACGATGTAATGTGAATGAGGAAATGTGTTGTCAAAAGGCGATGATTAAAGATGATGAAAAGAGCCTAGAAGTCTGTTATCGAGATAGAGTCTGTTTCAAGGTTCCTGAAACTTAACTTAGTCTGACAAGAAGAGTTTAAGTAAATTGTATCTCAGGTCAATGACTACAAGTTAAGAAACAGATTATTTAGTTTCATAATATCAGAGGCTGATTATTTTTATAAGGCTGCCTGGTTTCTTTACAATCAGAGGTCACAAGACATGGGGCACAGCACCAACCCAAACTGTGTGATTTATTTAGAATTATTCTAGTCCTTTCAAAGCTCATTGGAGACAGAGGCTGGGCTTTTGAAAAGTAACCGTATCATTGACAGTTAGAAGACAGGACACTTCTTTTTTTAAACTTTTTTTTACTCTTTGATCCCCCAACAGTAACACTGGTGTTGTTGAAGATGTATGGCGCCAATGTGAATATCAAATCTTTCCTTGAGAAGCATTCCAACAAGACATCACCTTTCAAGTCTCAAATGTAAGCACTTCCAATATATGACTCATTCTTGCCGGCATAAGTGATCCCAGTTGATATAAGGGAGGAAATAAAGCAAGGCATGACTGTGGGAGTTTGGCTGCCTATTTGAATATCGTTTTTTGAACACAAGGGATGTTTTAGAAGACAACTGCAAGATGGTGTTTGATCAGCTCCAACGGTTAATAGTGGAAACTCAGCTTCTTAAAGCATCGGCTGAGTTTACTTGAAAGAGACTCTTCAACAAAAACGCTTCCTTCATTGATACATTTTCTTTCCTGCTTTATACAATTATACAACACAATTTTAAATATGATCCAAAAAGTTCCTGACAAAAAATTCTGTTGATCATATATTTAAAGATTTTTTTTTTAAAGAACGGAATTCAGACAAGGACCCCTTATGATGATTTAAATAAATGGACCAAGTGTTCCCTGGTCCCCAAGGGAACACTTGAGAACAAGTTGGTGAGATTGGTCCCCCAAACTTGAGCCAGAATGGTGTTTTGTTATTGGATTTCTGTGCTGGACCAGCACTGTACCCTCAGCAGGCGTACTGGAAAGTGCATGGGAGTTCGCCCCAACCAGTCCACATGTCCACTTACTACGCCTGTAGTAAGTCGGACTCTTTTCCGATGAGAGTTGGACTCTGACAGGGTTGCCCTTTGTCTCTGATTCGGGCGGGGGGAAGTGTCCTTCCCCAAGTGGAGGAGTTCAAGTATCTCGGGGTCTTGCTCATGAATGGGGGTAAAATGGAGTGGGACATCAACAGGCTGATCGGTGCGGGCACTGAACGGCCTGTCGTGATAAATAAAGAAGTGAGCTTAAAAGCTAAGCTCTCGATTTATCGTTTGATCCATGTGCCTTCCTTCATCTGTGGTCACGAACTTTGGGTAGTGACCGAAAGAACTAGATCGCGGATACAAGCAACTGGAATGGGTTTCCTTCGCTGGGTAGCTGGGCTCTCCCTCAAAGATAGGGTGAGAAGCTCAGCTATCTTCTCAGAGTAGAGCCGCTGCTCCTCCACGTTGAGAAGAGCCGGTTGAGTTGTCTTGGGCATCTGATTAGGATGCCTCCTGGTCGCCTCCCTGGTGAGGTGTTCCGGGCAAGTCCCACTGGAAAGAGGCCTGGATGAAGACTCAGGACACACTGGAGGGACTATGTCTCTTGGCTGGCCTGGGAACGCGATGGGATCCCACCCGAAGGAGCTGGCAGAAGTGGCCAGGGAGAGGGAAGTCTGGGTTTCCCCGCTTCGGCTGCTGCCCCCGTGACCCGACCCCTGATGAGCGGTGGACAATGGATGGATGGATGGAATTCAGACACCAAATAGGAATTAGACAGAATTTTGAATATTGTTTTTTGTTTGTTTTTGTATATTTATGCCAATCATTACACTATGTTAAGCAAAGTACAAATTAAACAAAAATGCAAAGAAATACCATTGTCACACTATTTGTAAGAAAATATTTTTGTATGCATATAATGATAGCGTGGAAGAATATAAAGTAAACTATGATTAAATGTTGTCACCTGTGTCTTTTAGAAAGTATCATCAGTTTTTAGGCCTCCAGAATCACCCTCTTTTTCAAAATGATTGCAGCAGCATCCTGTAAAAAAATACTGAACAGTTGTGATTTTTTTAACTTTAATCTTTAACTAAATTAGTTAAGTCCAAGCCACTGTTTTTCTTTAAATCTTTATAAATCACTTTGATTAGTCTATATTGTGTTCAGTTTCTCTTTTTACTTTTTAGTGGATGACTGCTCACTGTTTTACAACACCACTTGCAGGTTTACTGCCTAAACCAAACCAGGAAACTGTTTCAAAAACCTAACCAGAAAATTGTGATGAGGAACCCAGGGAAACTGTAAAACTGTAAAAGTAAACAAAAAATTGGAGGATGTGAGAAATACACTGCTTGCATTGTAGTCTACGACTGAAGTGCTGCGTTAAGTCTGGAACTCCACCCTTCCTCTTTTCCAGCCATGGTATTAAGAGTTGGGAATGTTTATTCTGGCCCCACAAAGTAAAGAGAGTATAGCTTAAATCGTCATTTTGATTGGAGGATAGATGTATAAAGTTGAAA